AGTAAATAAAATTGAACATTTACTTTCTTATAAATTGTATTTTAATTTACAAAATTATTTTTTTTTGTATATAAAAAAATACAAATTGGAAGAAGTAAAAAAAATGTTGTTTATTTGAAAGTTCGAAACTTCAGAAACTTGTAATATTAATCAATTACGAAATGGAATAGTTTTTTTTTCTGTAAAATTTTTGCAAAGTGAATTTTAGTTCACATTCACATTTCACTTTTTCAAAAGGAAATCGACAATTTTTTATATAAAAATGTTTAGAATACAAATTTGAATCTTAACAAAGAGAATATTGTCACTAGACTCGTTTCCTGTTTGACACAAACTAAAAAAAACAATTACAACATATATAATGCAATACCGTAGCTATAATTTTCTGTTCTAAATTTAAAAGCGACTGCAAAGTTCATAAATTATGGTTTTGGAGTTTTACTGCGGCGTATGCATTTTATTATTCAAGTTTTTATAACTTCAATTTATTTCATTATTCTTTATTTTCTATAAATAACTGCCTTGTGACTAAAGGAAACATTCTTGATTTTTCCCTTTTTTCTCTTCTATTTTCAATTTAAAATATTCCCTCGAGATATACTTTTCAGAAAAAAGAAAAAATGTGAAAAAATAATTTCCAAGTTGAAAATAAAGTAAATAAAAATTTAAGTAAATAAAATAAAAATATAAAAAGTTTATAAACAAATAAAATGATATAAAAATTTATTATGATCGTTAAATTCACTTTCGCTAATATGTGTGTATAATGTATAAAACAGTCAAGTGCGATTAATTTCGCTTATAACTTTCGTGTACACCAAAAGATCATTAAGTGAATTTTATCACGAGCAATAATTTTCGTGGTGTTTTCTAGTGAGCGAAAGTAAGAAAAAGATTTGTGCAAGTTGTCGCGTGTCAATGATCGTTGAACTGTTAAATCAAATTAAATGTGTTCACTCGCTGTGCCTGGGACAAAAAAAATTTATTCCCATTTTTCTCAAATTTTTCATCTCTTGAAATTTGTCTCATTTTTTAACTATACACTTTCTTTAATTTAGAAAAATATTAACTTTTTAGTTTTAGATTTAGTTAAAAATGATCTATTTTTTCGATAAAAGAAATTATATTATTTAAAACTTTTATTTAAATAATTATTTACTTTTGAACTGATAAATTTAAATTGACGCCTAATATTTTTATTTATTGTTTAAATAAACTGACATAGAAATAAAGAAATAAAATTTAACAAATTTATTTATAAATAAAAAATAAATTTAAATAAACAATAAAATTTAAATCAATAACTAAAAATAAAAAAATTATTTTCTATTTAAATATAGTAATTTAAATAATAAATAAAAATATTTTTACTTAAAAATCTAAATGAATTTAAAACTGAATTCCATTCCTTTCGCTTTCGTAAACAATTCTTTAAATTTGTTTAAAAAAATTGTCCCAAGGCAAAATAGTTGGAGTTTTTTTCTTTCATTTTTTTGCTTTTCTCTGTTATTATCTAGTACTTATTCGGAACTTGAAGTTTCTTTAACTCACTGAAAATTATGCATAACATTAAAATCGAGTTTGTTTCTATAAAGCAATTTCTTCAAGTTCCCAATATTAACTTGTTCTACAACAAATCATCAAAGTTCAACTGGTTTTATATTCGATCAATCACTCAATTTAATTACGAAATAAATCACTTTTATTTCTACATTGCGTATTGAAATTTTCAAAAAAAAGTTTATGTTCCGATTTACAAGATTAACCATTTTCATTGTCCCCTTTATTTATGTAAATAAATATAAATTCTCAAAAACTAAAGAATGTATACTTATATGCATTCGTTTTAGTATTTAAGTAATTTATTTAGTTATTTACAAAAATAAAATAAATAATAAAAAATAAAAATAAATAAGTAAATAAAATATAAGTAAAGTTATAGTAAAAAATTATTATTGAAAAATGAAAATTTAGATTTAAATATACAAATTCAAATTGAAATATTTTGTTCGTAATTCTTTTTTTCCAGTATTATGCAAATAGTAATTTATTTTAATTAACTAGAAAAGTACAATTAGAATAATTTCTAGTTTTGAAGCGAATATTTCGCAATTTTTACTGCATTTTCTTAGTGTTACAAAAAAATGTTATCAACTGATTTATTTGAATGTAAGTAAAAATTCTCAAAACTAAATTTTTGTAAAAAATAATACTAAACGTAATGTTACGTTATATGTTTCTAAAATTATGAGTCATGAACAAATATTTATATTATCCACAAGTTTTCAACGTTCAAATTAACGAAACATTGTAAATATTTCATTAAAAATATTTTTCAAAATTCCCGATTGCAATAAAAACATAAAAACAATAAAACATATATTTAACATTTAAAAACTTTATTTAATAAAATTTCCCAAAAAGATTCAAGTTTATTTAAAAAAAATTTTTTAATAACATTTTTTGAAAGAATTCAATTGTTTCCTAAAATTTCGACAAAAATTCTTCGAAACAATTCAATTATTTCCTAAAATTTTCATAAAATTCTGCGAAACTATTCAATTATTTTTATAAATAATTGTAAAATTCTTTTCAAAAATTAAATTATTTTTTATAAAATAATAATAAAATTCTTCTCAGGGTTTTAATTATTTTCAATATAATTTTAATAAAATTTTTCGAACGGGTTCAATTATTGTTTTAAAAATTTTAATGAAACTTTTTTAAAAATTCAATTATTCTCAAAAGTTTTGATAAAATTCTTTGTAAATTTCAATTAGTTTGAAGATTTTTAATCAAAATTATAACAAAAACAATATTGTAGATTCAAGAAATTTAAAGAAAATAAAAAAAAATTTAATTATTTATAAAAAGTCAAATAAAACCGTTTAACAGTATTTAATTTTCTATCAATAATTTTGATAAAATTATTAATTACAATTATTTATACACCTACATGATAACTTTAAAAACTTAAAAGAAATTTTCATAAAATTCAAATACTTTCCAAATTTTCAATAAAATCTATTAAAAAAAAACTCCATTATTTTCATAAAATTCTAATAAATTCTTCAAAACAATTCAATTATTTTTTGGAAGAATTTAATTATTTTCATAAATAATAAAATTCTTTGCTAGAATTCAATTATTTTTAATACAATTTTAATGAAATTTCTCGAAAAAATTAAATTATTTTCAATACAATTTTAATAAAATTTCTTAAAAAAATTAAATTATTTTCAAAAATTTTGATAAAATCCTTCCAAGAAATTTAAATATTATCAAATTTTTTGATAAATACTTCGCAAGAATTCTATAATTTCCAATACATTAATTTTGAAACTCAAAACGTTTAAAAAGAAAAATTAATTAAAAAGTTAGGAAACAAAAACTAACTTGCAACTGCGAATAGATTTCCAGAATAAAACGATTATTAAAATATATATGTTCAAAATTTTAGGATCATATTTAAATTAGTAAAATTTTCTACTAAAAACTTTGGCAAAGAATTTAAAAGTAGTAAAGGAAATTGTAAAATTTTACTAAAAATTAGTGAAATTAACTTGAATGTTACATTTAGAAACTTTAATAATTTTTTCCGTTGTGACGCAATATTTTTCTAATAAAATTATTTTTATTTTAAGAAGAAATAAATAAATTTCGTTCACTTGAATGTTTATAGATCTTTAGAAATATAATTATGTATTGATCTAAAAGGTAATATTTAAATTTAATTTAATTAATTGTAATAAGTATTTTAATTTAATTAAATTAATTTTAATAAGTATTTTAATTTAATTTAATTTATTTTAATATCTACCTACTTTAATATTATTTGCTCCTAATTTAATTTGTTATTAAAATAAATAGAATATTTAAGAATCTTAGCATTAATAATGGAAAATTGTTAATTTGAAATTAATTTGAAAATGATGATCGAACATCAAACACAGATGTTTATTGATGATGAAATTTGTTTCTCTTCTTTTTGATACGCGTTAAAATAAAGTGAAGAAAGTATATTAAAAACTTTCGTATTTTTTGAGGCAATACCTTTCATTTAACAAGGTAGACATTAGATTAGAATACACCTAAATAAATCAGAATGAATTGCTAATTACGAAACGTTGGTCGTACAAGAGCATGCCGTTCATTGGTATTCAAATTCTAATTACTTCCTTCGCATAGAAAGTTAACGTGGATGAACATAGTGGATAATTGCTTTAGACGCGCGAAAGCGTCCAGTCTTGCACGAAACTGACGCCGGCCATCGTTTCAACGATCGTGGACGCGAAATTACAAGATATCTTGTAAATTGTTTTGATACGGTTCGCTTTGCACCGTTTTGTATACTTTGATTCGATCATCAAAACACTATATTCACGCAATCTCCAAAGATATAGATTACTCCATTTTTTCCATTTTTTGTTTTTTAATTCACATTTTCACTTTTCTGGTAACGATAGGTGGTTTAAATCGATAGCAAATTCATTTCCTTTTTAGTTTAAAAAATTCCATAATTCTTTGTATATAAAATTTGTCTTCTCTCTCTGATTTTTTCATTTTTCTTTCATTTTTTCTCGATTTTCGAATTCCATAAATCTTTCTCGCAGTTAAGTTCTTTTTTTGGTCAGTTCTTTCTCGCAAATAATGAAATCCAATATATTCGATGTAAGCAAAATTCTTTTGAAGAAATAAAAGAGTTAAGTTGGCTAAATATTCTTCGCTTACTTCCGCAATGATATTACATTTCTGAGAATATTCTCAAAAATGGATCAAGTGCTCCAATTTCCACCGCGCCTTTCTGTTGCAATTAACAATAAATATAAAATACTTTTTAATGTGGATAAAAATTGTAATACCTCTTCTTTATCTTCTTCTTTTTCTTCAGTGGATTCTAATTTTCTTTTTTGCTTGAAATCGTTCTTCCGTCTCATCTGAAAAATAAAAAAAAAAGTCAATTAACGTCTCAATAAACGTAATTAATTTTTTCTTTTCAGCTAGAGGTAGACAATAAGAGCGGCAAATGGTTCTTAAAGAATGGAAAGGGATCGGCGAGGATCGGAATATTTTGAAAATATGAGCGAGACAACGTCTTGCAGCTGTTTAACGAGTTCCGTTGAAAAGGTGCTTTTTCACGCAAATACGAATCAATTGTACAAAGCAAATTTTAATTGAAAAGCAAATAAAATCCAATAGCAAATAAAAATAGAAAATAAAACTAAATAGCAAATAAAAATAGCTAATAAAGTCAAATAGTAAATAAATGTTAGAAAATAAAGTCAATTAGCAAATAAAAATAGAAAATAAAATCAAATAGCAAACAAAAATAGAAAATAAATTCAAATATAAAGTAAAAATAGAAAATAAAGTCAAATAGCAAATATAATTATGTATACTAATAAATTCAAATATCAAGTAAAAATAAAAAATAAAGTCAAATAGCAAATAAAAATACTAATAAATTCAAATATCAAGTAAAAATAGAAAATAAAGTCAAATAGCAAATAAAAATAGAAAATAAAGTCAAATAGGAAATAAAAATAGGAAACAAAGTCAAATAGCTAATAAAATCAAACAGAAAACAAAAATAGCTAATAAACTCAAATCACAAATAAAAATATCGAAAAAAGTCAAATAACAATAGAAAATATAATTTTCTCTGATAAAAAATAAAAAATTGAATTCAATATCACAAAATTTGTATAGAAACATTTCAAACAGAAGTCAGTGCCCAAAAAAAGGAAATGTTAAAAAAAGAAACAAAAAAGCAAATAACTTTCTAAAAGTCCGACAAACAAAATAGAAAGTTGTTTGCGTTTTTTATTTTGATCAAATTTGAATCTTTTTTTTAAACATAGACATTTTTTTCTCTTTTTTTCGTAAAACATAAATTACAATCGAACCGAAAAAAAAATTGTTTTACAAATTGATAATTATTTTATTGTATAATAATAATCAAGAAATTCTGTCATTCCGTGAAGTTAGAACTTTTTGATTCCAAATTGTTTTACAGCTCAAATTGTCATGTCAAAAGGTTCAAAATTAATTTTGTAAATGGATTGATTAGTGTTTTAGTGAAATTAATTCATACATAATTTTGAGAATAACAGAATTTCCACAGGGTAGGAAAATAAGTAAAGAAAGGAAATTTTATTCAAAATATTAAAAAAAATATCAAATTATTGAAAATCTGAAATAGTCTATGAATTTTCTTTCTCAAATTGAAAAAAAATCTATAATTGAATTCTCGTCACACTTTTTGACAAGAATTGATTTGAAAAATAATTTCAGTTCAAATTGTAAAAAATATTTGAAAAATTACAAATTTTAATTAGAAATTAAATTTTTTACCTATTATTTTAAATAATTTAATTTTCGTCGAACTTTTTGCCAAGAATTGATTTGAAATAGAATTTCATTTAAAATTTTAGAAAATATTTGATAGATTGGAAAAATTACAAATTTTAATTAGAATTTAAATTTTTGTATTTAAATAATTGAATTCTCGTCAAACTTTTTGACAAGAATTGATTTGAAAATGAATTTCAGTTCAAATTTTAGAAAATATTTGATAGATTGGAAAAATTGCAAATTTTAATCAAAAATTAAATTTTTGTATTTAAATAATTGAATTCTCGTCAAACTTTTTGACAAGAATTGATTTGAAAATAAATTTCAGTTCAAATTTTAGAAAAATTGGAAATATTGCAAATATTAATAGGAAATTAAATTTTTAGAAATAATTAAATTTCAAAAGATTTTACATTGAAAGTATTTTGAATATTTATTAAACAAAAATTAATTAATTAATTTAATTTGTTTAACAATTTTAAACAAAAATTACATCTAAACTAAAAATTAATTAAATTTGAAAAATTTTATTTAGAAATTCTTAATAAATTTTAATATTTTTTTTAAATTAATATTTTTTTAAAATTAGTTGAATTCCCGAAAATAATTTTAAAAAATTGAAAAAATAGGAAATTTTTTCAAATTTGATTAAAATAAATTTTATATTTTAAAGAATTATATTTTCTCATGCTTTAAAAAATTATTTAAAAATATTATTGTATTTTTTTAAGAATTGTAACTAAAAATTGGAAAATAGTGAAATTTTACAAAAAAAATTTCTAAGCATTTAATTATCGTTGAATTCTAACAATTGAATTAAAAAAATTACAGTTAAAATTTTGAATAATAATTGAATATTAGAAACGTTTTAACAGATATAAATATTATTTACCTTTAAAAATTATTAAATTTTTAAATAAATTTATTTCAAAAATTCGAAGAAATTATTAAACTTTTGAATAAATTTAATTTAAAAATTGTAAGAAATTATTAAATTTTTGAATAAATTTAATTCAATGATTCTAAAAAATATTTGATTTTTGGAAAAATTGCTGTTGTAATTTTTAAAAATAATTAAATTTAAAAAATTTTTAGGTACATTGCGAAATTATTTGAAATTTCAATTAAAATAAATACCTATAAATAAGTTTTTTAATATTTGTTTAACAAAAATTATTGAAGTTTTAAATAATTTAATTCAGATATTATAAAAAAATTTAGTCTTTTAAAAAATCGTGATTAAAATGTTTTTTAAGTTAATTGAATCCGCGAATATAATTTTAAAAATTGAATCAATTAAAAATTTCGTCAAATTTCATTGAAATAAATTTTATGTTTGAAAGAATTGGAAATTGGAAAAATTAGAAATAATTTTCTAATTGCAAAATTAGAGAACTGAAAAATTGAAAAAATTAGAAATAATTTTTCAATTGCAAAATTAGAGAATTGAAAAATTGGCAAAATTAGAAATAAGTTTTAAATCGCAAAATTAGAGAATTGAAAAATTGGAAAAGTTAGAAATAATTTTTTAATTGAAAAATTTGGAAAAATTAGAAATAATTTTTCAATTGCAACAATTCGAAAAATTAGAAATAATTTTTCAATATTGCAAAAATTGTAAAAACGAAAAATTTGTGACAAAAATATTGTCATTGTTTGTTTACAGTGCTCGTTACGCAGCTGTAGTATGTTTCAAGAGCCATTCTTCCTGCATCCGCCGAGCACAAGGCCACGTGATGGGATTTACATAAATCCAATGAGCGCATTTATTGAGCCACAAAAAGCAAAGGAAACTGAATCATTTTATCTTCATAGTCCAAACGATCTTGTTTACACGAGGATCACACAAATATTTGGTGACACGCAAAAATCACGCAATGGCGAACGAAATATCATCCAGAGGAAAGATGAAACTTTAACAGGTAAGTGGAACGTCCCAGATATTAGCTACTCCGTTAACGCCGCTGCTTACCTGCTGCTGATTCCGCTGATGTTTCTCTTCTCCTCCAACATAAAAACGACCTCGATTCACTCAATCATGCTCGATCAGGGATTCAGAATACTATCGAAAAAAAGAATCTGCAATAAAAATTCAAATTACCATTCTTCGTTTCGCCATGTAACATAAATTATATGTATTTTTATGCTATAATTAAATCTTTTTTACTTTTCATTTTCCATTGAATTTTTTCATCATATTTTTTATTACATTTATTATATTATTTATTTTTTCTTAATAAAATGTTTAAATATTTCAAATTTTGCCAAAAGAAAATGAACCAATAGAATATTTTTTGAATTTAAAGTAATTATTTTTTAGAGTGAATTAAAAATCTTTTGGAATAAAATGTTTTAACATTTCAAAGTTAGCAAATAAGAAACGAAAATGTACAAATAAATATTTTCTAAATTAGTTTCTAAAATTCTAAATATAAAGTAATTATTTTTTTGAAAGAAAATTTTCAAATTTCAAAGTTTCAAAGTTTGCAAATAGAAAAAGACACTGAACAAATAATATAGTTTTTAAATTAAAATTTTTTTTGGATTTACCGAGTTGACCTTCTTGACAAACGCCAATTCCTCCTGTTCGAGAAAATCATTTCGCAAGAAAATTTATTTCGCCATCGATAACTTGAAATCATTCATCAATTCCCTAATTGCCAGATATTAAAGAATGACGATTGTCGTCTAGGTAATAATTTCAGAAATTTCAATAAAAATTCTGCACGAAGATGAAAAGATTATTTCTGTAATCAAATATTGAAAAAAGATTTTTTTGATGGAAAAAAGTGTTTGAATCACTTTTACAGGGCTCGAACCAGTGGAAGTATTTGAAAATACGGACTTTACGGACCAAAAATTAAAAATTATGGACCAATTACTGACAAAAATATAATCAGTCCGAGTCCAATTAGAGAACATTTTACTTAAAACTATAAATCAAATTTTTTCATAATTTCAATTCAATTCTTATTATCGCGAGTTTTTAACTAAAATTCTTCTTTAAATCAATTATCTGTATTAATTTTTAATAATTTTTGAAAAAGTTCTTTGAGAATTTTCAAATCCATTTGTTTACAATTCAATTTTACAGAAATTTCCATTATTTGAAAATCTTTCAATTAAATAGTTATAAAATAAAAACTTCAAATAATTTCCAAAAAAAATTCAATTAAACTTTTTCAAAAATATTAATTCTACAGAATTATTAGTTAAAAGTATGAAAAATTAAGATTTCCAAAGATTTTAATTTGAAACCTTTACAAAATTAAATTTAATATTCAATTATTATCTAAAATTTAAACTGTAATCAATTTTTAAATCAATTTTTATTTGAAAATTCTACGAGAATTCAATTATTTAAATATAAAACTAAATAATTTATTGAATAATTGAATTCTCATAAAAAATTTTATCAAAATTTTTTTAAATAATTGAATAACTGCGAAGAAATTTATAAAAAATATTGGTAAATAATTGAATTCCTTTCAAATTTCTATGATTTATAAAAATAATTAAATGTTTGCGTAAAATTTTCTTAAGTATTTTTTTTTTAAATAATATTGAATTTTTTTGGAAAATTTTAATAAAATAGTAAATATTAAAAATCATCGAATTGAGGAAAACTTTTGAAAATAATTGAAATTTTGACAAAAATTTTATTAAAATTTTTGAAAATAATTGAATTTTGCAGAAAAATTTTATTGTTTATAAAGATAATTGAATTTCTGCAATCATTTATAATTTCTCCAAAATACAATTTTTTTTAGTGTTTTTAACTAAAATTCTGTTTAAAATTCATTATTTTTAATAATTAAATAATTAATACCTATATGTATTAAAAAGTCAAGTAATTTCAGAACAATTGTAATTAAAATTTTCAATAAAATTAGTTTAACAGAATTTTGAAATACGGTATGAAAAATTCAGATTTTCAAAGATTTTAATTTGAAACCTTTTCAAAATTCAATTATTTCTAAAAATTCATGCTATAATGCTTTTAACATTCAATTATTATCTAAAATTTTAACTAAAATTAATTTTTCTCAGTTTTTATCAAAAATTTCTACGAGAATTCATTTATTTAAAATTTTAAAAATTTATTGAATAATTGAATGTTTCTTAAAATTGAATTTTTATAAAGAATTTTATCAGCAAATTTTTAAATAATTGAATTCTTTTGACAAATTTTAATAAAAATTTTATGAATAATTACATTTTTCAAGGAATTTGATAAAAATTGTGTTAAAAATAATTGAAATTCTGCAATGAGTTTTATTATTTATGAAAATAATATTTGAATTTTTATGAAAATTCTATTACCTATTTATAAAAAATAATTAAATGTTTGTGTAGAATTTTATTAAATTTTTTTTTTAATTAATTGAATTCTATTTAAAAAATTTTTGAAAATAATTGACCTTTACTGGATTTACGAACCGAGTTCGAGCCCTGCTTTTATTAAAAAGAGAGAAAGAAAGAAAAGAGTTTAACGAATTTTATCGAAATCTTAATTTAGAGAGAGATTCGCATGCATATTTCCACATGGCTAAGTTTGCGTTTCATTATTTCCTCAAGGTAATCTTAAATCTTGTCCATCTCAACTAAAACCTACACAATTTAGTTAAAGCTCAAAGGAATTGAATAGATGAATAGGAAATAACAAAGTAGACTCTACTTACATTCCATAACAAACTTCAAGAGTCCAGAGTTTCTCTCTCGAGACAACAAGCCAACCTGACAGATTAGATCGCTTAACAAGTGTCTAAATAAACGATACTAATTTATGATAAAATATTCTAAACACTTTTAATATTGACATCAAACGCAGCTAGTTAATTAAAAATCAAAATATAAATAACGAAAATTCAATTATTATTCGTACAATGAAAAAATTCAAAAAAAAATTGTACGAAACTAAGTTTTTTAATTCGAAACAATTTTTTTAACAACCAAATTTTGTATTTTGTCCCAATATTTGGAAGAAATGTCGAAAAAGTGACAATTTTTAAGATGAAAAAAGTCGCCTTTTTTTAACAACCAAATATTGTATTTTATCCAAAAATTTGGAAGAAAAGTTGGAATGCGAGTCATTCATCTCGATCAAATGACAGCCTGGAGATGAGAAAGAATATAATTGCAAGAATCGAATAACAAACAATTTTTTTCTATAGAATTAAAAACGTTATTTTACTTAGTAACGTTGAATCTTAAAAGAAAAAGTTCTATGAATATCAACATGTCAAATTTAGAAAATCCGGACAATGAATCCTCTCAAGAATTACCTATTAGCAAAACAGAAACGTAGTTTTCTAAATATTAATATGCAAATTAGCATCAAGAGTGATAATCGGAAGTGAAATTGTCTTTCTCTGAAATATGGAATCGATGGACAGTCACTGTTTTTACATTCGATAATAACTCATTTCTTTTGATAAAATATAAATCCAGGCCTCGGAACGACTTTAAGGCGCAAAGATTTTTTTATTTTATTTTGTATTTCTCTGATTTTCCCTTTTCACTGATTTCTAAATTCAATTATTCGAAGCTTGAATAATTTTATTAAATAAATATTTAAATTATACAGAAGTATTTAAATATTTATTTAATAAATTTCTTTTTCCACGGGAAATAAAATTTAAAAAATTCCAATTTAAAACCTTTTCAAATTTAATAATTTCTAAAAATTACAATTATAACCCTTTCAAAATTTTTTTAATTATTAAGATAGAATATTTTCAAAAAAGTATTATGTATAAAGAAAATCCTAAAATTAATTTTTTCAAAATATTTTTCAATAATTTTTAAGAGATAATAGTTTTTCAATTAAATATACTATTGAAAAATTTCCAAACAATTGAAATTTGATAAAATCTTTTTAAAATAATTGAAATTTGGTAAAATCTTTTAAAAATGAATGAATTTTTCATAAATCTTTTAAAAATAATTGAATTTTTGAAAAATATAAAAAAAACAAATTTTTGAAGACTTTTATAATTATAAATATATGAAAATGATTTCTACGAATTTTAATAAGTCTAAAAAAAACATTATAAAAAATTTTAGTTACTTTTTTTTCAAAGGTAATTGAATCTTAAAAAATTTGGATAAAATAATTCTGAGAATTAGTTTTTCAAAAATATTGTAATGTATATTTTCGAAAATAATTGAATTTCTTAAACGAATTTTTGTATAAGTTATAAAAAACTAATTAATTTATTGAACAATTTTAATTAAAAATTTGGAATATAATTGTTTTCTCCAAAATGTTAAAAATAATTCTAAAAAATTTTAATGTTTTTATTTTTTTTATCAAAATTTATGAAAATTTTTTTTACGAAAATCCAAACATGTTTGAATTTTCGGAAAGGGGTCGTCCATAAATTACGTAAGACATTTTGGGGGGAGGGATGGGTCTGGTAAATCTTACGAACCGTAGAAAAAATGGCGCTAATGTATGTAAAAAATCTTACAAAGGGGGGTGGGTGGTCAAATTTTCCAAAAAAGTGACTTACGTAATTTATGGACGGTCCCAAATATGTAATTGAAAATGTTGAAAATAATTAATTTTTAAAAAATTTGAATGAGGAAATATTCTAAGAATTCCTTACTTCAAAAATATTTCAATATAATTTTCATTAATTTCCATTTTTAAATTTTCACTTGAAGATTTTTCATTAACATTTCTGAGAATATAGGAATTATTTTCAAAATTTACAAATAAAATTCTTCAAAAGTTGATTTTTAAAAATTGTAATAAAATAATTGATGAAAAAATTAATTAGTTTCAATTAAATATTACAAAATTTCAATTATTCAAAATCTTTTTTATTGTATATTTCAAAAATTCAATTAATAAAGTTATTCAAAAATAATTTTTGAATGAATTGTGTAGAATTATTTTTTGGAGTAAAAAATTGAAATAAGTTGCATATTATACTAAAAATGTGGTATTTTGTTACAATATTTGAAAGAAAAGTCGAAAAAGTCCCAGTTTTTGAAAATAAGTCGTAAATAGTCGCATTTTTTGAAAATAGTCGAAAAAAATGGAAAAAAGTTATTTTTCACACTATAAAAATGGAAATAAGTTTCATTTTATACTAAAAATGTGGTATTTTGTTGCAATACTTGGATCACTTATTTTTGAAAATAAATCGAAAAAAGTCGCCTTTTTTTAAAACAGTTGAAAAAAGTCGAAATATGATAATATCCGAGGCCTGTAAATCAAACGATTTATTTATAAATGGAATTATTTATCCTATTTTTAATACAACAAGTATTTAAAATACAGCATTTAAAAGACAAAAATTTAGCATTCTAAATTTCTAAAAGAAAGAAGATAACAAAAAGAGAGCAATAATTAATTACAAAGGAGAATAGTATCTAATTAGAAAGGTTTACAAAACCTTTCTATAATTCAAAAAGATCCGATAGAAAAAAAAGAGATTTCATTTCTCTATTATCGAATTGTATTACAAAACATTAAAAAGTGAAAGTGATGAAAATTTCAATTGAAAACTAATAATTTCTGCGTTTTAGTGCAACAAGAATAGAGAGGGGAGAAAAAAAATAATTATAGGTATATTTTTTTCACGACTGAAATTATTTCGTGGTCACGAAAAGTGAATGATGAGACGTAATAAATTTTCATGTAATGATTACATCAAGGCGTGTCGGGAAGAACATGCTAGATTCCTTATTGAATTTTTATTGTTCCAGTGAAAGTGGACGTGCACATCAATAACGGGACCTACAAGCCCATCAGCAACGGGCACTCGATAAGGTCGGACTCAATAATCAAGGACACCAGTGAGCATGCATACGAACAAATTTGCTTACGTCAGGAAGAAAATGATAGCAGCGTCAGTTCTTCGTTTCAAAAAAAATTGTCCGATAACGCATCCGATGGCAGGTAATCCTCTCACGTTTCATATGTTGATCCGTTCACCTTCCACAGTAGAATTCTGGAAAAATAGAAACTATTTAATTAATCTTTTCTAAATTTCCAAATTTTAAATTCAATTCCAGTGGAAATTAAAATTTTTTGTACTTATAGTTTTAATTAAAAGAAAAATGAAGTAACAGGAAAAAATTTAATTCTTAAAAACAATTTTTAATTTAAATCTTCACTCAGTGCCGAGAGAAAAATAAATAAATGGGTGATTCTCCGCGTAGCGCACAATTTGGATTTTACTATTTTTGAAATTTTTTTTTTCAATTTAAGTAAAAGTCGATATAGAATTTTAAAGTTCAATATTCAAGAACGAAATATTCGTGGTGGGCCAGACAAAATAATTATAATTTTCTTTTTTACAATAAACACCCATGTAAAATTGATTACACCATGACGCTCTGATTCGACCACGACGCACAAGAAAAACTAATTTTTTAAGCAAATTATTATCGATTTCAAAAATTCTTTTTTTCCACGTCTTTTGTTTTCACTTACTTTATACTACTAAACTTGTTTTGAGGTAAAATATAAATAATTATTCATTTTATTGCAAATATATTATGATTCGACCATGACGATTCTGTGATTCCCTATGCAACTTTCATGCTCGTAACACATATAAAACAGAAAAATAAATTTTTTTATTAATTTCTTTTTTAGTAATTTACTTACGAGAGTTTACTAATGCTTTTTATTAATGTTAAGTAATTTTTCGATTTCATTTTTTATGTAAATTAGGCAATTTTACAAAGTGATGATACCATGACGCGAAAACGGGGGACAAGAAATATCTACAAAAATATTAAAAAATAAATTTTTTTTTACATAAGTGTTTTGTTTTTCTCAATTCTACTAATTTAGACAATAAGAAAATGTCAATATTCATTATATTTATTATTATATTTTACTAAAAAAATTACATTTTATATATGAAATGGTAATGGGGACTGATTACACCATGACGTTTTGGCACCTTAAAACAGACTTTTAAGTAAAATTCTAAACTTTTAAATGGAAACGACTATAGACTTTTATTTGTTATTATGGAAATAAGTTATCCACGTTGAATTTATTAGAATATATGAAACTGTTTTCTTAAAAAACATGAGGGACATTAAATTGTGCGCCACGCGGAGAATCACCCAAATACAAAAAAAAGTAAATAAATAAATCTCGACAAATAAAAAATGTTGAAAAATTAAATTTTCAAAAAGAGAGGAAAAAAAAAAGTTTACGGACTTAACACAGTTTATACAATAAAACATAATTTTCTAATAGCATGAATCTATTAGTTGTATTGAAAAGGATGTTCTCTTTAAACAGAGCATGATAAATTGTGAGATGCCAAGTAATTAACAATTATGTGGTAATAAAACTATCATCGATAAGTGATCGAGAAATCTTGAACCATTAAATTAAATTAACAATCATTGACCTCATCCCAAGAAAAATTGAGTACATACGAAAAAAATTTCAAATTTCTTTAGTAATAAATTTCATAATTATTTAATTAAAATTTAATTTTCGAATTCAAGAAAGAGAATTATTTTTCAAAAATAAATTTTCTATGGAAGTGAAATATTATTTTTTTTTGTTCAATTGCTTAATATTGTTGGTGACATAAAAAACTTTGTTATTATAGAAGATAAAAGACAATAAAACCAGGAACTGAATACGATTGTTTTCATGTTAGTTTTAAATCCAATAAAAGACTTGACAAAACATAAAATTAGATAATGTTGCAATCTATAATTGTTTCAGTCGGTCTCGAAAAACTGATCGCCGTTATAGTAGATCAAGCAGTGCAAGCGAATGTTCAAATATGAGTAGTGAAATTCATTGTTTCTCCTCGACAACATCAACGCCATCGCTCTCAAGAAACAGTAGTAATGAAAGAATAAGTAAAAGTCCCAAAATCACGGAAATAACAGGTAATAAAAAAATTTAATATATAAATAATAATATTATAATTAAAGCAAAACTTACAAAAAAATTTTTTACAAAAAAATTTCATTTTTTAAAGAAATAATTCATTTTTATCCATTACATCAAAAGTAGAAAATCAAAAAATAATTACAATAGAATATCAAAAGTAAAAAAAAAAAAAAATAATAATTAAAATAGAAAAATTTCTAAATAATTCAGGTTTCGCACTCGTTAATAATTAATTTAAAAAAGGTAGCAAAAAGTATCTTTAAGACTAAAAAAATAAGTAAAAAAGTAGTGAAAAAATAGTTATCGAATAATTAAATTTGACGACTAAAAAACTTGCTTTAGTCGATTCAATGTACTAAAAAGGAACTCATTTCATTCAGGGTTATCACAAAAACTTCATTATTAATTCCCCATATTTCTAAAAAAATACGTTTTTCTTTCCTTATCCTGGAAATAACTTCGATTTAAAATTTTTTTTAAATTCTATTATTTCCCATAGTTTTAGTTAAATTCTTCAAAATTACGATATTTAAAAATAATTTTTAAAAGTAAAAAACTTAAATTCTTTAAAATATAAAATTTACCTCTATGAAACTAGACAAAAATTCCAATTGTTTCGATTTTTCAAAATTATTTTCGGAAATTCAATTATCTTCAAAACATTTGAATTACAATTTTTCATAAATCTCCTATTCTTCAGAATTTCTATTAAATTATTCAAGAACAATAATTTTTGTTAAATTAATATTTAAATACTTATTGTTATTTATTATTTTTCAAAAATTAAAATTTTCAATTTCAATGTAAAACTTATTTTGTAAGTTAAGGATTTCTAAACATTACAACTATAATTCTTCGAAATTTCCATTATTTTTTAGAATCTTTAAATAAAATTATTCAAAACATTAATAATTTTTTAGAAAAATAATATTAATAAATTCTATAATTATAAATATTTAAATATTATTATAAATTTACATGAATTAATTTTTTTCTAATTTTAATTGAATTTAAATCTTAAAAATTACTTAACTAAATTTTACTTTAATGTTTTGAATTAAAAATTATAATTTAATTTGTAAATTAATTGTAACTAGTGTTGCACATCGATACAAGATGATCGTTTAGATCGGAATATTTTGTTTTAAAATCGAGCATTTGTCGAACCGAGATTATCGTATATTCTTTTGTTATTTCTCATATTATCGTCTCGACAATTTCACTGTGATCGCTGTCATCGGTTGATTTGTCAATTTCACTATTTCGTTTTAAATTTAAAAATGGGCGATACTGAAGAAGAAAACAGGCGGACTATTGAGTAAATTCAATTATTTACATTATAATGTAAATTTAAAACATTATTTTGCAATGTAATTTTAATTTCTGTTTAGTGAGAATTTTAAAGATGTTAATTTTCGAGCTAAACGCAGAAAGTATAATGGGAAACCTCTCCATGAATCATTTGAATTCAGTGTAGATGAAAATACTAACTGCAAATGGGGAAAATGTAAACTTTGTCTTCTGAAAAATCCACCTGTAATAAAAACTATTAAAATGAGTGGCTCAAACACCACAGGCCTTAAGCGTCATTTACAGAAAGAACATTTCGAAGAATATAAAGAAACGTATCCATTACCTGAGACATCTCAACAAGTAACTTTTAATTATAATAATTTTAACCCTTATTTTACAAATAATTACTATTTGATCCATTTATAGTAATGACAAGTATAATAATGAAGGTTATTAGTAGAAATATTTTTAAATTATTTAAGAATTCAGAACAATAATTATTTATTATTACTATTTATACAAAATGTATTTTTCATATTAAATTTCCAATAAAATTATTCTTTAATTATTTTATTTTTAAATCACTCTATAATAATTATTCAGGGTGGTCACAAGTTTCAGTTTATCAATTTCCCTGATATTCCCTGACAATTTACTGACATTAGAATTACTTTCCCTGAGAAAATTCTTTTTACAGGAAAATATGAATGCTTACGGAAAAAGAGTAAAATTTATGAATTTTAATAATTTCTAAAAATTACAATTATAACCCTTTCTGAATTCAATTATTTTCTACAATTTTCAACTAAACTTGATCTCTAAATTAATTAATTTAAATAACAATTCTAATAATTAGTTTTTAAAAGTATTTTAATTTCATTTATTGAAAATAATTAAATTTCTTAAAAGAATTTTTGTATAATTTAAAGAAACTAATTAATTTTTTGACGAATTTTAATTAAAAATTTTTAACATGATTTTTTTCTCCAAAATGTTGAAAATAATTCTTAAATGTTATTATTTTTTGCATATATTTGAATTTTCAGAAATATATGATTAGAAATACTGAATTTTTAAAAATTAAAAGCTTATTTTCATTAATTTCCATTTTTAACATTTTTGATAATTCAATTCTTTTCAAAATTTGCAATGAAAATTCTTCAAAAGTTGATTTTTAAAAATTGTAACAAAATACTTAAACAAAATTCATTATTTTTAATTAAAATGTACAAAATTTCAATTACTCAAAAATATTTTTATTATAGATATATTTGAAAAATTTAATTATCTTAAAAAATGATTCAAAAACAATTTTCGGAAGATTCGTTTATAGTTATTTTTCGCATTATAAAAATCAGAATGAATTGCACTTCTTTTACTAAAGCTTGTGTTATTTTGTTGCAATGTTTGGAGAAAAGTCAAAATTTTTGGAAATAAGTTGAAAGATGCTTCAATTTTCATAATTTCCCTGAAAAAAAATTTTTTCCTGACTTTACTGACAAAAAATGTGTTACCCTGACTTTACTGACATGTGGCCACCCTGATAATAGTTCTTTCCGATTTCAGTTTCCCATAAGTTTAATTTTTTCTTAATAAAAACTTTATTTTCTTAAAATAAATAAAATTAATTTCGTAGAAAAAATAATAAATTATTTAAATAAAATATAAACAAAATTATAGTTAATAAATAATAAAAGAGAAAATTAATTAAAATTTTAATTCTTTTTTTTCATCACACTCCTATTTAAAAAATGTAACTGTTTTATACGTAAGCGAATATTTAAAAAATTTTATTTTTTAATATTATATCATTTTTTGTAGAATTTTCAACAAGAAGTATTTGAAAATCTGTTAGTCGATTGGATAGCAAAAAAACACTTGCCTTTGATGTTGTTTGATGACGATGACTCTCAAAAATTATTTAACTACCTAAATCCAGAAGCTCAAATTCCACTGAGAGGGAAAATGAAAGACATTGTTGTAAATAGATTTATAAAAATGAAGGAAGTGGTAATTCGAATTTTACAAACCAACGGATCAAAAATATCATTTACCTTAGATGGGTGGACGTCAATTTCACATAAAGGGTATTATGGAATCACGGGTCATTTTATTGATGAAGAGTGGAATTTGCATTCCCTGGTCGTAGATTTTATTCCTTCTCACGGCGATCATACAGGGAAAGACATTGCTAAATATTTTGATGAAACGGTTCAAAATTTTAAAATAAGTAATAAAGTATTAGGAATAACAGTCGATAATGCCAGTGTGAATTTCAAATTTACAAAAGAGTTATCAAAATTAATTCCATTTGATTACATGAATCAGCATTTTCAATGTTATTCTCATATTTTGAACATAGCCGTTCAAGATATGTTAAAACAGTTAGGACTTGATATTGTTTGCTATGAAAATGAAGATGATGAAGGATTAGAAAATGATTACGAGGAAACTGATATTTTAGAAGAAATTCAAGGAAGTCTTATGACATCGCCGCTTTGTAAATTAAGAAAATTATTTAAACTTTTGAAAAACTCTGAAATTTGGAAAAATAAATTGCACAGTAGTTGTGAAGTATGCGGAATAAAAATGCTTTCACCGAATATAGACGTGTCCACCAGGTGGAATTCAACTTGCGATATGATCCATTTAGGGATTCATATGCAATTGCCAATAAACTTGCTGTGCAAAAATAATCCCGCTTTGGAGAAGATGCTTATTTCAGAGAATGAATGGGTCCTATTACAAGAAATACACAGGCATTTGCGGAATTTTAAAGTTTTGTCAAAAGTATTTTGCGGGGAAAGTTACCCAACATTAAATTTAATAATAGTAGGATTCAACATGCTCCTTGATAAACTAGAAAACTCGATCTTTCAATTAAAAGAAAAAATTAGAAATTCTGTAGAAGAGAAAATTTTATCGGCTCTGGAATTAGGATTAGCTAAATTATTAAAACATTATAGAAAAAGTAATTGGATCTACAGTATTGTATTGATTCTGGACCCAAGACACAAAATAGAAACGTTCAATTTAACATCATGGGGTATTGAAATGAAAGCAACTTCTCTGGAAAAATTTAAGGACATTTTCAAACATGAATATTATGAAGGATCAGTTCAAGAGGTAATCTAGAATCATGTTTAATATTTTCTTAATTTTTAAACTTAAAATTTAAAATATAATAAATTAAATAGTCATTATCAGTGCAGAAATAAAGAATAATAATAATAATAATAATAATAATAATAATAAATATATTTTTGAAATATAAAATATTTTCTGGATATTTTTTTGCTAATTTATTTATCTTGAATATTTATTAATTTTTTAATTTCATTATAATTTTAAAAATCAAAAATTTTTTACAATTTATTTTTAATTAGAATATAAGTAAAAAAAGATTACCGTACAAAGTAGTAAAATATCTAAAATATATAGAACCCAGTTTTAACTGAAGCAGAGCAATTTATGGAAAGTGATGCTGATATTGATATATTATCATTATATAAGAATAATGAAAAATCTCCTGCAACTTCATCAGAGAACATTTGGGAAAAAGAAATTACTTTGTATAATTTGGAAGACCGTGCACACGCGAATACTGACGTCTTAAAATGGTGGAAGGAGCACGAAATACAGTATCCAAATCTGGCACGCATGGCGAGAGATTTCCTAGCTATCCCAGGAACATCCGTTCCATCAGAACGACTTTTTTCAAGAAGCTCGTTAACAATTCGAAAACATCGAAACCGATTAAATGATCATTCAATTCGTTGTTTAATGGGACTAAATTCTTGGGTTAATTGTTCGTTAACGCCTAAAATAAAAACTTTTATGGGAGAAGTAAATGATAAGAAAATTGGCTAATTTCCTACAATAAATCAATTCTTTTGTGTTGAATTGAAAAAAAGTTTGCAGAGGCAAACTTTTTTTTTTGGCAAACTTTTTTTTTTTTTTTTTTATTATAATTGGTATTTTATTTTGTTAACTTGTTGTGTTGTAAGATAAAAATATAGAATTAAAAATTTGTTTAAAATAATGTTTTATTAATTTCTTTTACCACCAAAAGGAATTTTGACTAGTTTACATTTAGAAGATTAAAGAATAAACTTTAAGATTAAAAAAAATTCAAAAAGAAAATTTAAAAAAAAATTTTAATTTTGTAAACAAACATTGTAATATTTATTTTGCTTTATTAGAAATAAACATTTTAATTTTATTTTCATGATTAAATAAATTATTATGGTTTTCAATTTGTAGAACAGATATATTATTAATAGTAGCGTAACTATTTTGACAAACATTAATTTATTATTAATTGTTTAACTATTATTCTTTGCTAAAAATTAATTTTTCTTTTGCTTGACTTCATGCACAAATATTTTCTATAATTCTATATATATTTGCCACAAATTTTTCATCTTTCTCCAAAAGAGTAAAAAATGTTTTTCATCGAAAGAAAGGAAGGTTTTTTATTTTCATGATTAAATAAATATTTTTATTTTTAATTTTGTAGCTATTTTCAATTTTTTAAATAATTATTTAACAAAAATAGCATTTAAAACAGAAAATAAAATAATTTATTGCATTCAATATCCTTAACATTAATCGACAATAACCAATAACTCATATTCTAAACAAATGAGGTTTTTCGTCCACGATTGTTGTAATTAATATAATACGAGATTCTCGTTTATGTTCTGTGATCGGCTTTATAATATGAAGTGAGACGAGATTTTTGTTTTGTCTAACGAGACTCTCACCTGAAGCTGGTTATTTCTCGATCGTAGCGATCGACGTGCAACTCTAATTGTAACCTATTTTATTAAAATTTTTAAAAACAATTAAATTCTTTGGAGAAAATTAATTAAAATTGTGTTAAAAATAATTGAATTCTTGCAAAGAATTTTATTATTTATGAGAATAATGAAATTTATGCGAAGAATTTTATTCAAACTTCTGAAAATAATTAAATTCATTCGATGAATATAATTAAAAATGTATTGTAAAGAATTGAATTCTTATAAAGGAATAATTATCAATATTTTTAAAAATAATTGAATTTTTTAGAAGGATTTTTTAATATAATTTCTGAAAATAATTGAATTAATGCAAGGAATTTCGTTCAAATTTTCAAAAATAATTGAATTTTTTCCAAAATATTCAAAATTAATGAATTTCTGCGCAAAAATGAATTATTTTTTAAAATAATTGAATGCTTACGAGGAATTTAGTTAAAATTTTCAAAAAATAATTGAGTTCTTCCGAGAAAATTGAAAATTATCGAATTTCTGTAGAGAATTTTATAATTTATGAAAATAATTGAATTTTGGAAAAAAACCGCTGCCAAGTTGTATATTTTTTTTTATAATTTTGGTGCTCATTTCATGAACACTTTACTTCCTCATGGAGATAAAAATAATAGAAATATATGAATAACTTTTTATAAATATAGTAAAAGTGATTAAATTTTGAGTCAATCAATGTATTTTTAAATACCCTACAAGATAGTTACAATAATTTAATAGTTAAACAAAAATTTTCAAACAAAAAAGTTGAGAAAATGTCATTTTTCATAATTTTTGGTTTTTAAAATACCAATAATTTCGAAATTTATTATCGAAGTAGGTTCAAAAATAGGTCAATCGAAGCGTCTTTTAATGCTCTACAAGTTGATAACGAGAATTTTAAAGTTACTTCTACGTTTTTCAACAAAATTTTCAAAAAAGTCTTATTTTCTAAAATTTTGTATTTTTAAAAGTTTAATAACTCCGGTTAATATGGACGAAAAATGTTCAATTAGGGCTCAAAAGATGCGTCTAAAAAAACTCTACAAAATTATGGAAAAACATTTATAGGTATCCTAACATTTTTTTAAAGTTATGGGCAAAAAACGTTTTTTTGCAAAATTAAAAATCCAAAAAAAATTTAGTTAAACTTTATTAATATATCAGAAAGTACTCTCACTTTATGTCCGCAGGTGAGATCTACAATTTAAAAAAGAATTCAACCCAAAAGCTCTTCATAATTTCGAGATATTTATGAAAATGTGATGTTTACACACACACACATACGGAATGACATTTTTTAAAAATGTCATTTTTGAACTCCTGAGGTCAAATAACATAAAGATATGTCAAAAAATCGAACTCGAAAAATTTTGGTATTACAATACTTCCTCTATGAGGAAGTAAAATTTAATTAAAATTTCAAAAAGGTTTGAATTTTTTCGAGAATATTGAAAATAAATGAATTTTTTAGAAAAATTTTATTAAAATTTTAAAAAATATCTAATTGAATTTTTTCAAAAATATTGAAAATAAATGAATTTCTGCAAAAAATTTTAGTATTTCTAATAATCATTAAATTCTTGCAAGGAATTTAATTAAAATTTTCAAAAATAATTGAAATTTTTCAAAAATAATGAAAATAACTGGATTTTTGAGAAAAATTTTATTATTTCTAAAAATAATTGAATTCTTGCAAGGAATTGAGTTAAAATTTTCAAAAATAATGGAGTTCTTCCGAGAATATTCAAAATAATTGAATTTCTGTGGAGAATTTTATAATTTATTGAAAATAATTGAAATTCTGCGAAAAATTTTATTATTTTTAAAAATAATTGGATTCTTGGGAGGAATTAATAAAAAATTTAAAAATAATTGAGTTCTTTCGAGAATATTGAAAATAATTGAATTCCTGTGAAGAATATTATAAATTAAGAAAAAAATTGAATTTTTGCGAAAAATTTTCAAAATGAATTGAATTGTTTCAAGAATATTGAAAATAATTGAAATTCTGCAAGAAATTTTATTAAAATTTCCAATAATAATTTAATTCTTTCGGGAATATATTGAAAATAATTAAATTCCTGCAAAATAATTTTATTATTTATGAAAATGATTGAATTCTTTCGAAAAATGATTATTTTGAAGAAAAAAATAGTAGCAAATTGTAAAAAAAAGTTGTCAATATACTAGTTTTAAGTTGATGAGTGCAAAGCCTGAATAATTAAAATTTTTCCACAAAATTTTTAAAAATTACCAAATATTCCCAATAATCTCAATACTTATTTTAAATAATAAACGTTGAATTTAATGAAATAAAATGAAATATAAAAATATCGTAAAAGAAAGAATATCGATAAAAGGCAATCATATATAATAAAATTGCTCTCATTCTATATAAATTTCACCTCCTTCAAAAACTTTCTCATCTCCTATCGTAAAATAATTCATCTGCTGTTTACCTTCGAGTATTTTTTGACACATCATCAATTTTATCAAGTATTCCCTCCACCTCAACAGGAAGAGAAAGTAAATATATATATATTGTAAAGATGAAAAAGCAATTGAAGAGCAATTTTCTAAAAACTATATCACGAGCGGAAGAGACGATATATACATAATTTAATAAGAAAACAAATCAATTTAATAATTTGCAGAAAGAAAGGACTCAATCAGCTCAAAAGTGGAAAGTGAAAAGGGGATAAAGACAATCAGTAATGGGTCCAGGTAAGTGGGACAAAAATCTAACATCCTTGATTGAAAGTTAATCATACATGAAAAACACGTGTGTGTGGGCAGGCAGACAATATCAATTCAATTAATTATTAATTTTCAACTCTTCGAATTTTACAAGATTTTTTTTTCAGAAAATCGTAATATTTTGTGGAAATAAAAAAAGATTTATTTTTATCCTTCACATAAATTAATTTTTGTCTATTAGAAAATATATAAAAGTCGACTTGAAATATAATTCATTTGGGAACTTTTTTTCTCTGCCAAAGTTTATGATCGAAGTTTAAACTTTCTCATAGCTAAATCTAAGCATTCTGATATTGATAAATAGTAAATGCTCCCATAAATTTCTTTGTGAATCTGTACTGAAGTCGTAAATTGCCATTATATCACCTTTTAACCAGAACTCATAACCGGAAAGTAATTTATTGTAATTTACGTTCCTTATGAATATAATATTTTAAATTTGCTCAATTTATGAGCAAATACTTATGTAAACTTTTCTTATAGTCAAATTAACTAAATTTTATTATTTAAAAACTGTAACTGAATTTAACCCTTTTTCTGCATTTCTTTCTTTCACAATATTTTTGTTATTATTAATTTTAGTATTTATAATAATAATTAATAATAATATTTATTATTAATAATGATAATAATAATTTATTACCACTATTATTACTGCTTTTTTTCGAGAATTGAATTCTCCTTTTTCTGTACATATTTCTTTTTTTTCACATTATTTTTGCGTTATTACTGCTTTTTGAGAATTTGAGTTCGAAGATGTTTCTTACGTCATTTTGAAGACAAAAAAAAAAGTGAAGAGAATAAAATTATTCCCAGAAGATGTTCTTTTATTGTCTGCAAAATATGCCATTTCCGGGACTTGAAACTTATTCTTTTCATTTCAGCGTTCTCAGGCCACCGCCACCGCCACCTCTTCCACCACCACCGGAAATTGAGGAGGTTTTTGTCAGTCAAATAAAAGTTGTCGAAAATATAACACGAGAGGAGAAAAAAGATGTCAGTGATTCAAACGGACTTGATAGTAAAAGTGAGACTGGAAGTCTTTCCTCTTGTGAGTAACATTAAATTAAGTATATTAAAAACATTTTTCTTTTATTACCTTTTTGAAATTGCCACAAAAATTTGTTTCTCATTTTTCTTGTGTTTTCCCTGAAGATGAATAAGACTTTTCTTTTCTTGATTTCTTAGTGAGAATTTTGGACTTTTTCCCTGAAATATATAAAAGAAATTAAAAGAAGAATTAAATTCATCTTTCTTATAATTATAAAAAAGATCATTTTTAGAAACAAAAAATTTATTTTAAGCTTTAAGGATATTTATTTATTTTAAAACTAAAATTAATTATTATGTCGAACAGTTTTCTTAGATTAACAGTTTTAATTATTTTCAATTCAGTTTCAAAAAAATTCATATAGTTTGATAAATCTTTAATAAAATTATTTAAAAATTCAAGTATCGTTAAATAATTGAATTAAAATTTCTCAGAAATTATTTTAACAATTTTCAATTACTTGTTTATAAAAATTCAATTATCTTTAAAAAATAAAAATGATTTATTTAGAAAAAACTAATATTTCTGAATTTTAAATAACATTTTTTGAAACTTCAATTTTTGAAAGAAATTGTAAATTTAAATCTTTGTTAAATTTAGTAAAGTAATAATTTTAATTGTTAGTACATTTTTAATTTAATTTAAATTATTTTCAGTTTAATTAAAAAAAATTTCAATGAATTTGGTAATACTTCAATAAAACTTTTCCCAAATTAAAATAACTTTGAAGTTTAAACAATTATTGAATTAAAATTTCTCAAAAATTTTTTTTTTTTAGAAATATAATAAATATAGAAAATGAAAAAATAAAAATTTAATTTCAATTACTTGTTTATAAAAATTCAATTATTAAAATAAAAATAAAACAAATATTTTTAAAAAATCTAATTTTTCAGGATTTTAAATAAAATTTTTCGAAAATTCAATTTTGTATTTTAATCTCTAATATAAACCATGGACAATTTGAATTATTTTTAATACAAATTCAAATGAGTTGATAATACTTTTTTTTAAAATTCAAGCATCTTTAAACAATTGCAATAAAATTTCTTAAAAACTTAATTTTTTCAGAATTTTAAATAAATTTATGTAAAATTTAAACGCAAAGAAAAACTGCACCAAAAACAACTCAAACTTTACTACATTAGCGTAATTTTTAATTGTCTTATTTAAAACTTTTGTTATTCCAGAGAAACTTATCCCTGTTCTAGGTAAAGTTTTTTTTCCATGAATAATAATTTGAAATGTTATTATTTAATTATTAAATTTACTAATTCACAAAAATTGAAATTTTCAAAAATTTTAGTTTAAAATCTTCTGAAATTTTATTATTTCTGAAAATTATGACTGTTTTTACTAAAATATTTTTCTACATTAATTAAAATTAATTACTTAAAGTTATTATTTCAAGAGTTATTCTAGAAAGTAATTATTTAAAATATGATATAATTAATTACAGAAATAATAGAAAATTTCGGTCTTGCTTTAAAATGTTTTACTTGCTTTAAAATTCACTGTTGAAAAGGTGAAATATTGAAAAGTTTTTAATGTGAAAAAAATTCAAGAAGTATTCAATTTTTTTTAAGTTTTTCAAAAAAGTCTTCAAACACCAAAAACCAGAACTTTTGTACTAATTCTAAAAATTTAATTGTTCTATAGTACTTTTGATAAAATTCTCTGACATTTCCTTGATTCTCTTAATCAAATTCATGTTTCCTGACTTTTCCTTAAATTCTCCGATTTCTCTAATTTTTGTCAACTTAAGACTCGGAAAAAAGACAGAAAATTCAAATAAGGAAATATTTGATTTTAATAGATTGAAAAAAAATTTTTGAAAAATATTTCTTAGAACTCTTGATAAAACCTTGAGAATTAGAAATACTCTTAATACCTTTTTATACACTCATGATTCACAATTTTAATCTTTATTATCGCAAGATAAGTAACACCTCAATAGAATTCATCCCTTCATTGTAAAATTGTCTATACAACAGTTTAAACTTTAAATAACATCAGTTAATAATTATTCCCATGTCAAGTGAAAATAAAAATAAAAATAAAAAGTAATTTATAATTTAAAAAAAAATTCTCATGGATCAAGAACGCTCAAGTAAGTTTTCTCTTTTTTTCATTCATTATTGAAAAATTTCAACCGAACAAAAAAAGAAAAAGAAAAAATAACAAAAAAAAAAAAAAAATTAGTAGGGGAAATTAATTAATTAGTTTTCCTTTTTGAGATTCGAAAGATAACGAGACAAACTTGAAAAGCTTGACGACTTGTTAAGAGTATAAATATAGAGTTGATTTAGTTAATTGGGAGTGATAAAGAAAAAGAAAAAAGAATTTAGGGTGATCACGATGACTTTTAATTGGGCCGTTAGCGGGGCGATTATGGATACGACTATTACTAGACCATATCGCTCAACAGGCATATAATATACTTACCTAGATTTCACTTGCACACGATCCTTCTCTCTCTTTCTCTCGAGATTCACATATTCAACTATGTACTTAATAATAATCACTGGCTGACCCCCTCTTCTGTTGCGGAACAGCGACCAACAAGACCGATGCATCCTGCGAACAGGCGGAAGTCAATTCTGCCAGTCCACCGGTAGATATCGAAGAAATTAAATCATCTCAGGTGTCACATCTCGTGAGTAAACACATGGTACTGCCCTTCATTCCGCCCACGTTCACAAATGCCGCCGATTCCAATACTTTACTGAAGCCTTCCGAATATCTCAAGAGTATCTGCAAAGTGCCTCAAAAGAAGTGCCTCTCCAAAGCAAGGTCAGTGATCGTCCTCATCCAGCTTCTCTTCTTGCAATTAGTAATCTGTAAACATTTCGCTCTATGTAATCTTCACAATTCTGATAACATTAATTGTTATTTATTATAATCGATACTATTCTGATTTTGAACAAGAAAATTACTTTTTATATACTTCTATTTTTAAATATTTCTGTATCTTGATAAATTTCTATATTTTTATATTAGGTATAATAGTGCACTGAAAAAAAATTATTTGCTTCAAATAACCAATTACTTGTCTATTACCAAATAAATATTTATTTGTATGAAATAACTTTTATTTGAGTCAATTAAATCGTATTTCCATTAAATACTGAACTTATTGGTTCAAATAATTAATTGTGCAAATAATTACTCGTTCAAATAATTATTGGTTCAAATAATTTTCGTTCAAATAATTATTGGTGCAAATAATTTTCGTTCAAATAATTATTGGTTCAAATAATTATAGATTCAAATAATAATTAATTAAAATAATTATAGGTTCAAAATTATTTGATTTGAATAAAAATAATCTGATTCACAGGGCTCGAACCAGTGAAAGTATTTTAAAATACGGACATTACGGACCAAACATTAAAAATTACGGACCAACTACTGATAAAAATATAACCAATCCGAGTCAAATAAGAAAATATTTTACTTAAAAATATAAATGAAATTTTTTCATAACTATAAAACATGAAGACATCAATCACTCTAAGTAATCGACTTCTTCATGTTTTATAACAACTTCTTCAAAATTATTTTCATAATTTCAATTCAATTATTATTATCTTGAGTTTTTAACTAAAATTCTTCTTTAAATCAATTATTTTTAATAATTTTTGAAAAAGTTCTTTGAGAATGTTCAAATTCATTTGTTTTCACTTCAATTTTACGAAATTTCGAGTATTCGGAAATTCTTCAATTAACAATACATTAGAAAATAAAAACTTAAAATAATTTCAAAAAAAAAAAAATTCAATTAAAATTTTTCAAAAATATTAGTTCTACAGAATTATTAGTTAAAAGTAAGAAAAATTAAGATTTTTATAGATTTTAATTTGAAACTTTTACAAAATTCAATTATTTCTAAGGATTCACGTTGTAATGATTTTAATTTATAATTATTATCTAAAATTTAAACTGTAATCCATTTTTAAATCAATTTTTATTAAAAAATTCTACGAGAATTCAAATATTTAAATACAAAACTAAATAATTTATTAAATAATTGAATTTTCTTAAAAAGTTGTATCAACAAATTTTTAAATAATTTAATCCTTTTATTGAATTTTTAAAAAAAATTTAAGAATATAATTACATTTTTCGAGGAATTCGACTAAAATTGTATTAAAAATAATTGAAATTCTGCAATGAGTTTTATTATTTATGAAAATAATTAAATATTTACGTAGAATTTTCTTAAATAATTTTTCCAAATAATTGAATTCTTTTGGGAAATTCTAATAAAATAGTATTTCAAAATCATCGAATTGAGGAAATTTTTTAAAAATAATTAAAATTTTGCCAAGAATTATATTAAAATTTTTAAAAATAATTGATTTTCGTAAAAAAAATTTATTATTTATAAAGATAATTGAAATTTTGATAAGAATTTTTTTTAAAAAATTTTTGAACATACTTGAATTTCTGCAATGAATTTTATTACTTTTAAAAATAATTAAAGTTCAGCAATCATTTGTAATTTCTCAAAAATTCACTTTTTGTTGTGTTTTTAACTAAAATTCTTCTATAAATCCATTATTATTATTATTATACTTATAATTATTTAAAATTAAAAAACAATTTATTGAATAATTGAATTCTCATAAAGAATGTTATCAACAAATTTTTAAATAATTGAATTCTTTTGACGAAGTTTAATAAAAATTTTATGAATAATTACATTTTTCGAGGAATTTGATGAAAATAGTATTAAAAATAATTGAAATTCTGCAATGAGTTTTATTATTTAAGACAATAAATTCATTTTCTAAAAAGTGTTCTATTATTTATGAAAATAATTTAATTATTTTAAAGAAATTTATAAAAAATTTGTAAATAATTGAATTTCTGTGAGATTTCCATTCTTTATGAAATAAAATAATTGAATTATTGCCAAAAAATTTTTCAAAAATTTGTAAATATTTGGAATTTTGTGAAATTTTTACTATTTATGAAAATAATGAAATGTTTGTGTAAAATTTTATTAAAATTTTTGAAAATAATTGAATTTCGGAGAAGAATTTTATTACTTTTGAAAATAATTGAATTTCTGTAATCATTTGTAACTTCTCAAAAATTCTCCAAATTATATCGTACAATTTACGAAATTTTCGTACTTTTTCAAATAAATTACGGACTTTACTGACGTTTTTAAAAAAAACTGACTTTTACAGACTACAATCAAATTTACGGACCTAGTTCTAGCCCTGGATTCAAGTATTCAAGATTTATTTGATAAAAATCAACTAACTGATTATTTGAATCAAATAAATTTTCCTTCAGTGTGTAATTATTATTTAAGAACATTTAAACCATTATGATAATAATAGCGAAATGACTTAATAGCAAACGCAGAAAAAATATTTCCCCTGGAACAGCGATAATTTTCTCTAGAATAGCGAAAGTCTTAACTGAAATATCTAAAATATTTCGCTAATATAATAAAATTTGTAGGTAGTTGTTCCAGATAAAATATTTTTTGCGTGAAGCGAATAATGGTTCAAATGCTTTTAAGAGAAAAAAAGTTGTAATACCTGTTTATATTGAAAAGATTTTGAATTTTAAAATTAGATCCGTGGACAATTTGGATATTCAAGGCAGATCAAGCGACGACGAGGAGCAGAAAACCGAGGAGGACTCGAGTCCTCCTCCGGGACCACCACCTCCTCCGGCTCTACCATCTTCGACGCCGAAGATTCATGGAAGTCCAACTTCCGCCACAACACCTGAAACCGAATCTCCAAAGCCACTGCAACAGCCCCTTGCCACTATAAGTATTCACGATCTGACGAGCGTTCAACTCAGGCGGACAAATATTAAAATGCACGCATCGAAAACATTTTCAGCGCCTCCACCTCGAAGTGTATCCATGACAAATGGTAAACAATTTATACCTATAATACAGAAAAAAAAAATTCTTATCTCATTATTTAATTTACGCAATGAAAACTTCTTAACTAATCTACAGTAAGATTAAAATCAAAAATTATTTTCATATTTCTTCAATATTATAATGCATTTTTTAAACTTGTACCGAAACATTATCATTATTATAGTAAATAATAAATTATTATTATTATTAATATTATTATTATCTTTATTATTATATTAAATAATAACAAATATTAATAATTAATAATAATAGGTAATAGTTTTCAAATATTTTTTTTTATTTCTATTTTATTTCTTATTCTAATTAAAGGCTTTCAACTCGTTAATTAATTTAAAAAAAGTAGCAAAAGTAGCTTTTAACTCTATTATTCTTCAAATGTTCAATTAGAATTATTCAAAAATACGATTATAATTAAAAAATAATTTTCAGAAGTAAAAAATAAAACTCATCTTCAAAACAAAAATGTTTATTTCAATGATATTTCACGAAATTTCCAAACGGTTTCAAAATTTTTTAAAATTATTTTAGGGAATTCAAATATTTTCAAAAAAATTTAACTACAATTTTTCAGAAGAACCTAATTTTTAAAAAATTTCTAAATAAAATTATTAAAAAATTCAATAATTTTTGTTAAATAAATATTTAAATATTTATTGATCTTTATTTTTCCATGAGAATTAAATTTTTCAATAATTTTTCTAAATTATACTTTTTAACTGTTTAAAATTTTAAAATTTAATAAATTTATAATTTAATATTTTGAAAATTAAATATTAACAGAAATTTATTAAGTAAAATTATTTTAAATTAAAAATCATTCCTGCATTTCTGCGAAAAATTGTATTATTTATGAGAATAAAATAGAATTTTAATAAAATATTTGAAAATAATTAAATTTTTTTGAGGAATTTAATTAAAATGTTATAAAAAAGAATTGAATTCTTTTGAAGGATTTTATTATAATTTCTGAAAATCATTGAATTCTTTCGAGAATATTAAAAATCATTGAATTCTTGTGGAGAATTTTATTATTTACGAATATAATTGATTTTTTGTGGCGAATTATTTTAAAATTTACAAAAATATGTAATTGAATGCTTTGGAGAATATTAAAAATAATTGAATTCCTGTGGAGAATTATATTATTTATCAAAATAATTGAATTCTTGTGAAGAATTTTATTAAAATTTAAAAATAATTGAATTTCTGCGAAGAATTTTATTCAAATTTGGAAAAATAATTTAATTTTTTTGAGAATATTGAAAATAATTAAATGCCTGCGAAGATTTTTCTTTCGATCTCAATAAAGTATGCAAATAGTAAAAGAAATATTTAAAATATTTTTTTTAACAGATGAGTGCGAATAATTGCTATTGAAATTACAAATTAACTAATCTTTAATTTGCAATTTAAAATTACTAGGTATTTAGATTACTAAATATATTATCTATTAAAAATTTAACTACCTACAATTTTTCAAAAGAACCTAATTTTTTTCAGAATTAGATTAAATCTAATCACTATACTCTAATTACTTTTTCATTTTCATAATTACTCACTTTTTTAAAATATCAACATTTTTCAGTGTCCGAACCGTTTCTAATCCAGAAGACCGACCTGATAGCGGAACTGAAACAAACAAAAGACATTCCAGGAATTAAAAAATTAAAAGTGGAAAGAGCTCAAGTTGAAAAATCACAGGAACAAAATTTAATTTCCGAAATTAATAAAGCATTTAATGTCACAAATTTTGTCGAACAGGTAAACAATTTTCTTATTATTATTATTATTATTATTGTCATTTTTTTACCTTAAAAACTATTTTTTCAATTTTTTACTTTTGCTGTTTGACACGTGATTTGAAGTTAAACATTAAATCTTTGCTCCAGATTCCAGAAAAGGATAGTTCAGGAAATGTAATACCAATTTGGAAACGTCAGATGCTTGCGAGGAAAGCTGCAGAGAAAGCTAAAAAGGAACTTGAGGAGCAAATTGCCCGGGAGAACGAGGAGAGACGACAAAAAGCCATACCACCTTGGAAGAGACAACTTCTTGCTAAAAAAGATAACGAAGATAAAAAGTGAGAATTTAACTAATTAATTTAATGTCGACACTAATTATTATTACTATGCTAATTAGTACTAATTTACTAATTAGTTTTGACATATAATTAGTATTAATATACTAATTACTAATTTTAATTACTTTTATTTTAATCAGCGGATCTCTGATTTAAGACTTCTTTTTCAAGGAAGTAAAAGCGAAATAATTTTTAATAAATTCTTTTCGTTTTAATTCCATTTTCAGAAGCTATTATCAACCTCAAACAACTGTGACAACGGGTTCCACGTTAAAAATTGAAATAACACCAGCAACGCAAAGAGAATCAACGACAGCGACATTACAATTAAAACCAAAAGAGGTGAAAGTGGAAAAAGTTGAAAAAGAAGAAAAACGAATTGAAACGAATTACGATTCGGACGAAGGTCAAATAATTCCATGGAGAGCTCAATTACGAAAAACGAATAGTAAATTAAATATTCTCGACTGACTTTGAATTTTTTTTTTTTATAATAATACAAATGTTTCAATTTGACGAAACGCTATAAACTATGTATGCATTGTTTTTTTTGACGATAATTTATATTTTAAAATTAGATTGTAATAGCAAAGACTCATTCAAAGACTCATTTTTGAATCAAGTACGCTTGTGTAATTTGAATTTTTCAGTGTAACTGATTCAAATTGTGCAAAAAAAAATTGTCCCTTTTTTTAAATAAAATTGTCCCTTTTATGTTCTAATGAACATTTTCGCTCGAAATTTATAAAGAAAAATTTATATATCTGTTCAAATTGTAAAATGTAATTTAATTACATTGATTTGAAGTATTAAAATTTATAACGAGTTCAATATTTTTGAATTTTGAACCAAGAAAAGCTGTGTTGACAATATTAAGTTTTATTTTTTAATGTCTGTGAATTGCGAATTTCATTAATAATTAAGTTGCAATATGTACATAATACTAATTAAAATTGTTTATGTTTTAAAAATTATTTTTTTTTCAAAAATTATTTTTCTCTATCCTTTCCACTGTTCCGATAATTATTATTATTTCTAATTATCTTTGGTTTAATTGATTATCTGAGATAATAATTTTAATTCGAAAAAATGTCGTAATGTTTAATTTTTTCTATCCCAAATAGAAGAATTTAAAAAATTTTGAAAAAATATTATGTTTAACTTACATTCTTCACTACTTCGCCAATCACACATTTCTTTATTTTCGCATAAAGAAAAAATTGGTTTAAAGAATAATTGCCAAAACTTCTAGTCGTCACATAAAACTTTCTGCCACTTTCTGCAGAAAAAAATTATGTATAAAAAACTGGTGAATTAAAATAAAAGGAAGAAAAGCGCACACACCTTCAAATAATAAATAAAAGTTTTCTTAGAAGCACCACCTCTCTTCTTATTCATTAACGATTTATCAATTTCTTGAATTAGGAATTTTTTCCTTATTTCTCCAATAAGGCGATGGGAATTGTCTTTTGCGGTTTTCATCTCCATACAACTCTTCTGGAAAATAATAAAAAGACAGTAAAATTAAAAAAATTGACTAATTATAATGTTGGTGAATGATAAATACAGTTTCTCTTTTTTTATCAAAACAGAAGTCTTGAGTTTGAATTTATTATAATTAGTAGTATATAAAGTATCTATATACAATTTGTAACCTTCAACATTGACACATATTTAATAACTTTAAAGTAAATTGTGTCAAGAAGAAAGGTTGGTTGTAAAAAATAATTTAATGATATCCATTCTTTTATTTTTCCTCTTTTTGCTAAGAATTTTTCTCTTGCCTATTTTTTCTCCCGTCGCTTTTTCTTGCTCTTCTTATCTTTACTATCGTCCTCCTTCTCCTTTCGCTTCTTCTTCTGCTTCTTATCCTTGACCTCTTCTTTCCTTTTTTTAGCTTTGCTCACTTTATTACTGTTGTCGCGCTTCTTCCTGTGCTTCTTTTTTCTCTTTTCATCCTCAGAAGAATCTGAAACTGATGTTCAATTATTTTGATTAAAACCAGTTTTTTAAATTACCAACGAAATTTATATTTATTAAATTATTAATTTAAATTATTTACTGAAAAAATTAATTGATAGAATTTAATTAATTTACCACCAGAATCCGAACTGTCGGAAGATGAACTGCTGGATGAACTACTGGAACTTGATGAAGAGGAAGAACTTTCAGAACTGGATGATTCTTTCTCCGGTACAATTTGTGGAACAGGTACAACTTTCGGTCGAGTCTCCAAATGTTCCCGAAGATCATCTCTGAAGAAAGAATCAAATTAAAAATCTATATTAATTTTAGTTTACTTTTTAAAACATTTTTTCAAAACATACGTTAAACCTCCCAATCCAATCGTTGTAAAGAAATTGATAGCAAATCTAGTATTTCTAGGATCGTCCCTTGGAAATAGGCCAGAGAATGCTTCAAACAGAGTTCTGAAAATAAAGAAAATGTTATAAAATAAAATAATTGTAAAATAAACAAAAATTAAAATATTCATATGTAAATTAATATCAAAACAAAAATATTTAATAATAACTTACGCATCTTTGAGTCTTTCGTTTAGTTTCGCGAGTGACATATCCTCGGACAATTTTTGGAATAAAATCTTAATGAACACACGTCCGGAACTATTGGTATCGTTTTCATTTAATTTAATACACGACATTGCCTCCCATGATATAGAATCCGTACAGAAGAGATGAGCGAAAAAATTCGCAACATTACGAAGTTTATTTGTATCCAGACGATAAATTGTATCATAGGAATCACGGAAAATTTGCTCAAAAGGCGTGACATAAATCTGCTTGATAGCACAAAATCGCTGCAAACAGAAGAAATAAATTAGAAATATATATAAAAATTAATTTAATTAAAATAGCTATTTGTAGCTATTTCGATTTTTGAATTAAAATTAAAAACAATTTTTTTCTCACCCCGGCAAGAAGACCGAAAAATTTCTCGTACGTTCTGTTTTCAGCGCAGCAATCAAGAATCATGTGACACAATTCAACTTCCTGTCCGGGTTTCAATTCCATTTTGAGAAGTTTGTGAGCGCATTCTTCAAAATCAAGTGACGAATGAATTGTCAAGTAAATTGTTCTCCTCAAGGCCTTTAAATTTGTCTCCGTATTGTCTATAATTATATTCTGCTTTCCTTCCTCTGTGAATGAAAAATGTAATTAGTTTTTCAAAATTGGGAAAATTAAAACATTTTTTTTTTGTTATTTAGATAAAATTTACCTTCTTCCTCACTCTCTGCTTCACTTTCTTCTTCATCGCCGTCTTCTTCCGAGCCACTGCTGTCCGTATCCAAGATTTCCTTAATCAGAGCTCTATATTTTTCTTCACTTGTAACATAATCCGTATCCAACTTAAAAACATCTGTAAATTTAGAAAAGCGAAAACATAATTAAAAATATACAAAAAAAAGACAATTTAATTACTAGTTTAAATTATTAGCAAAACTATTAACAAAACTTAATTAATTACTTAAGTAATAAAACTTACTCAATATATCCTGAGTGTCAATTGCGTCCTCGAATTCAAGAAAATGAGTTATTTGATCCTCATCTTCGACGAGATCGAGACCTTCAGGAACGGCCTCATGGTCCTTAAAACCATCCTTTCTAACTTGGAATATCACTTCAATCATGTATTGAACTCTCTTATCTAAAGCTCCCTCGTGAAGAATCGACCGCAACGATGTAAAAATACATTCAATTCCTTTCTTTGATGTTTGGGTTAATTTCATACCGCATTCTTTTAAAACAGCAATTGCAATTTCGATTGAATCATCCGTTGGATTTTCCGTAAGTAACATAAGAATTTCGAGAACAAGAAGATCGTGAACTACGCCTTGATTTACTAGATGTGAAATAAATGTTCCAGAAGATATACAAAGTGCTTTATCATTACGACGATAACCACGTTTAAATTGATTTAACAGTCTTTTTAGAATTAATTCGCCAACGTCTGGAAACTGTAAAAGAACAAATTTTTTTATTCTGTAGTCAAACTTTCCTGTTTTTTTTTTAATAAAAATATTCTAATTCACGCTAAAAATTATTAGATACACAAGAAAAAATTATTTTTTAATTCATTTATATTAGTTATTGTAAAAATATTTAAAAATATCAATAATTTTCTTTTAGATAAAATATTTAATAATTATTATTATTATTATTATTTTCCCATTGGAATTAAGATTTTCAAAAATTTTAAATTCAAACATCAACTTCAATTTTTGAATAACTGCAGATTAAAAATATAAAAAGATTAACTAATTACCTAATTGAGTAAGTAATTAATTCTCTGCAAGAATTCAATTACTTTCATAAATAATAAAATTTTTCATAGAAATTCAATTATTTTTATTATTTTCGAAAGTATTCAATTATTTTTGAAATTTTAATAAAATTTTTGGCAAAAATTCAATTATTCTCATAAATTATATAAAATTCTCCACAGGAATGAATTATTTATTTAGTGATTCAGAATAGAAAAAATAATATGGATTTTCGGAAACGTTCCCAATTTTCAACTTTTTCCAAAAAACGGAATAAAATTGTAAAGTGTGCTATTTTTGCCAAATTTCAAAGGCAAAAACTTCTTAAAAATCACGCTAAATTTCAAAATTTTGATTTTTTTTATTGATTTCGACATTTTTTTAATTTCAGTGTTTTAAATAATATTTTTTTCTTGCCTCCTCACAAAACTCTGTTTCAGTAAAAACATTGCAATTATGATTTTTTTGATAGATTTCGATATTTTTTTAATTTCAGTGACTTAAAACTAGATAATTTCTTCTCACCTTTGAATTTATAACAGCAGTGAGTGCTGCATAGACTGAGGTGAACGTTGGAGAAGCAGATTGCGCCTGTATAATGGATCGACTAAGTAAACCTCGTCCTCGAACGATATTTTCCTTCAAAAGTTCTCTAACAATTATCCCAATATTACTAGTGTTCACTTTATTAATATGTCCATGAATCGATTTTTTAAGAGCCTCCCAAGAAATTCTTTGATAAGCTGCTCCCGATTTATCAGTGATTTCCTGTTGCATTAATTTAAGTCTCGCTGGTGGAATGTATGCACCACCTGTTCTCGTTGTGAGAACATCGACATTCTTTTTCCTTGATGGATGAACCTCGGGTTGGGATTTCTTGTTTGTTGCTGAAAATAGAAGAAAAGTGATTAAAATAATAAAAGAAGTCAATAATAAAAGCTTCCTCCACGAGGAGTCAAAAGAGGAAAAATAATAATAAGTTAAAATAATCTAAATAAAACAATAGCAAAGTTTAAAAATAATTAAAATCTATATTAATAATTGTTGTATTCCGGTAATCTGTTCGCAGTTTGAAGTTAGTTATTGTTTCTTAATTATTTAAATAATTTTTCTTTTTAAATATTTTCAATTTTAAAATTAATGTATTGAAAGTCATAAAATTGTTGCAATGAATTTCAAGAAAAAATTTCATAATAATAGAATTCCTTCGAAGAATTTTATTATTTAGAAAAATAATTGAATATTCTTCCAAAGAATTTTGTTAAATATTTTGAAAATTCTAGTTAAATACATTTTGAAGAATTTCTTTGAATTTTTTTTCCAATAATGGAGTTTTATAATTTTAATTAAAAATTTGGAAAATAATTGAATTTCATGAGCAATTTCTTTCAAGTTTTTAAAATATTCGTGTTTGTTAATAATTGAAATTAAACATTAAATTATTTTATTAATTATTAAAATTTATAGAAAATAATTAAATTCTTCTCAGAATTTTCATATAATTTTCTAAATTAATAATTTAATTCATTCAAGGACTTATAAAAATAATTACAATGTTTTGAAGAATTTATTAAAAGTTTAGAAAATAATAATTTATTGGATTCTTTAGAAAAATTTTATTAAAAATTAAAGAAAAAATTGAATTCTTTAATGAAATTTTATTAAAAAAATAATTGCATTTTTTCGAAGAATTTAAAAAAATTTTAGAAAATAATTTAATTCTATTGAAATTTTTCATACCGAAGTAAGAAAAAAATTGAATTTTTTCGTGAAATTGTTTTTAATATAATTGAATTCTTGCAAAACGTATTTTACTATTTATCAATATAATTGATTTCTTTCGAAGGATTTATTAAAATTTTAGAAAATAATTGGATTCTTTCGAAAAATATTATTAAAAATGGAAAATTTAAAAAAATTTTAGAAAATAAATAAATTTTTGCAAATATTTTACTATTTAAAAAAATAACTTAATTGTTTCGAAGGATTTATTAAATTTGGTTTAAAAATAATTGAATATTTACAAAAATTTATACTATTTTTTATAAAAATAATTGACTTCTTGCGAAGTTTATTAAATTTTTTGAAATTAATAGACAAGAATAATTAATTAGTAAATTAGTTAATAATTTAATTTTTTACAGTCTGAATCTGAAATTATTCAAAAATTCATCATTTATATTTGAAAATAAAAAATTTTATAATTTGTATAATAATAAGAAATCGAATATCGCGTTCCACGCGTAACATTTGCTAGTAAATAAAATAAAAGCAAAAGATTTGAATTAAAGAAAAACTATACTTACGAGGCTCATTCTCCTTTCGTTTTTCACTAGTTGCATCTTTTTCATCGGTTCTATTTTGTTTTCTCCTGCCTCCATAGAATCGATCGCCAACTTCCACCTCGTCGTCGGAATCATATCGATTTCTAAATTTACCCTCATTTTTATCCCCTGTATCCCAATAACGTCTAAGATTTCTTCTTTCATCGTCATTATCTCTTCTTCTGTAAGAATCCCTGCTATCTCTTTCATAACTTCTTTCTCTTCTACGTGAATCTCGATCATCTCGTCGACGATGATAATAGTTCCGTTCGTCCCTTCTTCTCCTATCGAAATCGGGACTTCGTCGTCTTCTTTTATTCGAATCTCTTGAATCTCGTCTTCTATCATCATCGCGATCATCTCGTTTTTTATTATTATAATTCTCTGAATCACTGGAATTATTTTCCTTTTTCGGAGAAACATCATCACGTTTCCTCTTCTCCGTGGTCTTCTCTTCGTTATCACTCATCTTTTTTTTTCGTTAGAAAAAATATAACTAAAAAAACTATAGGTAAGTCACTTATTTCACAGATAACAAGAATTTCATTATTCTATTTTTTGTGCAGAAATTTACACAACTATTGTGTAAATTATAAACTATATTGTGAAAAAAATGTCAAAAACAAAACGTTTACGTTTCTCGGCAGATGCCAATTTTTAGGTTAGAAATGATGACGTTCGTGACGTCACGATCAACAATGGCTGCGCAAACGCCGAAAAGTGGAGGGAATTTTTTAAAACGTTTAAAACGAATTTCCTATAATTGTAAGTACTTTTACAGATTTTAAGAAGCAATTATCCAAAATTGGGTGCTGATAATTTTCTCCGTAATTAATATTCGCTTTATAAGTTTATTTCTTTTATAACTAATTTAAATTAGCTAAAAATTTCTAACCTTTTTAAAGAGTTTATTCTCTTTTTCTCACTGTTTATGATTATTCAATTTCTTTTGAAGAGAAATGCGACTGGCTCGTTGTTGTCGCCAAAATTCCTGTCTGGATTTCAAAAAAGAAATTCCCTCTTCAGCGTGAACTGTAATATGTTTCGCAGAATCTTGATTTGCTGCTTTAATATCTGAAATTGAAAAACGAATCAAATTAGTGAATATAATTAACTTATTGAATTGAAGAATATTATTAAATAGCAAATGTAACGAGCGTAAAGCATAAATTTAATATTAATAAGACAATATTATACAAAATTTTTTTGTCTAGAGATATCAACTCCAATTTTTGAATTATTTTAATATTTAAAATTTTGTTAAAATCCATATATTAACAAACTGATTATATAATTATAATTGTCAAATATTTTCAAAAAGTTTAATAAAATTCTTCCACAGAATTTAATTGTTTAACAAAATTTAACAACATGCTTCGTCAGAATTCAATTATTTTTCTAAATAATAAAATATTCTTCACAAGATTTAAATTATATTCATAAATAATAAAATTCTTTTCAGGAATTCAATTATTATCAATATTTCCCTCAAGAATTAAATTATTTAAAAAAATTTTAATTAAATTCTTCTCAGAAATTCAATTATTTTCAATTTTCTCGAAAGAATTCAATTATTTTTGGAAATTTGAATACAATTCTTCACAAGAATTCAATTATTTTTAATATTCTCGAAATAATTCAGTTATTTTTGAAATTTTTAAGAGAATTCTTCACCAGAATTCAATTATTTTTGAAAATTTTAATAAAATTCTTCCCAAGAATTCAATTATTTTCGTAAATAATAAAATTGTCCACAAAAACTCAATTATTTTTAATATTCTCGAAATAATTCAATTATATTTAAAAATTTTTATAAATTTATTTCAAGAAATTCAATTATTTTCGGAAATAATAAAATTCTCCACGAGAATTCAATTATTTTTATTATTCTCGAAAGAATTCATTATTTTCTGTACATTTTAAATCAAATTCCTTGTAAGAATACACATTTTTTTCATCCAATAAAATTCTTCGAAAAAATTCAATTATTTTCAAAACTTTTACTGAAAAATTCGCCGTACGAAATCAATTATTTTCATAAAGAATAAAATTTCTCGCAGAATATTTAAATATTACATATTAATTTATTAATATTTTCGGAATAAGTAAATTATTAATATAATAAAGTTCTTCGAAAAAATTCAATTATTTTCAATATTCTTGAAGGAATTGAATTATTTTTATAAATAATTAAACTCTATATGAATCGAATTATCTTCAATCTTATCAAAAGAATTAAATTACTTTAAAAATTGTAATACAATTTTTCACTAAAATTCAATTGTTTTCATAAATAATGAAATTCATCACCAGAATTAAATTATTTTCCATTTTTCTCGACAGAATTAAATTACTTTTGAAAATTGTAAAAAAATTCTTCATTAGAATTTAATCAATTTCAATGTTCTCGAAAGAATTAAATTATTTTTGAAAATTGTAATAAAATTCTTCACCAGAATTCAATTATATTTATAAATAAGAAAATTCTCCACTTGAATTACATTATTTTCAATATTCTCGAAAGAGTTAGGTATTACATTATTTTTGAAAATGTTAGTAAAATTCTTCGCCGAATTTTAAACACGTCTGAAGTAATTCCCAAAACAAAAGTTTGTTAATTCGTAAGACACATAACCCGTTGCAAAATCAGTATAACTTTTCAAAACAAAATTGGAGAATTTTGAAAAAACTAATGAAAGAAAAGGGAAGGAAAACTTTAAAAATAATATGGATGAAAAAATGTGTGGCGTTGATAGATTAAAAATTGACGAAAAAGAATCGGAATTAGGCTATGTTTATGGTGTATCCGGTCCAGTTGTTGTCGTCGACAATATGCTTGGCTCAGCCATGTACGAATTGGTATTCATTGGATTTGAAAATTTAATCGGTGAAATAATTCGTCTCAATGGTGAAACGGCGACAGTTCAAGTTTACGAAGACACAAGTGGATTGACAGTTGGCGATCCAGTGAGACGAAGTGGAAGACCATTGTCCGTTGAACTTGGACCGGGAATTCTCGGCAGTATCTTCGACGGTATTCAGAGACCACTGAAAAATGTTGACAACAGTCATGCGACATCAATTTTTATACCAAAAGGACATAATGCTCCATCATTATGCCAAACGACGAGTTGGGAATTTTCGCCGTTTTGCTTTAAGAAAGGTAAAATTCTTTCTGGTGGCGATGTCTATGGAATAGTCTATGAGAATTCCCTGCTGAAACATCGAGTAATGCTACCGCCGAGATGTGTGGGTAAAATTAAATATTTAGCGCCACGGGGAAATTACACGGTGAATGAAATTATTTTGGAAACAGAGGATGAGGAGAAGATTCATCGTTATTCAATGACGCAAATGTGGCCTGTGAGACAACCGAGACCAGTTTGTGAAAAATTGCAGGCAAATCGACCATTATTGACTGGTCAGAGGGTATTGGACGCACTTTTTCCTTGTGTTCAAGGAGGAACCACAACAGTTCCTGGCGCATTTGGATGTGGAAAGACTATTATTTCTCAGGTTATTTTAATTCTTTTTTCGCACTTTTGTGATACATATAGTTTTTAATTTTTCAGGCTTTGCACTCGTCAATTGATTAAAAAAAGGAGCAAAAAGTAACTGAAAAGTAACAAAAAGACTGTAAAGTGGTAGTAAAAAAGTAGTTATCGAAAAATCAAATTTGACGACTAAAAAATTCGTTTTAGTTAATTTGATTTGCAAAAAAAGTTAATCATTTTATTCAGGCTTATCACAAAAATTTAATTACGTATTTTCCTGATTTCCAGGAAAAATATTAACTTGTTTCCTTATTCTGACAATAACTTCAATTATAAATTTTTGTGAAATTCAATTACTTTCCAAACATTCAGTTATTAAATTAAAATTTAAATACAAAAGTCAATAAAATACAATATCTTCAAAAAATATTTGAAAATAAATTCTAAAAGTAAATAAAATTCTTTAAAATTCAAAATTTATTTCAATGAAAGACAAACTATTTAATTTTTCAAAATTATTTTAGGGAATTTGAATTCCAACCATCTTCAAAAAATTTTAATTACAATTTTTCAAAAACGTAAGTTTTTCATAATGTCTAAATTAAATTATTTCAAAACATGAATAATTTTTGTCAAGTATTTAAAAAATACTTATTGTTATTTATTTAAGAAACTATTTTCCACAGGAGATAAAATTTTAAACAATTTCAATGTAAAACTTTGGAAATTTAATTATTTCTAAATATTAAAATTGCCGCAATTCATCTTTCAAAATTCAATTATTTTTTAGAATTTTTAACTAAACTTTCTCTTCAAATCAATAATTTTTAATCATTTCCCGAAAGATCTTCAAGAATTCAATTATTAAAATAGCGAAATTCAATTGTCGTTGTTTATAATATTTTTAACTGTAACTCAGTGAATTATTTAAAAAATGCAACCAAAAATATTAAAAATAATTGATTTTTAAAAAATTATAATAAAAAAACTTGTTAAAATTAATTTTTTGAAAATATTTTTTAAAAATTTATAAAAGACAATACATTTTTTAATTATATTTAGGTAATATGTAATTGAAAAATTATCAAATAATTAAAAATTAGTTAAACTCTTTGCCAATAATTGAATTTTTTAAAAGAATTTTTGGAAAATAATTTAAAAAATCAAGTTTTGAAAGAATTTTGATTTCAAATGCAAAAACTATATTTGTCAAAAATTTTAATGATAAGTGTAAAATAGTAGATTTTTTAAAACATTTTGATTCACGTTTTTTTAAGAAAATATATTCAAGTTTGGAAAATTATGATAACAAAATGCAAATAATTATTTTTCTTAAAATATTATTAATGTAATGTTTTCAATATAATCATGAATTTCATAAAATTGGTCAATTTAAAAAAAACTAAAAGAATTTTATTATACATATACGAATTGAATCTCTGTAAAAAATGTTATGTTTATGAAAATAATGGAATTATTACGAAGAAATTTATAACAAATTGGTAAATAATTAAATTCATGTGAAAGTTAGTATAGAATTTTATCAAAATTTGTTTTAAATAATTGAATTCTTTTAGAAAATTTTTGAAAATAATTGAAATTTTAACAATTTTACTATTTTTAAAGATAATTACATTCTTCCCAAGAATTTTATTAAAACTGTATTAAAAAGAATTGAAATTCAGCCAAGAATTTTATTATATTAAAAGATAATTGAATTTTTGTAAAGAATTTTATGATTTTAAATATAATTCAATTCTGGCCAAGAATTTTATTCCTCTTAAAAATAATTGAATTTCTGCAATGATTTGTAACTTCTCTAAAATTCAATTTTTTTACTGTTTTTAACTAAAATTCTTCTATAAATCCATTAGTCTTAATATTTAATTAAATATGTATTAAAAAATGTAACTAATTTCAGAAGAATTTGAATTATTAAAATTTTCCAAAAATCTAAGTTCTTTCTAATTAAATTAATTCAAAATTGAAATTTTCTAAAATTTCAAATTGAAACCTTTTTAAGTTCATCTACTTATAAATGAAGTTATTTAAAAAGAAATTATTGTGCGATATAGAAAAAATAAAAGTAAAAAATAGGTAGTAGGTTTTAGTAGATGAGTGCGAAGCCTAATTTATTTTTAAATTGTTTTAAATTAATAATAGGCTCTTTCGAAATATTCCAATTCGGACGTTATCGTTTACGTTGGATGCGGAGAACGTGGAAACGAAATGTCAGAAGTTTTGAGCGACTTTCCGGATTTAGCAGTAGAAATTGATGGTAGTTTTTTTCAAAACGTGTATCTATTCTCTCAATTATTTTAGTCTCGACTATTTTTTTTTAATTAAAAATTTCCTTTTCTACAGGAAACAAAGAATCAATAATGAAACGAACGATTCTAGTGGCAAATACATCGAATATGCCGGTGGCGGCCCGTGAGGCGTCAATCTACACAGGAATCACGCTCTCCGAATATTTTCGTGACATGGGATACAATGTGTCAATGATGGCCGATTCAACTTCACGTTGGGCTGAAGCACTTCGTGAAATTAGTGGACGTCTAGGAGAAATGCCAGCAGACTCTGGATATCCCGCTTATCTCGGCGCGAGACTAGCAAATTTTTATGAACGTGCAGGAAAAGCGAAATGTCTCGGAAATCCAATAAGAAATGGTTCCATCAGTATTATCGGTTCCGTTTCACCTCCTGGTGGTGATTTCTCCGATCCCGTGACAAGTGCAACTTTAGGAATTGTTCATGTATTCTGGGGACTCGATAAAAAATTAGCTCAACGAAAACATTTTCCCGCTGTCAATTGGCTGCTCAGTTATAGTAAATATCTGAAAACTTTGGACAATTTTTATGAAGTACATTTTCCTGGTTTTCAAGATTATCGAACAAAGGCATTGAAATTGCTTCAAGAGGAGGAGGAATTGAATGATATTGTTTATTTGGTAGGCAGTACGACACTTACAGATGGCGATAGACTCGTTCTTGAAGTGACTAAACTACTCAAAGAAGATTTCCTCCAACAAAATGGATATTCAACGTACGATCGATTTTGTCCATTTTACAAAACATTCGGAATGTTGAGAAATATTATAACATTTTATGATTTAGCTAAGGACATTATGGAAAAGACTATGAAGAGTAGTCGACAAATAACGTGGCGGATCATTAAGGAAACAATGATGGAAATTATTTATAAATTGACGAATATGAAATTTGTAGATCCCGCAAAAGATGAAGAAGATAGAATTATTGAAGAGTTTGAATATTTGTATCAGGAAATTCACAAAGCCTTTAAATTACTCAAAAATTAGTTAATAAATACTATTTCAATGTTTTTTGTAATCATATTATTTTAAATGTGAATCTAAATAATTGTTAGTCTATTATTTCAAAAAGTAAAAAAAAGTGTAAAAACTAACCTGGACATTTCAGAAGATTCTGCAAATATTTTTTATCGACATTAAGTTGTCCAAGTAGATTCGGTTCAGAATTTCTCAATTTCGATGTCTGCGAACGTATTCGTTTTGATTGATTTTTCGAAGCTGATTCCTTTTCTGATAATTCTTGTCTAGATTGTCTCGATTCTTGTCTAGATGAATTGCTTTCCGTGAAGGAGTTTTTTGACGATGAAATACAAGTCTTTGGTCTCGAATCTTTCTCAGAATCTTCTGCTTCTAATTGACTTTGTTCAGGAATCGGTAAAACTGTATCTAAAAACAAAAATAATATTAGAAATATTATAAATTTGGAAAAACAATAAATCATTCAAACAAAAGGGAAAAAATTATCAAAATTTTTTATTTTCAAACAACAACTTCAATTTTTGAATAATTCTAGATTCAAAATTTTAAAAAATTCACTGATTAATTAATTATTATTTATTATTATTTTCTAAATTTTTAACAAGATTCTTTAAAACTAATTCCATTATTTTCAAAAACTTTAATAAAATCATTCACAAGGTTTCAATTTTTTCATAAATAATAAACAATAATTTCTGCAAAAATAAAATTCTTAACAGAAATTCAATTATTTTTAATATTTTGCAATTAATTAAATTTTTTTTTTTAAATCTTATTAAATTTCTTCGCATGAATTTATCTCTTTTCAATATTTTTGAAAGAATTCAATTTTTTAAAAATTTTAATAACATTCTTCGCAAGAATTCAATTATTTTTAAAAGTTTTAATAAAATTATTTACAGAAATTCAATTATTTCAGAAATTATAATAAAATCCTTCAAAAGAATTCAATTATTTTAAAAAATATTGATAATTTTCTTTATAAAAATTCAATTCTTTTCAATACATTTTTAATTATATTCATGGAAAGAATTTAATTATTTTCATAAGTTTTATGAAAATTCTTCGCATGAATTTCATTATTCTTATAAATAATACAATTCTTCGTAGGAATTTCATTATTTTTCATACAATTTTAATTTTCCTCTGAAAAATCTAATTTTTAAAAATTTTATTAAAATGTAAAATTCTTTCCAATAATTCAATTACTTACAAAACTTTTAATGAAAAATTGTCAAAAAGAATTCAATTCTTTTCAAAATTTTCAATAGAATTCTTCAAAATAATTCAATTATTCTTAAGTTTTAATAAAATTTTTCGCAAGAATTCAATTTTTTCTTAAATTTTAATAACATTCCTCACAAAAATTCAATTATTTTCAATATTCTGAAAATAATTTAATTTTTATTTTATAATAAATCTTAATAATGTTCATCGCAAGAATTTAATTCTTTTCAAAAATGATAAAATTCTCCAAAGGAATTCAATTATTTTCAATATTCACGATAGAATTGAATTTTTCATAATTTTAATAAAATTCTTCGTCCAAAATACAATTATTTATAGAAATTATTATAAAATTCTTCAAAAGTGTTCAATTATTTTAAAAAATGTTGTTATATTCATCCTTCGAATTTTATACTTTTCAACACAATTTAAAATAAATTACTTGAAAGAATTTAATTATTATCAAAAATTTTAATGAAATTCTTGGCATGATTTCATTTATTTTTATAAATAATAAAATTCTTTACAGGAAATCAATTAATTTCAGAAATTGTAATAAAATTCTTTATAAGAATTCAATTGTTTTCAATATTTTCAAAAGAATTCAATTGCTTTCTGAAAATTGTAATTAAAGTCTTTGCAATAATTCAATTACTTTCAAACATAATAGATTTTTTCACAGAAATTCATTTATTTTCAATACTCTTTCTTCCTTAGAAATTCAATTATTTTCAGAAATAATAATAAAATTTGTAAATAGAATTCAGTTATTTTGAAAATTTTATAAATTTCTTCGGAGGAATTCAGTTATTATTAAAAAGTTTAATAAAATTTTATGTAAGAATAAAAATATTTCAGATGAAAAAATATAATAGTTTAAAAATTTAGAATATAATTTTTTTTGTAGTAAAAATTTTAACTTTGAACTTATTAGAACAAAAGTGAAACGAAATTTCTGAAAATTATTTTTAAAATTTTAAATAGAACAAGACATAAAAATAAATAAAATTCATTGTTTTTTGTTTATAAAATATATACCATTAATTGTATTTTGCGGTTTAGAATGATAAATTAAGAAATTAAATTTGGACTTTTCGTTCAAAACAATTTTGTTTAATTAATTAAACTATTGAACTATTATTATTATAAAATTTCTACCATCAAGAAATAAAATTCTCTTCTATTCTCTATTATAAAATTATCATAATAAAAATATTTTCAATCAAAAATAAGGAATGGAGAAACAAAGTCATATAACAAAACATCTTGAACTTGTAGAAAAGTTTAAAATCAATATTAGATAATGTAGTAATGAGATTTATAAATTTTAAAGAAATAATCGTCTTACTGCCAAGAATATTTTGAATGGCTTCTTTTGCTTTCTGCACGCCAAGACGAAATTGATCAAATTCGGGTCGAATTCTCATTCCACGATAATAAAATACAAGACTGAGTTCAAAATCTCCAAGATGATAGAGAGCCTCTGCCTTGTAGTAAATTGCTCTTGCATTTTTAGGATCCTTTAATTTTCCCCGAATAGCAGCCTCAGCGTCCTGTAAAGCCTTCTCCGGTTCTCCAAGTAAAAGAAAACACTTGCTTCGTGCAATCAAGGCATTCTTATCATTTGGACTGAGTTCCAGAGCCTAAAACAAAATAAAACCGCAAGTTAAAAATTTAATTGCCATTACGTGACTGTTATTCATGAAATTCTCCTTATTCTCTCATAAGTTCTCAAAAAAAAATAAAAGAATCAACAATTCCATAAATTATTTTCAGTTAAATAATAAAACATTTACTTTACTTTCCTTTTTACAGTTCGGTACTTTTTTTTACAAAGTAAGTAAATATACTTTGTAAAAAAATACTTTACTTTATTCAAAAATAGTGTTGAATTTAATATTCCTAATTTTTGTTACTTCTTTATTATTATAATAATTAAAATTTTTAACGAGCATTGCGTTGCTGTAACTCATTAAAAGTTTTCGTGATAGTTATTTCCTCAAGTTTATGATGCGGTCTGGTATTTTTTTTTTGCTAATGATATATTAGTTGTCCCAACCCCCTTTTTCTTTTTGCTACCCTTGCAATATTCGAGTCAGGCTGTGTCAGTGTCACGATAAACAATACCAAGCTCTCTTTAATCACGATAGATTATCGAGCGATTTGATTTCAAAAATTGAGGCAATCGACCTCAAATTGCATCACGCATACATTTATCTTTTATCTTCCCCAATATCGCGAAATTAATTTTTAAAACAATCTCTTTTCAAACCTTTCTTCTAAATTTCAAAACACAGAAAACAAAAAAGCAAAAAAGCACAGAAAAAAATTCTACTTGTAAAAATTGTAAATATCAAAAAATCATTTTCAGAATTCATAAATAATTAATTATATCCAAAAATTTGAAAATAATCAAATTCCTTTGATACTTAAATTTAATTGAAATTGTATTAAAAATAATTGAATTCCATCAAAGAATTTTAGTATTTATGAAAAGAATCGAATTCTTCCAAAGAATGTTATTAAAATATTGTACTTTGAAAATAATTTACTTCTTGGCAAGAATTTTATTAAAATTTTTGAAAATAATTGAATTGTTTTGAAGAACTTATTTGAATAAAAAATGTTTTTTTTTTAAATAATTTTTATTGAAAATTTTGAAAGTAATAATTGAATTTTAGGAAGAATTTCTTATAAGTTTCTAAAGTAATCGTGTTTATTATTAATTGTAATTAATAAAGTTATTATTAAATTTTATTAAAATTATGGACAGAAAATTAAATTCTTTTAAAGAATTTTATTTGTTTTCGTAAATAATTAAAATTTTTTCAAATCTTGAAAGATATATAAAATTTCTTATTTTATCTATTGTAGTATAATATAAAAGATCTAGTATTATTTTAATACTAATTTAAAATCAAGTATTATGTTGGAATACGGCTGCCAAATATGTAAAACAAAATTATAACATCAATGAAAAAAAATTCTTCTTTTATTCTAATTAAAATTTTTTGAAGAATTTCTTTAAATTTCAAAAAAATAATGTAATTTTTTCAAATAATTTTCACTGAAAGTTTTGAAAAATAATTAAAATTTACAAAGAATTTAAAAAAAAAACTTTTGAGAATAATTGAATATTTTTAAAAAATATTACAATTATAAAAATAATTGAATCCTCCAAAGAATTTTATAAAATTAAAAAAAAATTGAATTGCATCGAATAATTTTATTAAAACGTTAAAAAATAATTAATTTTTAAAGAATTTTATCAAAATTGTTGAAAATAATCGAATTTAATTAACATAATTTTAAAAATAATTGTATTTTTTCTAGAAATTTTCTAGAAATTAATTGTAATAATTGTATGTTATTATTTATGAGAATAACTGAATTGTGTTGAAAAACTTTTGAAAATTATTAAATGTTTCGAATGAGTTTTATTACAAATTTTGAAAATAATTAAATTCTATCGAATAATTTTATTAAAACGCTTAAAAATAATTAATTATTAAAGAATTTTATCACAATAGTTGAAAATAATCGAATTCAATTAATATAATTTTAAAAATAATTGTATTTTTTCTAGAAATTTTATTAAAATTGTCTTGAAAATAATTGATTCCTCTGAGGAATTTTACTTACGTTTAATACAAAAAATGAATTCTTCCAAAAAATGTTATTATTTATGAGACCAATTGTGTTCTTTGAATTTTTGAATTTGAAAACCTTGAATTTTGAAATTAAAATTTTGAAAAAAATTCAAATTTCATAAATTTTTCATTTTTTTAATTTCAAAATAATTGTTTTGAAGAATTTTTGAAAATAATTGAATGTTTTAAAAGAATTTTATAAAAAATTTTGAAAATAATTGAATTAAATCGAATAATGTTATTAAAAAGTATAAAAATAATTAATTTTTCTTAAGAATTTTATAAGAACTGTTGTAAATAATTGATGCTTATATTTTAAAATATAAAATTTTTCAATTTACAAAATAATAATAAACAAAATATTGCGTTTTGTGCGCGTATCATTTGCTACTCAAAGAATTAAATTAATTAAAATAACGAAGGTGTTTTTAGAAATAGTTTTTCGTAAAGAAAAATTGCAGAAATAAACCTTATGTATGCAATTAAGGGCAATATTAAGATTTCCACATCTCATTTCACGATTTCCAAGAGCCAACATTGCACTTGGTTCGGCCTCCTCCGGAATTTGTAGATCTCTACTTCGATCTTGTCGTCTTTTCATTTTAAGAGATTGTTTTATATCACGACTACCCATATTGACAGCAGCTGCACGATCCTTATCGGTATAAATTTCCTCCTGACGATATGTCACATCACTTCGTCTCCTTCGACGTTTTTTCTTCGATTTTTCCAGTTCAAGTTGATTATTTACCGATTCCCTCGAGAATCTCACACTCGATCTTCGTCCCTTATCCTTACATTCAATTCCATTTCTTGACAATCTTCTCGATGGTGATAATTTTGCAGCATCTCTTCTATCATCACCTGAATATTTAGCATTCGAACTATCTTCCAGACCAATTCGCACGAAACTCTGCAGGAAATCATTATCTTGAAGTGTTGATTTTAATATCCCAGAAACTTGTGCTCCGACTGCGTCATTATTTAATTTTGACGTTCCATCAATGTCAATTTGAGAATTTTGAGGATCTGTGGAACTTCGAAAACTTGACGGATTTTGTGTTTCATCATCAGCCATTTTGATGAAAAGAAAGGAAAATAAAAAATTAACTTATAACACTAAAGGCACTATTTTTGTTTCTATCCCAAAAAAATACTTTGTCGCAATTTTGGAAAAGAAAATTTACCGATTTTTCAAATTTCAGAATTGAAAACTTGCAAATTATGAGATTTCTAATTATAAAAATGAAGATTGAGAGAAAATTTTCACATTTACTGGAATATCGACACCTTCCAAGAAGTCTTTGTTACCTTAGAAACAGTCAACAAAGTGGTATACCTAGCACCTTGGCTGCCAACATTGACACCTTTTGAATCTCAATAAACGCTTTTTACTTTACTTTATTTTATTTTATACTTTTTTTTACTTCTTAAAATTCTATAAGAAGAAATACTTTAAGGATTTATAAGGAGAGATTTTTCACTACCAGTTTCATCTGAGATTAATTAAAATTGAAAATCATAATTAGAATGATTAGGGAGAATAATTAGAAAATTATTTTCTTAATTATAATATAACTAAGATTTAATTGATAAACACTATGTTCAAAAACCAAAAAGAAATATTATGTCGCGTGTAACGTTTTTTTTTATTATCATTACAATTTTTTACTGGGAGTTTAAAATGTCGCAATTTTCGTTTCGTAGAAAAATAAATTACAGGTTGCCGGAAGTCATTGGAAAGGTTCTAATATAGTGTAGTTATTCCGAGAAAATTGCATTTTTTGAAATTGCTATTATTTTCTTATTTTTACCCCCATAAATACTGACTCTTTGTTATTCGTTATCATTTTCAATTTTTTGTAAATTTATTTCTGCAAATTTCTTCGTAAATTCCTTTGTGAATTCATCTATAAATTTGTTTTCAAATTTTGTTGTCAAAATAGTTTGAATAAAATTCATCGAAAGAATTTAAATACTTTCAAAAATTTTAATAAAATTGTTGAAAAGAATTAAAGTTTCATAATTAATCAAAAATTCATCTTAAGAATTCAATTTTTTTCATAAATAATAAATTCTTCTCAAGAATTCAATTTTTTTCATAAATAATAAAAATCTTCTCAAGAATTCAATTATTTTCATAAATAATAAAAAACTTCGCCAAAACTTAATTTATTTTCAATATTTTCCAAAAAATTAAATTATTTATTGAAAAAAATTTATTAAAATTTTTCAAAGGAATTCAGTTTTTTGTCAATATTCTTAGAAGAATTAAATTCTTTTTTAAAATTTTAATAAAATTCTTTATAAGAATTCAATTATTTTCAATATTCCTGAAAGAATTAAATTTTTTCTTGAAAATTTTAACATTTTTCTCAAGAATTCAATTCTTTTCATCCTTTCATAAATAATAAAATTCTCCACAGGAATACAATTATTTTTAATATTTACGAATGAATTCAATTTTGGATGATTTGAATAAAATCCTTCTCTCAAAATTAATTTCAGAAATTATAACATTCTTTAAAACAATATAATAATTTTAAAAAATATCGTTGAAATTCTTCCGAAGAATTTTATTCTTTTCAATACAATTTTAACTTAATTCCTTGAAAGAATTTAATTATTATCAAAAATTGTAATGGAATTCTTGGCATACTTTCAATTATTTTTATAATAATTAATAAATTTTTTTACACGAAATCAATTAATTTCAAAAATTGGAATAAAATTCTTTATGAGAATTTAATTATTTTTAATATTCTAAAAATAATTAAATTTTTTCCAAATTGTAATTAAAGTCTTCGCAATAATTCAATTATTTTTAAAAATAAATAAATTTTTCTCAGAAATTCTTTTATTTTCTATACTTCCGAAAGAATTCAATTAATATTGAAGAATTAAATGCTTCCTTAGAAATTCAATCATTTTCAGAAATTATAATAAATTTTTTGAATAGAATTCAATTATTTTAAAAATTTTATGAAGAATTCAATTATTTTTCTAAGTAATGGAATTCTATAGAGGAATTCAATTATTATTAAAATACATTTTCAAGACAATTTCTTGACGCAATTCAAATAATTTTAAAAATTTTAATAAAATTCCTGCAAAGAATTCAATTATTTTCAAACATTTTGATAAAATTCCTCTGATAAAATCTTCGAAACAATTCAATTATTTTCAAAAATTTTGATATAATTCCTGTGATAAAATCTTTGAAACAATTCAATTATTTTCCAAGATTTTAATGAAATTCTGTGCAAAAAGTCAATTATTTTCACAAATAATAAAATTATCTTTAGGAATTTAATAATTTTCTATATTCTCGAAAAAATTCAATTATTTTTAAAAACTTTTAATAAAATCCTTAGCAAAAATTCAATTATTTTCAATACTTTGCAAAGAATTAAATTATTGTTTAGAAATTTTAATAAAATTCTTCGCAGGAATTTAACTATTTTCAATATTAAATATTCAATATTCTTGAAAGAATTCAATTTTTTTTTAATTTTAATAACATTTTTCGCAAGAATTCAATTATTTTCAATACTCTTGAAAAAATTTAATTTTTTTTTAGAAATTGTAATCAAATTCTTCGCAGGAATTCAATTATTTTCAATATTTATGAAAGAACTCAATTTTTGATAATTTTAATAAAATCCTCACAAAATTCAAATATTTTCAAAAATTATAATAAATTTCTTCAAAAGATCACAATTATTTAAAAAAAAATGTCGTTGAAGTTTTGCCTAAGAATTTTATTCTTTTCTATACAATTTTCATTAAATTTCTTGAAAGAATTCAATAATTTTTAAGAATTTTTATAAAATGATTCACAGGAATTTAACTATTTTCATAATATTAAAAATTCGTAAGTAAATTTCTACAAAATTGAAAATTAAATTTGTAAGTCAATATCAAAATACTAAAAAACAAATAATTATATAAATTATAATAAAAATAATAGAAAAAACAAAATTTTATGTCTTTAAACTCACGGAAATTTTATATTATTTCATTTCTTGAATTATAATTATTGTCCTCAAATACCGAAAATTGAATATAATTCTGCAATTTTTTCCTAATATTCTTGATACAATTGAAATGAGATCGTTTCTTTTTTGTCATAGTAAAAAATTGTTTGGAATTTGTTGACAAATTTGTTTTCGTTTTCTCCGAAAGAAAAGACAAAAATTTATCGACAAAAACAGTATAATGAAAAATTTACCTGATTATACAAAGTCATTGCTTTGGAGAACATTCCATTTTTAACATGTCCAGCTGCTTCATCGACTCGCAGTTTTCCTGCGAAAGAAATTGAATCCGATTTTTGAACTGAGTTCAATTTTATTCCCTTTCGATGAACGTTTTTCATTCTAAAATCAAACAGTCAAATTATAACCTAATCCTTAAATACTGAAAATTTTTTTAACAAAATCAGATTTTATTTCTATAAAAAGAAACCGAAAATTTTTAATTCTGGGTCCTTGCTTTTTTTACTGATAAGAATTTTCATTCAACTCGTTTTAGAATAAAATTGAATGAAATAATCGAATTTATCATAACTGATATGTAATGTAATTAATTAATAAATATTATAATTAACAATGGAACAAAAGTTTTCTTTTTTTTTTTGGAGAAAAAATGCAACTAACTTTTAAAACAAAAAGACAGAAAGTCAGAAGAACCTTTTGCGGCGCAAGCTCAGGATTAACTGACTATATTTAGAAGAATTTCTGCGATATCGCATGTACCATACTAATTAAGGAGTAATTCCATTTCATATAATCATATGGTTTTGGATAATCTGTCATAAAAATTATCTTGACATGCAGCACGCTTAATAATAAAATTCTTTGTAATCAATCTTTTTACAATCTCGATAGTTTTAAAATATTTATCTCATGTGTAAGATTATAAGTTTGCTATAAGTGTAGCGGATAAATAGCGATAATATATTAACGGTAATCACGATAATAAATTAATTGTCACTAGAATATAACGACAAAACACTGCATCAATGACAATAATGCTATCACAATATCTTACGCACCATATTTTGTAACAAGAAACATTTTATCACCAGAAAATATCAACCACAATTACGAAAAAATCAAAGTACTTTTGTAACATTATTTTGTTGAGTCCTTTTAATAATTTTAGTGAATATAACCTAAAAAACAACTATAAACCTAATTTTACATTAACTTACTATATTTTTTATAATTAAATTTTATTACTCACCACTTTTTCCACCAATTTATTTTCAAAAGAAGAAAGATTTCCAAATAATAATTATTCACCTTTCCCTTCAGACTCATTCAGACTTTGGTAGAAAAAATTCATTTTCAAAACACGTGCTACGTCGTCTGCTATGTAACGCCACCACTTTAATCAAAACATCTCACTTCCGTTTTACATCTACTTCCTTTCTTACTTTCCACTCTGCTTTTCCACCATCTTTTTGCCAATTGTAAACCAATAAAATTCTTCGCGCCAAATTCTAGTCCCTCATTTATTGGTCATCGTCAACTAAAACAAAAATTATAATCAAAACAATTACATTTTTTTTCATTTTCATCACAAATGGAAAAATCTATAATTTACATAAATTTACATTAGTGTCAATAATAATCGTATAGCGATTATTGACTTTTACAATTAGGAAAAACCTTTAAATATTGCAATACTTTTTAAGAATTAAAGGGCGCTTTTGCGCAAAATCAGACGCCATGTTTTTGTTTATGAAATACTTTTTCACCAGACTGTACTCGAGTCGGAGTTTTTTATTTTGTTTTTAAAAACTGTTAATTACTATAACGCCTTCAAATTAAAAATAAATTCAAATCAAAAGTTGTGTTTTATTGGAAATTATTGGAAAAATTAACAAATTTCGGGACTATTTTTTTTGTAAAAAATAGAAAACTCGAATGTCAAGGAAATATCGATAGGTATCGATGAAGTTAAAGCATCGGTTTTCACACATACAACACTAGTACGCAGTGTGGAATTATTCGTTCATAATGGCGGAAGATCATAGTCAGTTTCAACAACTCTTAAACACACTCCTAAGTACTGATAACGATGTTCGGACACAAGCAGAGGTACGTTAAATTGGTGGTGAATTTTTTATCATCAATTTGATACAATTAATTTCAAAAGGACATTTATTTATTGCCGTTATTAATAACTCATAATCATTGAACACGTTGCCAACGTGTTTGTCATGTCGGTCTCTCCCTCGTGTTTTTCACATTCATCAATAATCTATTATTTAACAGATTCTCCATTCAATTAAATGTTCTTTACAATAATAAATATTTACAACCAGATGACATTTAATATTCGCTAGAAAATTGACAGGTGTTGAATTTCTTGATAATAGTTGAATTATCAAAATGGTGTCGCACGGAAGCACGCGCCCCGCCAAACTTTTATGTTTTTTTTCCTTGACAGTCTCTTTCTTGTTTAAAATTGATTAAAAATTGTTTAGTTAATTTAATTTTTTCATCCAAAAAGTATTTTATGCAAAAAAGAGTAATTTTCTCCAAAAGATTAATTTTTCTATAGTGTCTTGATAACTTTAATTTTATAAATATTTAATGATCTCTATTAGTTTCTTTTCCGCTTTTGCCGCCTTCCTGCGTCTAATCTTTCGAATTTTCTTATCGTGAAGATTTTATAAAAAGAAAACCGGTTTCTTTCAATGAATCCAATAAATTATTATTTAGAAACGAGGTTATGTTGTTCGTCGAGGGCAAAAGATTTTATTTTTTTTGTTTAATTTCGATTTTTTTATGATTTGGAGCAATTTGTAAATTCCATATGGACTAATTTTTATGGTAAAGATATTTTCGGGAGTACTTGAAGCACGTTGCTTTGTTATATCAATCTGTTACATAAAAGTATCATGAGATGAATCACGCTTTAGAAGGAAGCAATTTTACACATTTTATTCAGGCTTGCCACAGGTCAGGGAATTCAGGGAAAGTAGAATTGGACAGGAAAAAGTCAGGGATTTCAATTAAAGTACTGGAATTCTTTAAAATACTGAATTCATAAGAATATTTTGAATTTTTGTGTATTTTTTATTTGCCTCCTAAACTAAATAAAATTACCACGAATTTTAATATAAAATCTTCATTTTTTTCTATTTCTGACAATAATTTTTTTAAATAACTTATTTCTTCAAAAACTGTCATAAAATTATTACATATAAATTATTTATTGAATAATTTTAGTTTAATATTTTAAAATTAATAGACTTTAAAAAAAATGCGTTTACAATTTTCAAAAGTAGATGGACATCAAAAGGTTTCAATTTTAAATTTTAGATCATTTCAATTTTGAATTAATTTAATTAGAAAGAACTTAGATTTTTGGAAAATTTTAATAATTCAAATTCTTCTGAAATTAGTTACATTTTTTAATATATATTTAATTAATTATTTAAACTAATGGATTTATAGAAGAATTTTACTCAAAAACAGTAGATAAAAAAAAATTGGATTTTGGAGAAGTTACAAATGATTGCAGAAATTCAATTATTTTCAAAAGTAATGAAATTCTTCTCAGAAATTCAATTATGTTAAATTTTTTTTCAAATTCTAGTCAAAATTTCCATTATCTTCATAGATAATAAAATTCTTCTCAAAAATTTTAACAAAATTCTTGTCAACATTCCAATTTTATCAAAAATTTTCCTCAATTCAATGATTTTCAATATTTATTAATTTAATAAAATTTTCAAAAGAATTCAATTATTTAGAAAAAATTCTAACCAAACATTAAATTATTTACATAAATAATATTTTATTATTTTATATTACATAAATAAAATTTTTATAAATTTCTTCGCAATAATTCAATTATTTTCAAAAATAATAAAACTCATCGCAGAATTTCAATGATTTTTAATACAATTTTAAATCAAATTCCTCGAAAAATGTAATTATTCTTAAACATTTCATTAAAATTTGTCAAAAAAATTAAATATTCAATTCTTGCAACGAAATTCATTATGTATGATAATAATATTCAATTCTTTCAATGAATTTTATTACATTTAAAAAGAATTGAATTCTTTTGAGAAATTTTATTAAAATGGTAGATTTTAAAAATATTTTAATTTCAGCGAAGATTTTCATTATTTGTGAAATGTAATTGAATTCTTGCAAAAAATGTTTGAATTTAATTACATTTTTCGGGGAATTCATTTAAAATTGTATTAAAATTAATTAAAAACCTATGAAAAATCTTATTCTTTATAAAAATAATTGAATTCATGTGAAAAATTTTATTACTTTGTAAAAAAAGGTTTGAATTTGAAATTTTTTGAAAATCTTAATTCCTATATATATATATATATATATATATATATATATATATATATATATATATATATATATATATATATATATATATATATATATATATATATATATATATATATATATACATAATAATAATAATTTTCAAGAATTCTCTATTATTTTGTTAATTCTTATAAATTTAATGAAATTCTCAAACTTGGTATTGATAAAAAGTTTAAATTCTAACATCAAACAATTTTTTTACAATATTATTCAATTAGTGAACTGAATTTTATTTGCCACTTTTGTTTGACAAAAATAAATTGATTAAAGACACTTAAATTTTGAAGTTTAAATATTAAGTATGTTTTTTAGATTAAAATAGTGTTTTTCAATTAAATCTTTAGAATTTTTATTTCTTTTGGTAAATTCAGTCTCCTATAAAATGATAATTCAATAAACTTAAAAAAAAATTCCGCATTTTTTACATTTTTTGATACTCTTGCCATTCCGGTTACGCAGAATCGAGTACTTTATTTATTTCAGAAAAAATAATACTTATAAATTCTATTAAACATTCCTTTCCTTCAATTATCAACATTTCAATGTATTCAATATATTTTTCGGATGAATACTAACAATTATTAGGGTAGGCGAACACTATTTTAAAAAAAAGTATTTTCTACACCTTTTTGTCTAAAAAGGCGATTTCTAATTAAATCTGTTTTCTAAAAAAAATTTTTATAAAAAGTTATAATTTCTAATGTTTATTTTCCTAAAATTTCTAAAATTCCATAATTTTTATAAAAATTAGAAAATTGTTTAAAAATAAAGATTAAATTTTCTGTTTCTCAATTACAATTCTGTTTACAAAATTATAAGTTTCTTTTTGAAAATGAAGAAAATTTTTTATAAAATTACTATTTGTTATCACAATTTGTTAACAAAATTCTATTCTTCTTTGAAAAAAAATAATTTGCATCATTTTTACATTTAAATTTCCAAAGTTAATATATTTATAAAAAATTTTTTTAGAAAATTTTAAATATCTTTAGGGAAAAAATCCCTATAATTTGTTAATTACGATTTTTAACTAGATTATTTAAAAATTTTGTTAAGTAATTTGCATAATTTCTATTTTTTATTATAATTTTTTAACGAAATATCAAGTATTTTTTTAAAGAATTAACAAATTTTCGTAAATTTTATTTTTTAATCATATGTACTTATTGATCGTGATTACAAAAATAGAATATTGTTAGAAAAATGAAAAATTTTGAAAATTACCTTTATTAGAAAAAAGTTTTTTAGAAATTCACCTTTATTAGAAAAAAAAATTTTAGAAAATACGATTTAGAAAAACTGTACCCCAACCATTATTAGAAACATAAGAATGAAAATTAAAATATTTGCAGAAATTATAATTTATAAATCTTTTGAGTTTGAATTTTATTACATTTATATGAGCTTAAAAAATGTTTGAGGGATTTCATGAGAAAATTACATGTATAAAAATTACATTTGAAACTTGAGTTGAGTAGAGGCATGTTTTTTCACTTGGTAATTATATTTATTTTAATAACAGAAGCCATTAAAAAATCGCAAAAGGATCCAAGGCAAGAAAAGTAGTAATTTTGATTTTTTGAGGATTTTCTAAAAATCTTGGTATTTAAACTAAATTATAATTTCCACCCCTTGGAAGCAATTTTTTTCGTTTGCTAATTATTTATTTTAATGTTAGAAGTCATTAAAAAATTTTGCAAGAAGATCGAAGGCGGGAAAGCAGTGATTTTTATTTATTTTATATTTTAGGATTTCTGAAAAATCCGTGACAAAAAATAAAAATCACTGCTTTCCCCGCCTTCGATCTTCTTGCAATTTTTTTAAATGGCTTCTGAGGCGTGGAAATGATAATATAGTTAAAATACCGAGATTTTTTAAAAAATCATAACTATTGTAAACATGCAAGAATATAAATTGAAATTATTAAATTTTTTCTGTGGAAAGCAGGTAGGCAGATTGCTACCGTGGCAATTCTTTAAATCATTAACGCGCGCATCGCGCGCGTAGGAATTTGCTAGTGGAATAATAATAATAATAATAATAATAATAATAATAATGATTAAATATTTATTTAAAAAATAAGTTATTGATGTTTTAGAATAATTTTACAATGAAAGAAATTCGTAAATAAATGTAATAGAACATTTTTTTGAGTATCTAATCATTTTTAGAGTGAATCAGAATATTCTTCAGAGTCAGGGAAAAAGTCGAAATTTTTTCTGGAAGTCAGGGAAAAGTCAGGGAAAAACAAAATTAATTTTTTGTGGCAACCCTGTTATTGCAATATTTCAATGAATATTTTTATTTGAGAATAGGAAAATATATTAATATCATTTTTAAAATAAAATGGCATTAGAGATAATGAGTTATTTTCAAAATTGTGGACCATTAAATAACTTTTAAAAAACGATTATCTTTTAGGAAGCATATAAGAATATTCCCTTGGAAAATAAAGTCGAATTCCTAGTAAGCTTCATTTGTAACACTTCTTATGTGGAGGACTTAAGATCAATGGCTGCAGTTTTACTGCGCCGGCTATTTTCATCAGAATTTATGGAATTTTATCCCAAGGTAATTAAAAATGAATTATATTAAGAATAATAATTTTAATATGTATTAATTATTAATAGTTTAGTTATTTAACAGTTATTAATTACTTTAATAGGTAGTTAATAATTTCACTAAAATTTTTATTTTATCATCAATTTAATGCGAATTTAACCTTATTTTTTTAAAATGTAAAATTTTTTTTAGATTCCACCGGAAGGACAAGCTCAACTTAAAGAACAAATTCTTCTGGCGGTGCAAAATGAACAGAGCGATAAAAATCGTCGGAAAATATGTGAGGTCGTTGCGGAAGTTGCACGAAATTTAATTGACGAAGATGGTAACAATCAATGGCCAGAGTTCCTGCAATTCTTATTTCAGTGCGCGAATGGACCAGTGCCAGAACTTAAAGAAAGTGCTCTTCGTATGTTTACGTAAGTTTAATTTTAAATAAAACCAAAAGGTAAATCAAAACATTCTTTTGAAATCAAATTTTTTTCTAAAACATTTCATGTAATTAATTTCAGATCGGTTCCCGGCGTTTTTGGCAATCAACAAGCTCACTATCTTGAATTAATTAAACAAATGCTACAACAATCAGTTATAGACTCGGCAAACTATGAGGTAAAAATACGTACATACAATGAAAATATCTAATTATTTTGGGAGATAGATACACGAGAATTTTTCATAATCTCGTCACGGATTCTCCCTAAATTAAAGAAGCCTTCTGATGACTGCAAATTGTCAAGTATTAATTTTCAGACAGATACGAGGCTTACATTTTAATTATTCAGTTAGAAATTGATGTTCACAGGGTTACCGCAAATCAGGGGAATCAGGAAAAAGACGGGGAATTTTAAAAGTTCAGAAAAAAAATTAAATTTTTAGAATTCATAAGATTTGTATCTTTTTTCTTTGACTTATAAACTAAAATTACCGCGAATTTTAATAATTAAAGAACCTTAAATTCTTTCTAATTCTGACAATAATTGATTTGAAATAAATTTAATTCTTGGAGAACTATCATATAATTATTTTCGATATCTACAATTTTCATAAAATTTCCCAAAGGAATTCAATTATTAAGAAAAAAATGTTGATGAAATTCTACGCAAACATTCAATTATTTTCATAAATAATACAATTTTCACAAGAATTTAATTATTTTCAATAAAATATTATTAAAATTTAAATAATTCAATTATTATCAAAAATAATACAATTTTTCACGAGAATTCTATTGTTTAGAAAAATAATAAATTTTTTCACGATGAATTCAATTAATTTTTTAATTTTTACTAAAAGTGATGGTAAAAATCCAATTATATTCATAAATAATAAAACTCATTACAGGATTCAAATTACTTTTAATATAGTTTTTAATGAATTCTTAGAAAAATGCAATTATTCTTAAAAATTTTATTAAAATTATTGGACAGAATTCAATCATATTGAAAAATTTTGATAAAATCCTTTATAAAAATTCAACCTTCATAAATAATAAAATTGTAACAGGTATTTAATTATTTAAAAAATTTTAATATTACTTTCCTCAGACTTCAATTATTTTCATAAATATTAATATTCTTTAATTAATAATTATTTTTAATACAATTTTAATAAAATTCATCAAAAAATGCAATTATTCTTAAAAATTTTATTAAAATTCGTCGGGAGAATTCAATTATTTAAACAATTTTTGATAAAATTCTGTATAAGAAATAAAGGGCTTAGGGGGTTAAGTGTGCAAAAAGTGCCCCCGCATCTATTTTTCTCAAATTTGGCCCATATATTACTATCCATATGACTATAACTTTCTGCAATTTTGAACTCAAAATTCGCTTTTTTGGGGGACTTATGGAGGGGGAAAGCAAAATCAAAAAACTTATTTTTCTCGAAAACTACTGAACCGATTTTAATGAAATTTTAAGAGATTGTAAATATAGATAATAAGATTTTAAAAAAAAATCAAAATTTTTTTTCAAAAAAAATTTTTTAAATTTTCAAAATTTTTTTTAGGGTTATTTTTTGAAGTGACCACTTTCTCTTTTGGTGTAAAAAGTACCTTATAATGTCCCCTTTAACATATATTTTTTCCAAATTTTTTAAAAATATAGTTTTTGAGTACAATGTCAAAAACCATGGTCATGCTATTTGTCACGTACGGTAATACACATATATTCATATGGGCAATTTCACGTGTTAGGGTATAGCCAAATAAGTATGGCAAAAGTGACCCGAATATATTTTTTGGAACTTATGGAGGGTAAAAAATCGAAAAACGCATTTTTCTCAAAAACTACAGTATGCATTTTAATCAGCTTTGAATATGTTGGAAAGACAATAATTAAAAAGATTCCAAAAAAAATTTCAAATTTTTTTTTTTTAATTTTAAAATAAAATTTTTTTGAAATTTTCAGAAAAAAATTTTTTTAGTTTTATTAATGTGAAATTTTTATGTATTTTCTCATTTCATTCTCTTATGTGATCTACTTAATAAAGAAATTTTGCCTGACATGATTTCAGGGTGTGTCACGGTAAATAACTCAAAAACCATACCCGGTACATTTTTATATTGTATGTAAATGGTTAATTTTAAAAAACCTGTCAAATATTTTTGCTACTTATTACTAGTGGGTTATTGAGGTTGCTAAATACAAATCTGAAGTTGATATAAAAAATATTTTTAGACAAACAAAAAAATTTGGAAAATTTTAAAATCAAATTTAGGATTTTTTGAGTTTTTTTACAGTGTCGCACTCTAAATATCTCAATATCGCCATTATTTTTTAAAAAGTAAGACTGTTAAAAAAGTTAAATGAAAAAAGTGTGATGTACCGCTTCAACGATCCAAAAAGAAAAAAATTTTAAATGCCAAAATAAAATTTTTTGGATGTTTCTTTGGAAATAATTTTTTTTAACATCGATTTCAGACTTGTATTCAAAAAACCCCTAAGTATTAATTTGTAATTTAATAAATAATTAATTAATTAACCATTTACATACAATACAAAAATGTACCGGGTTTGGTTTTTGAGTTATATATCGTGACACCCTGAAATCATGTCGGGCAAAATTTTTTTATTAAGTAGATCACATAAGAGAATGAAATGAGAAAATACATAAAAATGTCACATTAATAGAACTAAAAAAATTTTTTTTTGAAAATTTCAAAAAAATTTCATTTTGAAATTTAAAAACAAAAAAGGTTTTTGGAATTTTTTGAAAATAAAATTTGAAATTTTTTTTGGAATCTCTTTAATTGTCTTTTCAACATATTCAAAGCTGATTAAAATGCATACAGTAGTTTTTGAGAAAATGCGTTTTTCGATTTTTTTCCCCTCCATAAGTTCCAAAAAACTCAAAATTTTGAGTTAAAAATTTCAAAAAGTTATTTTTAAATGGGTAGGAATGCATGGGAAAAATATATTCGGGTCACTTTTTCCATACTTATTTGGCTATACCCTATCACATGAAATTGCCCATATGTACATATGTGCATTACCGTACGTGACAAATAGCATGACCGTGGTTTTTGACATTTTACTCAAAAACTATATTTTTTAAAAATTTGGAAAAAATATATGTTAAAGGGGACATTATAAGGTACTTTTTACAACAAAAGAGAAAGTGGTCACTTCAAAAAATAACCCTAAAAAAAATTTTGAAAATTTCAAAAATTTTTTTTGAAAAAAAATTTTGATTTTTTTTTTAAAATCGTATTATCTATATTTACAATCTCTTAAAATTTCATTAAAATCGGTTCAGTAGTTTTCGAGAAAAATAAGTTTCTTGATTTTGCTTTCCCCCTCCATAACTCCCCCAAAAAAGCGAATTTTGAGTTCAAAATTGCAGAAAGTTATAGTCATATGGATAGTAATATATGGGCCAAATTTGAGAAAAATAGATGCGGGGGCAGTTTTTGCACACTTAACCCCCTAAGCCCTTTTAATAAACATTCAATTATTCAATAAATTCTTTCTTTTATAAAATACTTGATTTCTCGTACAATTTTCTAATAAAAATTTATTTAAAAATGTATTTTATATAAAGTTTTAGATAATAATTGAATATTAGAAGCTTTATAGGATGAATTCAAATCTTTGAAAATCTGAATTTTTCACACTTTTAATTAACAACTCTAGAAAACTATTATTTAAAATTTTAATTCCATTCTGTTAAAATTAGTCTCTTAAATTAAGTCTTTTTAAAATAATTGAAATTTGGAAAAGTTACAAATAACTGCATTTTTTAGAAATAATTGAATTTTGAAATGTTTTCAAATTCAAATATTTGAAAATCTGAATTTTTCATACTTTTAATTAATAATTCTGTCAAACTAATTTTTTTGTAAAATTTTAATTTAAATTTTAAATTATTTAATTTAATTTTGATTATTATTTGAAATTATTTAAAGTTTTTATTTTCAAATATATATGTAATTGAAGAATTTCCGAATAATTGGAATTTCGTAAAATTGAATTGTAAACAAATGAATTCGAAAATTCTCAAAGAACTTTGTCAAAAATTATTAAAAATAATTGATTTAAAGAAGAATTTTAGTTAAAAATTCTAGAAAATAATAATTAAATTGAAATGATGAAAATAATTTTGAGGAAGTTAGAGTAACAATATTCTAATAATAATAATGATGGCTTTATCGATCACTCCGAGTCATTCAGAATAATGAAAAAAAATAAGAAAATTTTTTTCTTTACGTTTCAACGGCACAGCCGTCCTCTTTAGAAACTGAAAGTTTATTATAATTTATAAATATATGTACATAAAATTCATTAACAATTAAAAATTATTTTACAAAAAAAAAATTATTCGGTGTTAAAAATTACTTGGTGTTATTAAATAACACCGAGTGATAAATTCAAATCAATATTAATATTCTAATAAGTTATTGAATTTCAAAAGGTTTGAATTTGAAATTTTTGAAAATCTCAATTCCTATCTTTAGGGTCAGGGGAAAAGTCAAAATTTTGTCTGGAAATCAGGGGGAAAAAATTAAAGATTTGTGGTAATCCTGATGTTACTTAATTTTAACTTGAATTTAAATCTTTTTAAATGAAATTAAAATGTTAAATTAAATTTCCAATTAATTTAAAAATGTGTTCCAATTTTTCCGTTTAGGTTCGATTTCAAGCAGTAAGAGCGATAGGTGCATTTATAATGCTTCACGACAAGGAAACAAATATTCAAAAGCATTTTTCTGAACTTTTACCAGCAATCGTTCAGGTGACGGCTCAATCAGTTGAGAAGCAAGAGGATGAAGCATTACTTAAAGTTTTAATTGATCTGGCAGAATCGACGCCTAGATTTCTTCGACCACAATTAGAGAATATAATGGAAATGTGCATGAAAATATTTTCCAACGAGGAAATGGGAAATTCATGGAGACAATTGGCTCTTGAAGTTTTAGTAACACTCGCTGAAACAGCACCGGCAATGGTGCGTAAAATTGGTGGGAAATATATTGAAACTCTCGTTCCATTGGTGCTGAAAATGATGACTGATCTTGAAGATGACGACGAATGGAGTTTCGCTGACGAAATTATTGAAGAAGATAACGATAGTAATAATGTTGTGGCAGAAAGTGCTTTAGATAGATTGGCATGTGGTTTAGGTGGTAAAACAATGTTACATCATATTGTTCAAAATATTCCAACAATGTTGAATAATCAGGATTGGAAATACAGGTATTGAATTGAATCTTTACTTTTTGAAAGTAAAAAGCAAGTCTTGTAAAAAAATTATGAAAGAAAAAAACTCCATAGAAAGTCAGCAATTGAGTTTGAATTCTAAATTTGAAGGCGTTACATCTATGGTAGAGAAAATGATGCACTTTTCTATTTCTTTCTGTTGTACTAACAGTTTGAATTTTGAAAAGTACGTCAAAATGTTTCTAGAGTTGTTTGCAATTTCCACATAAATTGCCTTTATGAATTAGGAACAAACAATTTTATGGGTCTAGGATTATTATCATAATTATTATGAATTATGAAATTATTTATGGTTTTAAATCTTTCATTATTTAATATATATACTGAATATAATATTAGAATTAATAATATAATTTTAAATTACTATTACTATTAAATTACCAAAGGAAGAAATTAATTTCAATAATTTTACAGACATGCCGCATTAATGGCGATTTCCGCTGTTGGAGAGGGCTGTCACAAGCAAATGAAAGAAATTCTAAAAGAAATTATGGATGGAGTTGTGAATTTCCTACAAGACCCAGTGAGTGTAATTTGAAATTAATTAATTATTTAGGCCACGAATCGAGTCAGCGGTCGAATTCATTGAAATTCTGAAAGCGTTACGTTTGTGGCAGAGTAAGCCGATGGAATAAGTCTCTATTCAGTTTGTCGTTTTGACGGCTGATTTTTAGACCCTCCTGAGGAAGTTCTTGAGAGTTGACTGTATTATTTTCATGATACAATCATAGTTTTAGAACGCACAAAATTATTTATCGATTTTTCATTTTCAAATCGAAAAATGTAATAATTTTAATTATTGACTTTTACAACATTAGTTAACTTTAATCTTTAGTTAATTATAATGTTAGTTCATTTTAACTAAAAGAGTTAAATAGGACAGAATTCGTACTCATCTACCAAAACAAATTTACCACTTTTTTACGATTTGATACTATTTGGATACTTTTTTTAGACTTTTGCCACTAAAAGCTACTTTTTTTTCTTTTTTTGAGAATTCGACAGTTAATAATTGAAATAAAAAAATTAATATTTACTTTCTTCAAAATAATTATAAATTTAGTCATCGCCAATTCACATTATTTCTTTAGCATACAAAAATAATTTTGTTATTAAATTTAACTTTATTAATCAAAAATAATCTAATCTAATCTTAGTGGATTCAAATTCAAAGAAATTACAATAAATTAACTAATTTAAAAGTTAATTTGTTTAATCTAATATTTTAAACTTACTTTTTTCAGTCTTAAAGCTATTTTTTTTTAATTAATTAACGAGTACGAAACCTGAACTTAAGTTAATTTTAACTTTAGTAAATTTACTTAAATTTAGAGAGTGAGTAAAATTTTCTAATATAGGAAATAAATAATTAATTTTTTAGCATCCACGTGTAAGATATGCGGCTTGTAACGCAGTGGGACAAATGTCAACAGACTTTGCGCCAACATTTGAGAGAAATTTCCACGAGAAAGTAATACCAGGACTTTTAATGGTGTTGGATGATAATGCGAATCCACGAGTCCAAGCACACGCTGGCGCGGCGCTTGTAAACTTCAGCGAAGATTGTCCCAAACACGTTTTGCTTCCCTATTTAGATGGAATAATGGGAAAATTGGAGTCGATACTAACTGCTAAATTTCAGGAATTGGTAGAAAGAGGAACGAAACTTGTTTTAGAACAGGTTAGTACCTTTTTATTTTTACTTTCTTTTTCCGTTTTATTCTTCCCACTTAATTTTGTCTGAGACTTTTTTTTATTTAAGGGCATTTTAACCTTTATGACGTCAAAGTTTTATTTATTTATTATTTTAATATTTTATTTTTATTTAGGTTTTCTTATTTAACACATGCTTTGAATAAATTGTGATTGAACCATTAGCAGGGTTGCCGCAGGTCAGGGAAAAGTCAGGAATTTTAATTAAAGTACTGGAAAAAATTTAATTTTTAGAATCATAAGAAAATTTTAAATTTTGGTGTCTCTTATGTTGCCTCATGAACTATGAAATTACCACGAATTCTAATACTTATTTCTTCAAAAACTATCATAAAATTATTACTAATAAATTATGTAATTAATAATTTTACTTAAATATTTTAAAATTAATTCAATTTAAAAAGAATTGCGTTTACAATTTTCATAAATAGATAAACTTCAAAACGTTTCAATTTGAAATTTTAGAAAATTTCAATTATGAATGAATTTAATTAGAAAGAACTTACATTTTTTAAAAACTTTAATAATTCAAATTCTTCTGAAATTAGTTACATTTTTTAATATATATTTAATTAATTATATAAACTAAGGGATTTATAGAAGAATTTGAGTTAAAACCTCTAAAAGAAATTGAATTTTTGAGAAAATGTTTGCAGAAATTCAATTATTTTCAAAAGTAATAAAATTCTTCTGAGAAATTCAATTATGTTAAATATTTTTTAAAAATTCTCGTCAAAATTTCAATTATTTTTAAAAATAATTAAATTCTTCTCCGAAATTCAATTATTTTTAAACATTTTGATAAAATTCTAAGCAAAAACTAAATTATTTCCATAAATATTAAAAATTTCACAGGAATTCAACTATTTACAAATATTTAAAAATTTCTTTGCAATAATTCAATTAATTCATAAATAATAAAATTCTTTACAGTGATTCAATTATGTTCAAAAATATTAAAATTCTTTTTAAGAATTCAATTATTTCTTATAGAAATTTCTAATACAAATTGATTTAAAAATGAATTTCATAGTTAAAATTTTAGATTATAATTGAATATTAAAAGCATTATAGAGTGAATTTTTTTAGAAATAATTGAATTTTGAAAAGGTTTCAAATGAAAATTGAAAATTTTTAATTTTTCATACTTTTAACAAATAATTCTAAAGAATTAATTTTTTTTGAAAAAGTTTAAATTTTTTAAAAATTATTTGAAGGTTTTATTTTATAAATATATTTAATTGAAAAATTTCCGAATAATCAGAATTTCGTAAAATCGAATTGTAAACAAATAAATTTTTGAAAATTCTCAAGAAACTTTTGCAAAAATTATTAAAAATTATTGATAACTGATGTTGAAGAATTTTAATAATTAAATTTTTAAAAACAATTACATATTTTCGAAAAATTTACTTAAAATTGTATTAAAAATAATTGAAATCCTATGAAAAATTTTAATATTTATGATGAAGGAGAATAAAACAAAAACATTCGGACAATGTTATTTTATTTATTTAACTATGATGTTGATGTTTATTTATTTATTTCAAAATTGGTTTTATAATCTTTTATAGTTATGACTCCAAACTCTATGTTTTCTCTGACGTTTGATGGGTGAATTTGTTTTTATTTTTTGCTGACGAATGTTTATTTATTAATTTTTTTTTGACTCCCTGAAGAGGAAATCATTTAGATTTCGAAACGTTGGAGTAAACTAATTTTAAAAACTATTTGTCCGTTTTATTCTCCTTCACTATAATTACTATTTCTCAGACGTAAAAGATTGAATTTTAATATTTATAAAATTGAATTCGTGTGAAAAATTTTATTAAAATGTATGTAAATAATTTGATTTTTTCTGAAAAATTTTATGGATATTGAAATTATTGTAAGTTGTTAAACTTGAAAAAAGTTTGTATTTTAAATTTTTTGAAAATCTTGATTCCTATGGAATAATAATAATGATTACATTTTTATTTAAAAAATAAGTTATTGATGTAATTCGAATAATTTTTCAATTAAAAAAATTTTTAAATAAACGTAATAGAACATTTTTTTTGAGTATCTAATAATTTTTAGAATAAATTAAAATATTCTTTAATCTCAGGGAAAAGGTCAACATTTTTTCTGAAAAACAGGGAAAAGTCCGAGAAAAACAAAATTAATTTTTTTTTTGCAACCCTGATTAGGTTCAAATAACGTTAATCAAAAATTTTAGTTTACTAAAAATTGTATTTAATGAAAATAATGAAAATTTTGTTGATGAAAGTTGATAATAAAGAACTGAATTTTCCTAAAGGTTGTAACGACAATCGCTTCGGTAGCTGACACATGTGAGGAGCAGTTCGTTAAATATTACGACAGACTGATGCCTTGTTTGAAATACATTATTCAGAATGCAAATCAACAGGAGCATAAAATGCTTCGTGGAAAGACAATCGAGTGCGTGAGTCTTATTGGTTTAGCTGTTGGATCCGAGAAGGTAAAAATATTGTCATATGCACGTTAATATTTTCTATACGTAATATTTATATACCTATTTATTTACTTATTTAATTATTTATTTATTTTCAGTTTATTTCCGATGCCAGTGAGGTAATGGACATGCTTCTAAAAACCCATTCCGAAGGCAATTTATCGGATGACGATCCACAGACGAGCTATTTAATATCCGCTTGGGCGAGAATTTGTAAAATTCTCGGCAAACAATTCGAGCAATATTTGCCATTGGTTATGGGACCAGTATTACGTACAGCAGCTATGAAGCCAGAAGTTGCGTTGCTAGACAATGAAGATATGGAAGGAGTCGAGGGCGACCTCGATTGGCAATTCATTTCTCTTGGAGAACAACAAAATTTTGGAATTAAAACTGCTGGATTAGAAGATAAGGCGTCAGCATGTGAAATGCTTGTTTGTTATGCTCGTGAATTGAAGGAAGGATTTGTAAATTATGCCGAGGAAGTTGTTAGTCTAATGGTGCCTATGTTAAAATTCTATTTTCACGATGGTGTACGAACAGCTGCGGCCGAAAGTTTACCATGTCTACTAGATTGTGCCAAAATAAAAGGACCTCAATATCTTCAGGGAATGTGGGCCTATATTTGTCCCGAATTATTAAAGGCCATTGAATCAGAACCAGAATCAGAAGTTCTATTGGAATTGCTCTGCTCGCTGGCAAAATGTATCGAGACTCTTGGTGCCGGTTGTTTAGACACACAGCCAATGGCTGAACTCTTACGAATTCTAGATAAACTTCTTAATGAACATTTCGAACGGGCTGTGCAAAGATTGGAGAAACGAAAGGATGAAGATTATGATGAGGTAAGTTTAAATACTATTCTTTTTCTTTTTTCTTTTGGCAATTTTACTAATTTAAAAATAATTCAAAAGGTGGTTGAAGAACAACTCGCGGACGAGGACAATGATGATCTCTACACATTAAGTAAAATATCGGAAATTCTACACGCTCTGTTTGTGACACATAAATCAACATTCTTTCCCTTCTTCGATCAAATTTGTGGACATTTCGTGAAACTTTTGGCACCGGAACGTTCATGGTCGGATCATCAATGGGCTTTATGTGTTTTTGATGATGTGATCGAATTCGGAGGACCTGATTGTGTTAAATATCAGGAATTCTTCTTGAGACCAATGATTCAATACATAACGGACGAGTCCGCCGAAGTTAGGCAAGCAGCAGCTTATGGTTGTGGAGTTTTGGGACAATTTGGAGGAGAGGCTTTTGCACAGGCTTGCGCCGAGGCTTTGCCAAGGTTAGTCGAGGTGATAAATAAACCGAAATCAAGAGCACCTGAAAACGTGAATCCAACGGAAAATGCCATTTCGGCAATTACGAAAATTCTCAAATACAATAATTCAGCGATAAATGTCGACGAGATGCTTCCACATTGGTGAGTGAAATTCAATTACTGTGGAATTTCAGATAAATTGTTAAGTCAATAATTATGATTTTGATAAAATTTATTTATTGAAATGCTCTAGGTTGTCTTGGTTACCAGTTGTTGAAGATGAAGATGAAGCACCACATGTATACGGTTATCTTTGTGATTTGATAGAAGCAAATCATCCAGTAGTTTTAGGCATGAACAATACAAATTTACCAAGATTAATTAGCTTTTTCGCGGAAGCACTTCACAAAGATGTGGTACCAACTTCGAGTCCAGTGATGCCAAGGATAATCAGTATCGTTAGGCAAATTCAAGTGAGTTAAATTTAAAAAGAAATTCTTTCAGGGTTGCCACAGATCAAGGAAAAGTCAGGGAATTTTATCAAAAGTACTGTAGAAAAAATTAACTTCTTAGAATTTATAAAAAAAATTCAGTCTGGTTTTTGGTGTTATAAATATTGAAAAAATTTCATTATTAAGAAACTTTATTGTTTTGTTTGTCTTATAAACTTTGAAATTATTAAGCATTTTAATACAAAACCTTAAGTTCTTTCTATTTCTAACAATAATTGAAATTAATTGAATGTGAAATTTAATTTATTTAAATTAATTGAATTCCTGAAGATCTATCATAAAATTATTACTTTCAAATTATTTAGCGAATAATTTTACATAAAAAATTGGAAAATAATTTAATTTTAATAGACTTGATAGAATTACAATTTTTATAAATAATCGAATTTTAAACGGTTTCAAATTGAATTTTTAGAAAATTTAAATATAATATTTTTACTTGAAAATTCCAAAAATAATTTTATTTTAGTATAGTTGCGTTTAAAATTTTTATAAATAATTGCATTTCAAAAGGTTTCAAATTGAAGTTTTAGTAAATTTGATTTTAATCATTTTACTTAAACATTTAATAATGTTATTTCAAAATACAAAAAATAATTTAATTTTAGTAGAGTTGCGATTTGAAATTTTTATATACAATTTAATTTCAAAAGGTTTCAAATTTTAGAAAATTTAAATTTAATAATTTTACTTAAAAATTTCAAAAATAATTTAATTTTAGTATGTAGTTGGGTTTAAATTTTTTTATAAGTAATTGAATTTCAAAAGGTTTTAAATTGAAGTTTTAGAAAAATTGAATTTGAATTTAATAATTTTACTTAAAAATTCAAAAAATAATTTTATTTTAATAGTTGCGTTAAATATTTTTAATTAATAATATTGAATTTCAAAAGGTTTTAAATTGAAGTTTTAGAAAATTTGAATTTAATAATTTTATTTATTTATTTACGGGCATTGAGTCCCATTCATACATAAAATACTAAAAGTATTTAACAGTTGTAAACAATATAATAAACGTTAGGCTGCGTTATTATTATTAAATATTAAATAACAATTTACGTAAATCGATAACAAAACCTGACAAGGAGTTATTTACTTAGAATTTCAAAAAATAATTTAATTTTAGTAGAGTTGTGGTTTAAAATTTGTCTAAATAATTTAATTTCAAAAGGTTTTAAATTAAAAAGATTTTAAACAAAATTTTATAATTTTTATTAAGTATTTAATAATTTTACTCAAAGATTCCAAAAATAATTTAATTTTATCATAGTAGCGTTTAAACATTTTATAAATAATTGAAATTAAAATAATTACCAATAGAAGTTTTAGAAAATTTGAATTTAATAATTTTACTTAGAAATTTCAAAAATAATTTAATTTTAGTAGAGATGCGTTTAAAAATTTTTTAAATATAATTTAATTTCTAAATGTTTCAAGAGGAAGTTTTTTAAATTCGAGTTTAAAAAGTTTTAGAATTATTTTAGATAAACTTTCATTTTTTCTTTGAATAATTATTAAATTCTCAAAGATCTTTGTCAATAATTATTAAAAATAATAATTGATTTCGAAAAAAATTTAAGTTAAAAATTACAGAAAATAAATGAATTTTAGAGTTATTAGTAGAAATTTCTGGAAATAATTTAAAAAAATTTCAAATTAAATTTTTTTTGAAATTTGTGTTTTAAATAGTTTTAATTAAAGTTACGAATATATTTTTTTTAATTTGATATCTAAATTCTATTGAAATTAATTGATTTTTTGAGAATACATTTGAAATTTCCAAAAATAATTTGATTTTAAAAGAGTTACGTCTACAATTATTATGAATAATAATTGAATTTCAAAAGGTTTCAAGTTGAAATTTTAGGAAATATTAATATTAATTTATTTTAATTGTATATTTTAAAGAATTTAGTTTTTGAAAAATTTTAATTAAAAATTCTAAAGAAGTTAGTTTTTGAAAAATTGTAATTGAAAATTCTAAAGAAGTTAATTTATGAAAAATTTGTATATTTAAATTTTTTGATATTAGTCTATTTTTTGGGTGTATTTAGTTAAAAAAATTTCAACTAATCGAAATTTCGTAAAATTAAATTATAAACATGTAGATTTTAAAAATATTGTAGGTGAACTTTCCTTTTTTAAGTAATATTGGATTTTCAAAGAAAATAATTTAATTGAAATCATGAAAATAATTTTCGACAAGTTACAATAGCAAATGTTATAAATTATCGAATTCAAAAAAAAAATTTCAAATTTTTGAAAATTTTCTGTAGAAAAATAATTTAATATTTATCTAAAAAAAACTATTTGTGTTTCCGAATATTTTCACAGTTAAAGATATTCATAAATAATTAAATGTATTAGAAACATTAATTGTGTATCTAATAATTTTTAGAGTAATTCAGAATATTCTTCAATTAAAAATTCTTTTCTTCATTGAAAAAATCAAAATTCTCTCTAAAAATCAGAGGAAAGCAAAATAAAATTTTTGTGGCAAACCCTATATTTGGTATTAATTCAAAAAAGAATAAAAACAGTGATTAAATTTAATTAACAATTAAACTAATTGAATATAATTTTACAGAGCAACGAAACAATGTTCCAAGCATGTATAACTTCTTTGACGACAGATCAACAACACGCTCTCCACGAGGCACTCAGTGGACAAGCAACAAATTAAGTTTGCAACATTCGACAAACTTTTTTCTAATTGACGTAAATTTACGTTTTCAACCCCTGAGATAAAAAAACGAAAGGATCACTGATATCTAGAGGTAGCTAGAATGTACCTAATTTTCACAATCGATTTTTTGTCTCAGCCTAAAAAAAACGACCATCATTTTACAACAAGGTGCATTCGTCTGTTTTTGCTTACTCGCTCTGTTATTGTTAATATTTTTCAAATCGATTCTTTAAAATAAATCCCGAAAGAAACTCGAATGTTAAATGCTCGAAAATGTAAATTGTGAATTCGCATACAAACACTAAATTATAAATAGTCCACAGTTTCGTCGGTTTAAGTGTAAAATATAAATGAAATTGAGTCTGCGGCTCACCCATTAAAAACGAAACTTGGACCTTTTTTTCTACAAATTTTTTTTATATATGAAAATTTTTTTTCTTCGTCTTTATTGGTAAAATTGTGTAGCTTGACGAAGGTACACAGTTGTTTGGAATCACTTTTCAAAAATAACGTGTAGCCTCAAATATCATCTATTCGACATTTTTTTATTATTAATTTTTTCCTTTGTATTCCGACATTTGTTGATCATGTGTCGTGAACAATAATTTCGACTTAATAATCGATAGTGATTAGCTTAATGTGTCGTTAATAAATTATGAATTCCTGGATGGAATTTTATTTTTTTCATGTTCTTCAAGTTGTAAACGTTTAAGTTATTTCTGTATAATTAAATTAAAAAACTTTTTAAAGTCGAATAATTTAATTTTTGTATTATTTATTTTAAAGTGTCGTTTAAATTTACCGTTTTTTGAATAAATCATCCTAATTGAATTTTAAAGTGAAATTGTTAGTGAGGAATTTTTTTTTCAACTCGAACGTTTAGAACTTGAGGAACATATTTCTTTGATGTTATTCTAAATCATCGAAGGGATGTTACTTCGTTGCTATAGGAACGCGATGCGATTCGGTTTCTAAAGAGAACACGTTTTAGTAAGATTATATTTACATTTTGATATTTCCCGCCAAATGATGGCTAAAACGATTTTCTAGAGGAGACGTGTGCGAGATTTTATAGAGAACCTTATATTGTATCTGTAAATATTTGAAAAATCAATCCTCCCTCATTGTTATACAGGATGCTTTTGGCATTGCGATCTTGTGTAATCATTCTCATTTCACAAAACAAAAAAAAAATTGTCACTCCGAGTTATTGCCTTCAACAATTTGACAAAATTATGAAAGCAAATAGACTGGAAAAAAGCCACTAACTCATTGCCATCCCTCGAAGGCATGATATTGTGATTTAGGTATTTTATTATTAAATTTAAGTATGATAAATGTTATTTAATAGTAATATCTATAATATCGCAACGTTCAAGTTAGATAGGACGGTGTAAGAGTGCCTCTCGAATGAAAATGTAATTAACAGATTTACTGATTCGCATCCAAAGCTCTTTTTAAAATATCCATTAAATATTATATCAGTAGTTCTTATGTTTCATTCATTTTTTGCGATAAAAAAACATTTTAAAAAACAAAAAAATTAGCATAAGATCGAATTATTCATTCTTTTTAACAAATTTCCTAAATTATTATAAGCGCTTTTTATCTAAGACCTAATATCACAATTGACTATGACTGATGACGTCCATAATTTCATAAAAAAAAATTAATTTTAACAAATATTTATTTTCATAAATTAAATAATAACAAATATCAGAAAATTGACTGACTCAAGGAACAAATATGCAACGAGAGATTTTTGTATAGAATTTAAAAAATTGCTCGTCTTGGACAATTTTCTGAAAATGTTTTTTTTTTAAATAAAATTTTAGTTTATTGATGTGAATATTAATTTTTTTTTACCAATTTTAGAGTTTTAATGAAAATTATCTTTTCGATCGATGGGCGGAAAATGAAACCGTCAAAAAAGAATTTTGAGTTTTTAAATTTCGAGATTGTGGTAAAAGGTAAATTTTTCAAATATATTGAAATATTTCGAATATATACATGAAATCTTTTAAAATAAAAGCAAAATAAAAATAAAAAAAAATTCTTAAATTTGAGCGCTAAAATCAAATTGGCGTTTTAAAATGTAATAAACTCTAATGATGAAAAAAAAAACCGAAAGAAGAGCGAAATCGCAATGATTAAAATTATCATAAGGATTATATAAAGAATTATTTTAAAGTTTGAGTAAAATAAATCTCAGCTTTCTAACAAATTGTTCCTTTTCTTTCTCCTACGAAATTTTGTACTTTAAATTTTTGAATATTTGCACATTTCGAATTTCTAATTGAGTATTAAGCATAAACAGGACCAAGGAATTCAGGGGAAAGTCAGGGATTTTAATTAAAGTACAGGAAAAAATTAAATTTTTAGAATTCATAAGAAAGTTCTGAATTTTTGTGTCTTTATTTGTTTGCCTCATAAATATCTGAAATTGTCACGAATTCTAATACAACAAATTCAATTTATAACTTATTTATTGAATAATTTTACTTAAATATTTCAAAATTAATTGAATTTTAAAAGAGTTCAATTCAATTATTTAAAAATTTGTTAATAAAATTCTGAATGAGAATTTATTTTACAGAAACATTCAATTATCCAATATATTATTTATTTATTTATTTTTAATTTTTAGAAATAATTGAATTTTGAAAGGGTTTCAAATTAAAATCTTTGAAATTTTGACTTATACTTCCTTTAACTAACAATTATGTATAGAATTAATTTTTTTGAAAAAGTTTGAATTTTTTAAAAATTATTTAAAGTTTCTATTTTATAATATAGGGGAGACTGGGGCGAAAAGTTAAATTGTGAAAACAGTTAAAATTCATTATCTTTCGAACGGAAATAGTTAGAGCATTGCAATTTTAACTATAGAAGTGTGTTATCACCCTGAATAAATGTCCGGAGTTATGTGACATTCTGCTAATTTTTGTGGTGTCCATATTTAAATTTTTTTTTTCACCCTACTTTTGAAAATTTTTTCGTAAAAGAAAATATCAACTTTTAAGTATATTTTTTGCATTTATTCTCACCGTGATTTTTTCACTTCATTATTTGGGTCCCCTGAAGAGATACCTAAAGGTATTTGCTAAATATCAGATTTAGCAAATATTTGCTAGATTTTTTATATTTCAGATTTTATGTCATTTTATTATGTCAGATTTTTTATATTTGTTGTTAAAGCCAAAAATGCACCCTGGGGCGAAAAGTTAAATGTATTTTTACATGTTATTAAAAATTTTGTTTTATTTTTCGTTTTTTTGGGTTTATTTGTTTAAAAATGATTTATTTGACATTAGGCAAATACTCTATCAAAAAACAAGACCGCTCACGTGAAATAAACCAAAAAAATTTTTTTTTTCTTGAAATTTCAATTTATTAACTTTATAACTATTCTAAAGCTTTTGTTAAGTAAACAAAGATCTTTTATTAACTAAATTACTTGTTTACGTATACTTTAACTTATCTACTACTTAACACCTATCAGAAAATAGTTTTAGTAGGCTAAAAATAGAATTTAACTTTTTGCCCCAGCCATTTAACTTTTCGCCCCAGCATGGGGCGAAAAGTTAAAAAAAAACAAAATTTTCAAAAAAGGACAAAACATGTATTGTATGCGAAAATATCAGAAACTTTTTTATTGAAAGTTGTAGGGGACAAGTTGCCCTACAATATTGATGTGTAAATATTTGCATCTAAGCGGATTATATTGTCTAAAAAAAATCATTTATGCAAAATTTAACTTTTCGCCCCAGTCTCCCCTATATTTAATTGAAAAAATTTCCGAATAATCAAAATTTCGTAAAATTGAATCGTAAGCAAATGAATTTGAAAATTCTCAAGAAACTTTTGCAAAAATTGTTTAAAGTTTAAAATAATTGGTAATTGATTTCCTTTGAAGAATTTTATAATAAAATTTTTGAAAACAATTTATTATATTTTTCGAAGAATTTACATAAAATTGTATTAAAAATAATTGAAATCCTGTGAAGAATTTTATTATTTAGGAAAATAATCGAATTCTTACAAGGAATTTTATTACATTTTTAAAATAAAATTGAATTCTTTTGAGAAATTTTATTAAAATAGGGGATTTTGAAAATATTTGAATTTTATCGAAGAATTTAATTATTTGTAAAATGTTATTGAATTCTTGGAAAAAATTTTTGAAATTAGTTACATTTTTTGAGGAATTCATTTAAAATTGTATTAAAAATAATTGAAATCCTATTGAAAAATTTTATTATTTATGAAAATAATTGAATTCTTAAACAACAAATTTTATTACACTTTTTTAAATAAATAAATCAAAAATATTATTACTTGTAAAAATAATTAAATTTTTGCGAAGAATTTTATTAAAATTTTTGTAAATAATTTTATTTTTTCTAAAAAATTTTATGGATGCATATTTAAATTATTATAAGTTATTGAATATCAAAAAGGTTTGAATTTGAAATTTTTTGAAAATCTTAATTCTTATGGAATAATAATAATTAGGTATTAAATGTTTATTTAAAAAGTAATTTATTGATGTTTTCGAATAATCTTACAATTAACAAAAATCGTAAATAAATGTAATAGAACATTTTTTTGAGTATCTAATAATTTTTAGAGTGAATCAGAATATTCTGTAGTGTCAGGGAAAAATGTCGAAATTTTTTCTGGAAATTAGGGAAAAACAAATTTAATTTTTTGTGTCAACTCTGATAAAATATAATTTTCATAATATTATAGCGAAAAGTAGTTATAAATAAAAAAATGATATTGTACAGTCGTCACTAATTACGCTAATTACTCATAATATATAGAAAGAACAATTAGGTTATATGTATGTTCAACACACGTGATTAATTTCAAGGTATACAAATGCCGGTTTGCAATTAACGTTTCATCATCCAATTTTTGCGTCATAAAAATCCCACTCTAGAAGATATCACTTTACGTCAAAAGTTGCCTATCGAGAAATATGTATTCGTAATACATAACGAAAAAAAATAATATTCTCCTTTTTTCCTCAAAATAAAATCGAATGTCTTCAAGTTCATTGATCGTTTATAGAGATAGTTTTTTAATTAATAATTAATTAAGTAATAAGAAACTATCTACATAAATTAATTATTCCATTAATTATTCAAATAAACACACTTTTTATACAGTTATATTTTTTTGCACTAAATGTACATATATTTTCAAAAATCGATAAAAAGCCGGAAAAAAATTGGTCTATAATAACTGGTCAATAACTGTCATTAACATTGATAATTAAATAAAAAACAAATTTGTAAATATAATTAAAAATCTATAAATGAGTAAGCCTTTCTTTTAAAATTGCGGTCATGAATCACTACTGTTATTCTTTGATCAGTGATTTGACCCTGCCTCGTAACATAAAATACAAACGTATATAAAGGAAAAGAAGAAAAAAATTATGTAGTCATGCCTGTAATTTTTTATACCCGTTATACGGAACTTTGACTATGTGGAATTAAACAATTTTCTGATTGGTTAATATCAGGATGGCGCGATACAAACCCCTCTCTCCTTTAAGGACCGGCTTAACCCCCTCGCCCAAAAATATGACCTTAACTTTTAATTTATTTACCATTTCCCCATGTAATTATCAAAAACCTATTAAACAACAATTTCCTTTTCAGCCACCAAATTTTTATGGGAATAAAACAAATTTTTTTTAATTAATTGATCGAAATTTTTGATAAAAACGGAAACACGTAAAGTGCGTGAGCACACTTGGAATGCAGTGACACATGCGCAGAACTGTCAGTATGCGGGCGTCTGCTGTGACCACGTCTAGTTCACAAGTTGATGATATGGCATTAACTTTTATTCTTATTGAATAAAATATATTTTAACATTTAAAGTAAATCAATTAATATTTCAATGAATTTAATTTCACAGTGAATAAACAAGTTTTTAAAGGAAAATTGAAAGAAAAGCAATTGTTAATTTCGCGAAAATTGTGTAATAATCCTTTGACAAGTCAAAGTATATAAAAGAAAATTGAATTCAGGGTATGAAAAGGTTGGTTCTAATTTATATTTGGAATAATATGTTCCTTTTGTTGTCAAGTTCATTACATTCTATTCTATTTTAATCTATTCATGTATTTTACTAATTATAGTTTTTTTATCGTTTTTTTTTTGTCGACTCGTGTCTAATAGTCGTCCTAATTATTTTCTACATCGCATTTTCATTGATTATGTGTACATATTAGCGATATAGTTTTTTCTTTACAACGAATTTTTATTTATTTCATTTACTTCTATAAATATAATTTTACCGAAAATTTATCATACGGTGCGTATTTACATTATTGCATTGTTTTTTAAATTGCCTTTCGAATTACCTTCTAATATTCAATATTGTCTTTTTATGTCGCTGTAATTGTTAGTTTGTTTTTTTGAAAAAAAATTGTGATAATTATTTTGATTATTGTTATTTGGTATTTTAGTCATTTTAATAATCTTTTAGACTTTGTCGATTCATCAATATTGACAAATTGCACGTTATTTACCTAATTAGACAATAATTAATTCTGCGTAAAGCTTTATTGTAAACACGCTACTTAAAGTTATTCTAGAACATTTACGCATTTCTGTTTTATTTTAACATTAAATTAAATAGGAATTAACAATCGATAAAAAAGGATAATACTTTTTTGAATTAGTTATTGCGTCAGTTGTCATTTTTTTTTTAAATTAAAATATCTACATATTTTTAAAGATATAAATCTAAATTAAATAATAGAGCCTACTTGTTTTATTCATTAAAAACGAATGAATTTCTATTATAAACATGTGTGAACATTGCTGTGAAATTTTTTCAATTCTTTTGTTTAAAATAAAGATCAAATGTTTTCTTAATGACTCTTGACGTCTTTATAGAGTTGATCACGAAAACTAATATCTGATTTAGATTTTTAATTTATTTTAAATATTTACACGAAATACATAAATTTAGTAATTTACGGTAATTTATTTAAATGTGATTAATTGTACATTAATTTTATACGAATTAGAATGAATTAAAAATTTTAAAAATTATTTTCAGTTGTTGGAGATTATATGGATTTTAGATTTTAAAAAAAATGTCGAGAAAGAGACCGCACGATATTGAAGATATGCAGAGCAATAATATTGCCAATGATACAAATCAGAATGGAGACCATGCTTCGTCTTCGAGGGAGGAGTCACCGTCTTTTCCGGTAAATACGTCAATAAAATAATACAATGCAATTAATTTGTAATATTTTTTCGATAATTCATGTGGAATAATTGTTTCACAAGTGACAGAATAATTATTACTAAATTATTAAAATCTTTTTGTAAATTTGAATTTAAATTTTATTATTAATATTAATATTATTATTATTTTTTATCTAAAACGTCGATAAATTTTATCGGAAATATGAAATTTATTCTATATGTAGTTCATTCATGAAAGATTATTTTCTGTGATGAAATTCTTTGGTGATTTGTAATTATTTTTAGAGTTCGGATAATTTTTGTCAAATAATAATAATAATTCCTAGTTTAGTTGAAATTGAATTTTTATCTTTTTAATAAGAATAATGTGAGAATTTAAAAAATGATATAATTGTTTCCAATTTTTCCTTCTTTCTGATTAGTCATACATATTATGTTGACAAGTAAAGATGGGGTGATGAACATTATTCACGTTTTATTAATAACATTATTTATGTAATCTGGGTGAAATGGAACACTTATTGATCAAGAAAATTCAAATCAAAAGAAAATAGTTTCTATATCATATTACAAATATTTGCATTAAAAGCAATTTAACGTTAGGAATTTAATTTTTTTTTAAAAATAATTACTTTTGTTTCCATAGAAATATTTATTTGGTAAAAAAATAAAAATTGCAGGGTTTGCACTCATCTACTAAAACCTACTATATATTTGCTACTTTTTTACGATTTGCTACTATTTAGATACTTTTTTAAATTTGTGTGTCACTAGCTCTACTTCTTTCTTTCTTTTCAAATAATGGTCGCTACGTACTTTCAGTCCTCTAATAATTAAAATAACAAAATTATTCTAAAAAATTTTAATGAAATTCATTGCAATGATTCAATTATTTTCAAAAATTTGAAGAAAAGTTTTCGTAAGAATTCAATTATTTTCAATATCTACTATTTTAATAAAATTTCACAAAAGAATTCAATTATATAAAAAAATTTTTACAGATCTTCAATTATTTAAAATACAATTTTTTTGAAATAAATTAAATATTTAAAACAATTCTTAGAAAATTATTCAAACGAAGGCAATTTTTAATGATTTTAATAAAATTTGTTTATTAGAATTCATATATTTTAATACAATTGTAATTCAATTTCTTGAACAAATTTTAATAACATTCTTTGCAAGAATGCAATTATTTTCATAACTAATAAAAGTCTTCGCAGAATTTCAATTATCAGGGTTGCTACAGAACCTGGAAAACCTGGAAAAGTCAGGGATTTTTTAAAAAAGGTCTGGAATACCTGGAAAAGTCAGGGATTTTTTAAAAAAAGGTCTGGAATACCTGGAAATGTCATGGAAATTTGAAATGCCTGGAATTTTATTCCACTTTTTTTGATCCATCAAAAAATAATTTTAATTTGTCGTTTGATTAAAGAATCTGATATCTATATTATATAATATTGATTTTTAACTCTTTTTATAATAAAATTAATATTTTTGTTCAAGTAGGTTAATTTAAATTATGTTAATCGTAATATGAAATAATATTACACATGTAAATGTCCTAGAAAATTAAAAAATCTGTCCTGGAATGTCCTGGAATTTTAAGTCATATTTTCAGTAGACACCCTGTCTGTGCTTTAATAATCAAATAGAGATAATCTAACGTGAATATTTTTATAATACAGAAAAATTCTAATTTATATAATGTTCAAAAGGTGACCTGGAAATTTATCAGATTTGGTACTGGAAAACCTGGAAAAGTCATGGAAATTTAAAAACAGACTTCTGTAGCAACCCTGATTATTTTTAGTAAAATTTTAAATAAATTTCTCGAAAATATCTTTAAAAATTTTATTAAAATTCTTCGAAAGGATTCAATAATTTATATAAAATTTTTGATTAAATTTTGTAGAAAAATTCAATTTTAAGAAATAATTAATTATTCAATCAATTATTTATTGTTGAACTTAAATAATTTAATTCTCGTATAATTTCCTAGCAAGAATTGATTTAGAAATGAAGTTCAGGTAAAATATTTATTTAACAAAAATTATTCAAGTTTTCAATATTTTCATTTAGAAATTATGAGAAAGAAATTAGCCTTTTGAAAAAATGCAAGTAAAATGTTTTTTTGAAAGCAGTAAAATTCCCGTAAATAATTTTAAAAAATTGAATTAAATTTTCAATTAATTGATTTTGTTTTATTTTAGTCAATTTGCAAAGAGGCCCCATTTATGGACGACGAGGAGGCTATTTTAGAACGAAAATGTTGCGATTACGATGTCAAAATTTCAGTGGAAATGGCTCAAGCTGGAAAAGGTGAATATTTCGCTAATTTCTTTATCTATTTTTTCCTAATCTATTATTTATCATTTTCGAAATGTTGTCTATTTTTTTTAATAACTATAATATAACAATAAACTCGTTTGTTTAAAAATTTATTTTTTTAAATTATGGATCAAAAAAGTGCAAAATGTTTTTTTATACAAAAATATATGAAAATTTGAATTTGAAACATTTTCAATATCTAAATCGTTGATTATAAACATGAAATTCAGTTATTTCTAAAGGAAAATTTAGTTAATTTTTAATAATTTGTATTAAATTGCATTAAATTGTATTGAATTGTATTAAATTTTATTAAATTGTATAGAATTGTATTAAATTGTATTGATTTGTGTTAAATTGTTTACTTAATTATTTATTTAAATTTCAGCTCCTAGGAAGATTCGAGTATACGCAGACGGAATTTATGACCTTTTTCATCAAGGTCACGCTCGACAACTGATGCAAGCAAAAAATCTTTTTCCGAACATTTACCTTATAGTGGGAAGTAAGTCAATAATAATTTCTTTCGATAAAAATAATCAATATTACGGTGCCTGTTATTTTCTCACTGATATGACATAATTTTATTTTGATTTCAGTTTGTAATGACGAATTAACTCACACAAGAAAAGGTAAAACAGTAATGAATGAATTTGAAAGATACGATGCAGTCAGGCATTGCAGATACGTAGACGAGGTTATAAGAGATGCCCCGTGGGAATTGGAAGACGATTTTATTGACAAATACAAGGTATTTATGTCGAAAGAGAAGAAATTTCTATTTTATTTCTCTATTTTTTGTTATTTCTATACTCTTTCACTATTTTCTGTTTTTTCTCTACTTTTTGTCTATATTTATTCTATATTTCTGCTTCTCTAATAAAAACAGAGTTGCCACGAAAAATAAATTTTTTTTCTCCCTGATTTCCAGAAAAAATTTTCACTTTTTTCCTGACCCTAAATAATATTCTGATTCACTCTAAAATAAAATGGATTCAAATTTATTTTGTTTTACAATTTAATTTTACTAATTTTCGATTATTTGGAAATTCTTCAATTAAACATATATTAGAAAATAAAAACTTCATATATATAATTCCAAAAAAAACCAAACTTTTTCAAAAAAATTAATTCTACAGAATTGTTAGTTAAAAGTATGAAAAATTCAAATTTTCAAATATTTTAATTTGAAACCTTTTCAAAATTCAATTATTTCTAAAAATTCACGCTATTTTAATATTCAATTGAAGGGCTACAGAAAATAAGGGGACGAACGCGTGGTTGAAAGGGATAATATCAGTCAGGTAGCAGCGAGCGGCTCAAGGCTTGTCACTGCTACCCGACTGGTAGTATCCCTTCCAAGCCTCGCGTTCGTCCCCTTATTTTATGTAGCCCTTCAATTATAATCTAAAATTTTAACTATGAAATTCAGTTTTAAATTAATTTGTATTAGAAAATTCTATAAGAATTCAATTATTTAAATAAAAAAATAAATAATTAATTAATTAATTATTATATTGATTTATATTGAAATTTTATGAGGCAAACAAAAAAGACACCAAAATTCAGTATTTTCTTATCAATTCTAAAAATTGAATTTTTTCCAGTACTTTGATTAAAATCCCTGACCTGTGGCAACCCTGAAAAAGATAACATTTTGAGACTAATTTGTGAAATTCTATTTTCAGATCGATTTCGTTGCCCACGACGCGATTCCCTACAGTACAGAAGATGAGGAAGATCTTTACGCGAAATTAAAAGAACGAGGTATGTTCGTGGCAACACAAAGAACAGAAGGTGTATCAACGTCGGATATTGTAGCGAGAATAGTAAAAGATTACGATATCTACGTGAGAAGGAATCTCGCTCGCGGATACACAGCAAAGGATCTTAATGTCTCATTTCTAAACGTAATTGAACCTATTTTCGTTCTATTTAAAATAAGAATTTAATTATTTAGTTCTTATAAAAAAAAATGAAGTTCTAATTAAAAGAAGAAGACTAATTTTTACAAAATTTGTAATTTATATAAAACAAGAAGATCCAAATTCTCTTTTTTAATTTCTAAAATAAAAATTTATTCTACAGGATAAGAAGTTTAGGCTACAGAATAAGTTCGATGATCTCAAAGATAAAGGGAAACAGATGATAGAGAATTTTGGTGAGAAACGAATGGATATTATTAGTAAATGGGAGGAAAAATCACGAGATTTTATTGACACTTTCCTCTTGTTATTTGGCCGCGAGGGACGAATTGTGAGTTTTATTATTATTATTTTAATGACCGTTTTACTAATCGCAGTGTGTGTTTTTATAATTTTAAAGTGCAAATTTTAATTCTCATGCTCATCGAATTTTAAAGAGAAGGCTGTAATTTTTTAAAAATATTTTTTCCTATTCATGGTGGAGTGTTTTAATCTTTTGTATTAGCAATTAATTGAGCAAATGAATTTTTTTGAATATCGATTTTTTTATATATCAATTCTGATATTGTTAAATAAACATTTGCTTACGTGTCTATTTTTAATGCATGACTTTTGATTTTGAAGTTTTTAGAAATTTGTCATTGGTGTATTTTTGGGTATTTTCGTTTGCTTAATTTGATGTATAAGATTTATTTTTAATTTATAGTCAACAATATGGCATGAAGGCAAAGGTCGCTTAATGCAAGCGATCTCGCCTCCTTCGAGCCCAAAAAGGAATGGCAGCCCTAATAGTAGTTATTGCTTCAGCAATGACGAGGAACGCGCAAGGTATGAGAATAATTATGATAATCGTAAAAACATTTCAAGTGTACTGACCATTTACCTGATGAAACTGGTGAATTTCGCCTTTCCTTGGAGTTCCATTTTCCTTGATGTTGCCTCGTATCCTCAATTTGTTTTCCACTTTTCCAGACACTATATTCTTTCCAAACACATCACCAGAAAAAAAAACACAAAAATTTTATAGTTAAAAAAGAATAATGGAAGTTATTCTCTCGCTTTTCAATAAAATTTCTCAATTTATCACTAAAATTTCGAAAACGGACTAATAAGTTTTCAAAGTATTAATTATTATCTATTATTACCGATTTATCGAAAATCGCTTGACAATAATAGAAAAATTTTCAGAAATAATCAATACGATCAATACTGGGAATTAAAACAGTTTCCCGCCAATAAATATTTTAACGTATTTAACCTACAAAATTGTTTTTCAACTTATTTACCGCACTAGATAATTTTCACTAAAATACTAACACAATCTTCAAATTATTTTAAAACATTCACAATTTCTATCACTTTTTTAAAACAAAAAACGAATAATAATCACATTGTGACAAAATTAGTCCCCGTGAGAATGAATTTTTGATTTCGACAGAATTTATCAAAAATCTAATGATTTTTATGGAAATTATTAGCAAACTTATATCACTTTTATCGAAGAAATAAGAATTTTGTTGAATTGAGAAAAATTTCGAAGACGATTCGATTATTTATTTGGAAAAAACTAAAAGAACGAATCGTCGAATTTCCTTTACGAATAAAAACTGAAAATTTTTTATTAACAAGTTGGCCAATATTGCAAAAAAGTAAAATTTCAATTTGTTGACAATGTTACCAATCACTGATGCATAAATATTCGAATGACATACTAATAAGTTTTTGAACTATTAATTATTATTACCGATTTATTGAAAATCGTTGGACGATAATAGAGATATTTTCAGTAAAAACCAATAATGTGATCAATTCTAGGAATTAGAACAGTTTCCCGACAATAATTATTGTTTAACGTATATTTAACCTTTAAAGTTGTTTTTCAACTTTTTTAACCACTAGACAATTTTCATTATTAAAAAACTAACACAATCTTGAAATTATTTCTAAAAAATCAAATTCACTTTTTTTAATACAAAAAACGTATAATAATCACATAAGAAAATTAGTCACCGTGAAAATGAGTTTGATTTCAACACTCGAAAAAAATGAAGAATCTGTCAAAAATCTAACGATTTTTAAATGGGAAATTATTAGCAAACTTTTGTCACTTTTATCGAAGAAATGAGAATTTCGTTCAGTTTAGAAAAATTCGAAGACGATTCGATTATTTATTTGGAAAAAAAGTAAAAGAACGAGCCGTAGATTTTCCGTTACGAATAAAAACTGAAATTTTTCTATTAACAAGTTGGCCAATATTGCAAAAAGTAAAATTTCAATTTGTTGACAATGTTACCAATCACTGGAGAAAAAAATTTAAATAAAGGTATATTTAACTCTAAAATTAATTTTAAATAGAATTTTAATAACATGAAATAATTTCTAACTGGAAGTAAAATGTTTATTAAATTCTAAATATTACAAAAAGATAAAAAGAAATATTGGAAATAAAATCTGCACATAAATTAAAATTTCTAAATAGAAAATTAATCTTATAGGTTATCCTACTCTTGATCCAGTTTCCTAAACACTTGATTTTTTTTATGGTTTGTTTTTATTTTCAGGGTGGCCACATGTTAGTAAAGTCAGGGAAATGACATGAAACAAAATTTTTTATCAGGGAAATTAAGAAAATTGAGACTTTTTTGATTTATTTTTAAAAATTGCGACTTATTCGACTTTTCTTCCAAATATACAAAATACCACATTTTTTAGTATAAAAATGCAAATTATTTCTATTTTTATAATACGAAAAATAACTATAAACAAATCTTTAAAAATTTATTCTTGAATCATTTTTTAAGATAATTAAATTTTTGAAATATATCCGTAATAAAAATCGTTATAAATAATTGAAATTTTGTAAAATTTAATTGAAAATAATTAATTTTTTTCAAGTATTTTGTTACAATTTTGGAAAATCAACTTTTTAAGAGTTTTAATTCAAAATTTTGAAAATAATTAAATTATCAAAAATTTTAATGAAAAATCTTCAAATGTTAATTTAAAAATGAAAATTAATGAAAATTATCTTATAATTTTTAAGAATTAAATACTTTCACTATTTTCAATAACATATTTCCGAAAATTTAAATAAATAAATTTAATTTAATTTAATTTAAATAAATTGTTTTATCATAATTTTTTAAAATTCAATTATTTTCGAACAATGTAAATAAAAATTGATAAAAATTTCCTTTTTTAGATGTTTTAAAATTTCGGAGAAATCATGGTCATATTTACAAATAAAATTCGATTATTTTTATTTATATTTTTCAAAAGTTCAATTTTTTTTTAATTGTAATTTTTAGAAATTATTAAAATTCATAAATTTTACTCATTTCCCGTAAACTTTTATATTTTCCTGTAAAAAGAATTTTGTCAGGGAAAATAATTTTAATGTCAGGGAAATTGGTAAACTGAAACTTGTGACCACCCTGATTTTCCTTTATTTAAAAATGATTATTTACTTATTTATTATCTGTTTTCAGTCCACCGCCTATGAAAGCTGGTCGTTTTGAATTTTCCAAAAATGGACATTATTTCCACGAGGATTATAGTGACGATGAAGAATATCGAATGTCAAAGTGATCCTTGGAAGAATCCGAGGATCTTTTAAATCGACTCGACCAAATCTAGCGAATTTTAATTTTATTAAGAAACAACAACAAAAAACAAAAAACTGTTACACCACAATGATTCATTGAAATAATTAGATCATTTTACATTTAAATATGTCATAGATTTTAGGGTTTGTTTTCAGTTTCGCTTCGCATCAACGAGTTTTTTAAAAAAACAACAGTAAAAAAATTATGCCCCAAGAAAAATGTCGAATTACTTAATTTCAACAAACTCTATAAACGTGTACTTAAATTTTAAGATATTGCATTTGATAATAGTACATTAATTTTTTTCTTTCCCTCCTTTTGTATTCTGTGAGTTTGACATATGTGGGCATTATAGATTGTATAAAAGTGATTCAATTTAAATTATTGAATTCGTATATATTTAAAAAATCCGATATTAAAAAGTAATTATTAAAATGAAAAAAAAACGTTAAAAATACATAGTTGTGATATAAAAAAGCAGATTTGTGAAACATGTTTCAATAGATTAATTATTAAGCTCGTAAAAATGAAACTGAACAATAAAACAACGGTTCTAGACTTCTTTGAATGTGTAATATTTTGTAATACACTATTTGTTGAAGAAGAAGAAGAAGAAGAATAATAATAATAATATAAATTAAATTTTTAAGAAAGACTTGGAAAAATATGTGTGACCAACTCGGTGATTGTTGACGTCAACTACAGGAATTGAGGACTGTAAGAATATTGATCTGCACATTGTATTCGAATTAAAAATGTATTTCGTTTCGAGTGAGTTTTTTTTATAGTTTTAAATTCACTAGCAGTTTTATATGGACTATTTTATATAGAGAAAACAATTTCTAAATAGTTTTTAGGGTTGGTAAGAACGCAATTGTGTCTGTACATTGTCATGATATTTAGTTTTCATTTTGTAAGTATTAGCGATACCCTATGAAGTAAACAAGAAAAACGCGTTGTGAAAACAAAAAAAAAATGTTTGTAGAGGAATTATTGTTGCTAAAAAAAACTTGCTGTTAACTAGATATATTTGTAAATTTATTTCTTGTGATTATTTATGAATTCAATTTTTAGTTTCTTTCTCTTTTTTGAGTACTTTGAGTGTCGAAAAGAAAACAAAGAGGATTATTTATTTTTCGTAAAATAGTTTCAAAGCAATGTATTTCGATATACGAAAAGAGATTAGAAAGTTAATAGAACTGTTTGTATTTTAATTTGATTAAATAACATTTTTCTTGATATGAAAAACACGACTGAGATTTATAATTAATTTAATAATGAATCGACGTTAGATTTTAAATTATTTATCGGTAAATAAAATTATTATTGTAAAACAAAAAGTTATGAAAAAAATGCAATTGGTTGAGTTTAGTTATCACATGATTCATGTCCGTTATTATGTAATTAAGAATTGTATGAAAATAAACATAAAGTTCTATTTACTGCTAACAGGGTTGCCACAAAAAATTAATTTTGTTTTTCCGTGATTTCCAGAAAAAATTTTCACTTTTTCCCAGACGCTAAAGAATATTCTGATTCATTCTAAAAATTATTAGATACACAAAAAAATGTTCTATTACATTTATTTACGAATTTTTTTGTATTGTAAAATTATTCTAAATCCTTAATAACTTCTTTTTTAAATAAATAATTAATCATTATTATTATTTCTTAGGAATTAAGATTTTCAAAAAATTTAAAATTCAAATCTTTTTGAAATTCAACAACTTATAATAATTAAAATATCCATAAAATTTTTCAGAAAAAATCAGATTATTTACAAAAATTTTAATAAAAATCTTCGCAAAAATTTAATTATTTTTACAAGTAATAAAATTTTGCACATGAATTCAATTATTTACAAAAGTGTAATAAAATTCGTTGTGTAAGAATTCAATTAATTTCATAAATAATCAAATTTTTCATATATGATTTCAATTTTTTATAATACAATTTTAAATCAAATTTCTTAAAAAAAGTAATTAATTTCAAACACTTTTTTCGAGAATTCAATTACATTTTACAAATAATAAAATTCTTCGCTGAAATTCAAATATTTTTAAAATCTACTATTTCAATAAAATTTCTTAAAAGAATTCATTTTTTTTTAAAAATGTAATAAAATTCGTTGCAAGAATTCAATATTATTTTCATAATTAATAAAATTCTACACAGGACTTCAATTATTTAAAAGAAATGTTAACTGAATTCGTTGCAAGAATTCAATTATTTAAAAGAAAATAATGTAAAAAATACGTTGCAAAAATTCAATATTATTTTCATAAATAATAAAATTCTTTACAGAATTTCAATTATTTTTAATACAATTTTAAATAAATCCTTCGGAAAATGTAATTTTGTTTTCAAAAGTTTTATTAAAATTCTTCAAAAGAAATCAATTATCAATTATTCTTAATAATTTTTGCAAAAGTTTCTTGAGAATTTTCAAATTCATTTGTTTACAATTCAATTTTACCTAATAAGAATTTTATTATTTTTGAAAATAATTGAATCCCTGCGTAAAAAATTTTATTATTTATGAAAATAGTTGAATTATCGCGAAGAAATTTATAAAAAAAATATTGTAAATAGTTGAATTCATGTGAAATTTTTATTATTTATGGAAATAATTTAATGTTTGCTTAGAATTTTATCAAAATGTCCTTTAAATAATCCTTTCTTTTGAAAAATTTTATTAAAATAATGGATTTGAAAATCGTTGAATTGAGGGAAATTTTTTAGAACAATTGAAATTTTGACAAGAATTTTATTAAAATTTTTGAAAATAATGGAATTTTGGAGAAGAATTTTATTATGTTTAAAGATATGATTGAAATTTTGACGAGGAATTTTTTAAAAAAGTTTGAGGAATTGAACTTTTGAGAAGAATTTTATTACTTTTGAAGTTTTTGAAAATAATTGAATTTCTGCAATAATTTGTAACTTTTCCAAAATTCAATTTTTTTAAACTGTTTTTAACTAAAATTTTTCTATGGATCCATTAGTTTTATATATATATATATATATATAAAATGATCTAATTTCAAAAATAAAATTGCATTGTTTGCATAAATTTAGAGGTTAGTAATTCTAACCTAAAAATCAATAAATCATAATTTTTGCTTATAAAAATATTAAATACATATATATTAATATCGCTAGATATTATTTTTTATATAAACTTAAAAAATTTTATTCAATTGTTACTCAAATTGGGGAAAGAATATTAAAACTTACCAAAGTGACAGCCACCGGTCGCAAAGGGTAAAACAAAACAAAGCGAGTTATTTAAATTAGCTTCTTTTGTATGGAAATATTAAAAATGTTTAATAAACACCAAACGCACACCTGTGTATTATAAAAGAGCATAAATTAGAAATACAAACAATAAAAATACACATTGGGAAATCGAACGTTTTTTAACAAAGTAACACAGAAATTTAATACTTACAATATTGTACCGAAAATTCTAGCATTTTCTCGAATTTCCCGTTTTTTAACAATTCGTGATTTAAATTTCGCCGCACAGTTTCCAGGGCAATGTCACGTGATCAAGAATTGACCAAGATCAAGCTTTCCACGTGATCTTTGATTTGGATTTTCAGCGAATGGCAGAGCTTATTCCGGTCTTTTTCGAACGTTTTTGTGTGAGTGAAATAAAAGTTGTTTAACCGCTTTAAGAATGACGAGGATAGAGAATTATTCTCTCCCGCAAAAAGGTATGTTCGCATGAGTGAGACAAACATAAACGGAAACTGTGCGAGGGAGAGAGAAAATACACACAGGCACACAGCTTAGATCAGACAGTCACGAATGTAATCGACAGACGAGGGTAGTTATATACAAAAAAAAAGAAGTGGTGTTTTGGATTATACTAATGTGTGCGTGTTTTCACGTTTTGTGCCTTTTATCCCAAATGTATAAACTTATGAAAAATTCTTAGACATATGTCTATTGGAATTAAAGACAGTGCGAATCGCGCTGTAAGAAGACAAACAAGAGGACCGATGTTGTAACAAACGGCCAAAATGGAAGAGAGAAGCGTTCATAGCAGTATCAGCGATATAAATAGTGAAGAGGCGGTTAGAACTGAACGTAAGGATTATAAATTCTTTTCTCCGTCTTTTTAGCATAAAAAATGCAGGGAAAATAAATATCATCAGTTTTGAATTTAGACCTGCTGTTTCTGTTTTTCTTCTTTAGTTAAAAAGGCGCGAGCACCTGTCGGTATTTCCTCTCTTAATTTTAATCATTTTAATTCACTTTTCTCATTTTTCCCCTCTATTAAACAGGTTAAATTTTCCAATTCCCGAATATCAACTTTCGCCCTATTTTTCAGTAATGTTTGCTATTTTACAGTAAGTTTTTTCAAGAAAAACCTTCGCGTCCTTATAAACTTGGCCTTGACATCGGCTCTGAGTCTGAATTACGTCAGAGTAAAACTGTTTTCTTTCTTATAAAAAAAAACTGTAGATCATTTTCTACATTTTCACACTCGTTTTATTTCACGAGTTTATTTTGCAGTCTAAATAAAAATTTTTAATTTGATTCCAAATTTTATGTATGAACTTTGGATATTTGTCTGTTGACAAAGAATTTTCTTTTAAGTACAAAATTACTGTTGACAGTTGATTTATCAAAGATCCTTATCTTTGCCTGACGCTCATTCACAGTGCTGCTAGTTGCAATTTTTGCTCAACACCTTGACAGTTTTAATCAAAGTGCACGTGTAATTCAAGTGCTCAATTATCTTGTACTAGTTAAGAACATTTTAAATATTGTGCAAATAGATTGTTTTTCCTTTTAAATCAGCTGGAAAATAAAGGATGCTCAATACTGGTTAGTTTTTATTTTGATTATAATTCATGACGACAGGTATTCTCGAATTTTAAGTTTAACAAGGAATTATCATTTATTCTATAATGATTCTAATAGAGTGTATATTTAATATCTATTACGTGTATTTGTAATTCAGTTTTATTTACTAATTACTTGAAAAGTTTACTTTCAAAACGATTGTTTAAATTGATAAATATGTAAAAATAATTTCGTACCTTTCGAACATAACCTATATTTGAGTGAAAAATTGTGTACATTTTGGAGTTTATTTATTATTTAGATGTAATTTACTGTCAAAGTATTTTTGTTTACTAATATATTTATGTTTGTACTATATGTAATAATAATATAGTGGATATATAGTATTACAATAAGTATATTATAGTTGTATTTGTTTATAACCTCTTGTATACTTTATTCGATTTTCGAGTGCAAAATATTTTGTTTTCATTTTCCTAATTTAGATTTATGTACATAAAAAGGCAAAATATCAGACATTTAATAATTTTATCTGTAAATGACAGATAATAGATTCTTTAAATGCCACCCTATTTTTTACTGTCAGAAATTTTTTTTCTCGAAGCTAAAAAACGGTTTTGTTGACGAAATAAGTTTTATTGACAGCTTATTAATAGTCTACTCAATTTCCTGGACTATCACTATAATTATTATTACTATTTCTATTACTATTGCTATTTTTATTACTATTTATATTTCTATTACTATTTCTATTCTTATTACTATTTCCAGGGTTGCCACAGGTCAGGGATTTTAATTAAAGTACTGGAAAAAATTAAATTTTTAGAATTCATAAGAGTATTCTGAATTTTGGTGTCTTTTTGTATGCCTATTATAAACTATGAAATTACTACGAAATCTAATACAAAACCTTCAATTTTTTCTATTTCTGACAATAATTTCTTTTTAAATAACTTATATTTTCAAAAACTATTAATCTTTATAGATAATAATTTTCTTCTCAAAAATTCAATTATTTTCAAAAATTTTAATAAAATTCTTGTAAAAATTTCAATTGTTATCAAAAATTTTCCGCAATTCAATGATTTTCAATATCTATTAATTTAATAAAATTTATCAAAAGAATTCAATTATTTAAAAAACATTTTGTTAAAATACTAAGAAAACATTAAATTATTTCCATAAATAATAAAAATCTCACAGGAATTCAACTATTTACAAATTTTTTATAAATTTCTTCGCAATCATTCAATTATTTTTATAAATAATACAACTTTTTACAGTCAAAAATAATAAAATTTTTATTTCAGTTAAAATTTTAGATTATAATTGAATATTAAAAGCATTATAGTGTAAATTTTTAGAAATAACCGAGGGGTGAACAACTCTCATTCAGGGCGTACGAAGAATATATTCCCAACAAGGAATACTTGAGAATACTAAGAATATTTGGGAATACTTCAGAATATTTCGGAATATGGAATACTCAGAATAGTTAGACAAATGTAAGAATATGTTTGAATATACGTGAGAATATTGAAGAATATGTTTGACTATAAAGGAATATGCCGAGGAATATATGAATATGTTCGAAAATATAAGATTATTATATATAATATTTAGAAAAATTATAGAATATTAGTCAATGTTTCTTGAAAAAAAAATATTAAGAAAAAGCGGAATTTATTTAAAATACCCTTTCATGTAAAACCGGGGTAAAATCTTATAAACTTTGAAAATATGCTTTGCTTCTGATTTTTATTTTATCTTTAAAAACTCTAATTTATTCTTTTAATTATATTTTTGAGTGTCATACCCCTCGCAAAATTATTAAAAATAAGTCTTAGAACTGATGTTTTCGTAAACTGTCAATCCTTTGACGTATTTGCAGTCATATAAAGTTAGTACCTTACCCAGGGTGGTCACAAGTTTCAGTTTATCAATTTCCCTGACAATTTACTGACATTAAAATTATTTTTTATTATAAAATATTTTTACAGGAAAATATGAAAGTTTACAGAAAACGAGTAAAATTTATGAATTTTAATAATTTATAAAAATTACAATTGAGGGGACGGATTCTAAAAGGGGATACGCGTGGATTGTCACGTATAACTATTGACCAATAGTGCGATTTTCAAACATTTTCAATTTTCAAATTTAATGACACAAATTTATACACAATGAAAATGCGCATCTTTTTTCTTTAAGAAATAAATTTATATCTTTTTTAGTTTATGAAATAATAAGAAAAAACTAAATTTTTGAAAACCAAAAAATTTAAATGTTTTACGTCTTTAACTCGTGCTGGCGTTTTTTATTTTTCATATTTTGTAATCAAACAAAAACGAACTTACAGATTAAGACTTCCTGAAACCAACTATACTTTTAAAACTACAAAATCTTAATTAATAAAAAGTTTATTAATTTTTTCGAAAGACGTTGCAAAAAACGTGTTTTTCCAACTTTCAACGCTTCGTTTATCGAGGAAATTTTAAGGTACAAAAAACTTCCAGTGACAAAGTTTTTCATTACTATACGGACAAGTTTTCTGTAAAATTTTATTAACATGATATGAATGCTTACAAAGTTATTAATGTTTAAAGCGTATGGTGCGTCAGATTTCTCGCGCCTCGAACACATTGAGTCCCAAGGTGTTCGTTTGCAACGCGTTGAAAATGTGTTTGTCAATTAATATTGAATATTAATATTATTAATTAATATTCACAGTAAATAAAATTTAATAAAATTTATTTTTAACATAAATGTTTTATTTTGTTATATATAAAAAACTCAACTACAATAATATTTCTTGTATTTAACTTTCTTGTTTTATTTAGTTTAAGGCTTCCACTCTTTGTCAAAATGATCTCATTTACTACATTTCATGTTTTTAAAATAATTATTAAAAAACTCCTGTCCGTTTGGAGAAAGATATCGTACTTAACTTTTTACATCATTCATTTTGATTCAATTTTGAAAGCGGAAGGATTTTGTAATCTATAGTTTTCAAAAGTATTTATACTTGATTCTGGTAAATACTGAATTGCGTAGCTTTCACTGATTTTAACATTTTTCGGGATTATTACTTCTTGGTCCGGTTCTTGACCAAGATGGCCATAATGTTTTCTCAATTGTGATAAAAAAATCTCGAAATCCTGGGAAAATTGTATTGGGTTTTTCCGAACCCTTTTTTTTGCAGTCAACGGTCGCGGCAGCCGCGACCCATCTGGATACCATATTTTACTTAGAATGAAAACAAATCACAAGTTTGAGGAAAATAGCATTTAAAAAAGGGTTACTTCCTCGAAAAGTGCACATGATAACCAAAAAAATTCTATTTTATGAAAATGTCTGACAAAATACAGATATAAATAAAATAAAAATACTTCCTCTATGAGAGAGCAATATGTTTTAACGACAATATAGAATATAGAAAATATAGAATTATTGTACAAATTATTTTGCAATATTTTTTAAAAAAATATTTCTTATATTATGTTTTTTACTTAGAATACATGTTAAAATAAATAAACTGATGCTACTTTTATATAAAGTTAGCCAAATCGTCATAATCTCATAGTTAAATATTATTTAAAAATAATTACTTTGATAGCAAAAAACTAGTCAATAACTAAAATAATAATATTTTTACTATTCTTAATCAACAATTATTAGTTTAATTAACATTTAAATTAATGTCAAAATAACTGTGCATTAATTATTTGTATGTCAGTCAATTTTAACTATCTTCAGACGATTTTGGCTAATTATTATTAGTTACTTTTTAATAATAAATAATCGTTTTTATCTAAACTGCGATTCCAAAAGTTATCTGTGACTTCATTAAAAATTGTATTTTTTTTAAGTAAACAAATGAATAAACTAAAATAGTCTTAATCTGTTACAAACGAACACCTTGGGACTCAATGTGTTCGAGGCGCGAGAAATCTGACGCACCATACGCTTTAAACATTAATAACTTTGTAAGCATTCATATCATGTTAATAAAATTTTACAGAAAACTTGTCCGTATAGTAATGAAAAACTTTGTCACTGGAAGTTTTTTGTACCTTAAAATTTCCTCGATAAACGAAGCGTTGAAAGTTGGAAAAACACATTTTTTGCAACGTCTTTCAAAAAAATTAATAAACTTTTTATTAATTAAGATTTTGTAGTTTTAAAAGTATAGTTGGTTTCAGGAAGTCTTAATCTGTAAGTTCGTTTTTGTTTGATTACAAAATATGAAAAATCAAAAACGCCAGCACGAGTTAAAGACGCAAAACATTTAAATTTTTTGGTTTTCAAAAATTTAGTTTTTTCTCATTATTTCATAAACTAAAAAAGATATAAATTTATTTCTTAAAGAAAAAAGATGCGCATTTTCATTCTCTACAAACTTCAGTAATTCAAATTGCAATTTGTAATAGTTTCAAAAATTGACCTAGTGGACAAAACTTAAACGCGTGAATCCACGCGTATCCCCTTTTAGAATCCGTCCCCTCAATTATAACCCTACCTGAATTCAATTATTTTCTATAATTTTCAACTAAACTTCATATCTAAATCAATTATTTTAAATAATTTTACGATAGTTCTTCTAGAATAATTCAATTATTTAAATACAAAACTCAATTTCTTATAACTGTCCATGTTTTTTCTTTAGTTATAAAGGTATAATATTTTCAAAAAACTAATAAAGAAATACTTACAATTAATTTTTTAAATATTTTAAAATAATTTTTGAAAGAAAATAGTTTTCTTATTTATATGCAATTGAAAAATTTCCAAACAATTGAAATGTGGTAAAATCTTTTAAAGATGATTGCATTTCTTAAAAGAATTTTTGTTTAATTTAAAGAAAACTAATTAATTTTTTGATGAATTTAAATTAAAAATTTTTAACATAATTTTTTTCTCCAAAATGTTAAAAGTAATTCTAAAAAGTTATTATTTTTGTATGTATTTGAATTTTTGGAATGTGTATTTAAAAATACTAAAAATATTGAATTTAAAAAAATTTTTAAATTAGAAGCTAAATTTGTTTTTAAATTTATATTTAAAGATTTTTCATTAACTCTTTTGATAATTAGTTAATTTCAATTAAATTTTACAAAATTTCAATTATTCAAAATTTTTTTAATTGTATATTTCATGATCCCCAAGTTTTGAACGTTCAAATGAACGAAATATTTTTTATTGAAGATATTTTAATAAATTACTTATCACAAACAAATTTTTAAAACTGAAATATTTACGTTTAGAAACTCAGTAATTAATTTTTTGGATAGTAACGCAAAATAATTGCAATAAAAATTTAATTTGGAGAAGAAATAAATAAATTTCGTTCATTTGAACGTTCAGAACTTTAGGTTCTTTATATTTCGAAAATTTTAATAGAAAAATGATTCAAAAATAATTTTTGAAAGATTTGTTTATAGTTATTTTTCGCACTATAAAAATCGAAATGAGTTTTTTGTTGCAATATTTGAAAGAAAAGTTTTGAAGTTTTTGAAAGTAATTCGAAAAGAATATCATTTTTCTTAATTTCCATGACTAAACATTTTTTTCCTGTCATTTCCCTGACTTTACTGACATGCGGTCTCCCTGCGTTAACAAATAAAATAAAGGCTTTATTTATTGATGAGAACGCACACCAATCGTCCTCATGTATTGCATTTTCCCTTGCAATAATTGACTCTGTTTTTTAACTCGAGTATCGAAACAGCAGAGAATTTTGAATTTCCGGAGACTTTACGAGTATAAATTTAAAATGACAAATGTAAAAATATGTTACAGTTTTCTTGAAACTGTTGTTATTGCTCGTTAATATTATAGAATATGTCAAAATATTGGAGATTACTTAGGAATATATGGGAATATATAGGGAATATTTAAGAATATAAGTGAATACTGAGAATATTAAAGAATATCAGTGAATACTGAGAATATTGAATATATGCTGGAAAACATGGGAATACCCATAGAATAGATGTGAATATCTACCGAGTGTACGAGGAATATCGAAGTTGTTCACCCCTCGGAAATAACTGAATTTTCAAAAGGTTTGAAACTAAAATCTTTGAAAACTTGAATTTTTCATACATTTAACTAACAATTCTGTAGAATTAAGTTTTTTGAAAAAGTTTGAATTTTTTTTAAGTTATTAAAATTTTTATTTTATAAATATATTTAATTGAAAAATTTCCGAATAATCAAAATTTCGTATAATTGAATTGTAAACAAATGAATTTGAAAATTCTCAAGAAACTTTTGCAAAAATTATTAAAAATAATTGATAATTGATTTCTTTTGAAGAATTTTAATAAAACTTTTGAAAACAAAATTACATTTTTCGAAGAATTTATTTAAAATTGTATTAAAAATAATTGAAATTCTGTAAAGAATTTTATTCTTTATGAAAATAATATTGAATTCTTGCAACGAATTTTATTACATTTTTTTTTTAATTTCATTATTTGTAACATGTAATTGAACTCTTGCAAAAAAATTTTGAAATTAATTACATTTTTCTTTTGAGTATCTAATTATTTTTAGAGTGAATCAGAATATTCTTTTGGGCCAGGGAAAAAGTCAAAATTTGTTCTGGAAATCAGGGAAAAAGAAAATTAACTTTTTGTTGCAATCCTGATTTCTATTACTATTACTATTTCTATAATTCGAATTTCCTCGATAAATTCTTATCTATAAATATACAAATTTTTTTTCGTTCGATGAATTTCTAAATCCCAAATGTAAATATCGGAAAGTGTCCATAAAACATTTGGAATCATTCCGTATTTTGTTATCAATAAGATAACAAGAATTTACAACTCTTGAGTTTTATACATTTTATATATCTACCTTTTAGTGAATGTCATTTTACAGCTGTTTTCACTTAGTGGTAAATTCAACTGCACTTGTAATTAAATTAAAGTGAGAATTTTATATTTCCCATCCTCATTTATTTTGTAAATTAATATTTCTACTCTCGTTACGCATATTCAGTAGGTTTTTTCCCAGAATTTGTCATAAAATACTTTTGTGACAAAAAATAAACTTTGTATTTTCTACATTTTGCTGTAGGAATACCGTTTTAATTGTACTAAAAATTCTTAATTATGTTTTTGTTATTTTTTTCCTTTCGCGGAAGGAAACAATTCAGTTTCATCACTTTTAATTATTTTCTCGTTTATTGTCTTGTTTTTTTTCTTACATGTATAATTTAAACTAAACAAACGTTATGAAACATTTGAACATTTGAAATTTTTTTCAAATGTTCAAATGTTTCATAACGTTTGTTTAGTTTAAAAGAATTATTTTGATTCTCTTTGATGGTGGATTTTGATTTTCTTTTTTCTTTTTGTAGCTTTAAAAATTCCACGTAAGAAGAGAATATGTCTGGTTGGTGCAGCAAGTGAGGATCCATCGCTTGGAGCTGCTGCTCAACAATTCAGCGTACCAGTGTTAAAATCTCAAACCGGAATAGAACATATAGAAGATACCGCCTATTGCACTTATTTTATTTTAAAAGATTTCGAAGGTTATGAATATGATGTGTTGCACAAGAGTGCCCACAGGTGAGATTTTATTTTACAATTAAATTGACTTCGGGAATTTAATCCTGAATTCCTTCAGGAATTTGCATTTCAAATTTTTAACATAATTTCGGATATTTCATTTATTACTATTAAGATATTCAGATTTAGCTATATATTAATAATAGCTGTATCTAATAGATAATTCGAAATTGTTTCCAATTAACAATTTGGATTTGAATTCTTTTTTGCAGAATATTGGGACCAACAGCTCTCCTACAGTTGGCAGAAAAGAAGGAATCGTTACCAAGTAATAATCGACCAATGTACACTCAAGCAATGACTGGGACAGTGGTTGTGTTTACTGGTTTCCGAAAGAAAGATGAGTTGGTAAGAAGAAAAGCAAATCCCAGGGATCACAGTTAGTCCCCTTTTCTACCTAATCCACTTCTTTTCTCTTTCTTTTCCTCTTTTTTATCTCCTTAAATTAATAAAATCCTCCTAAAACTAAAATCTCATGATTTTTGCTGCTTGAGGAGGATTTTCGACCATTCCCCCCCCCTTTTTTTTAACTTTTGTGAAGTATTTACAATTTTTATAATCTACGATTTAGAAGAAAGAATTTTTTTCCAACCAAATTTTTAGGTAGTTTCGCTTGAAAAATTTGTAATATATTTTTCTCGTCAAATTTTATTATTTTTTGTGCAAAATATATATTTTTTTCTTCAATCATTGATTGTGAACGTTGTAAACTTCACCGACCTTTTTTTCTTTATAGAAAAACTACCATTTTTCTTTAAGTACAGGATTGCCATAGGTCAGGAAATTCAAGGAAAAGTCGGGGAATTTTATCAAAAATACTGTTTGTTTGGGGCCGTACACATAATACGTCACGCGTCTAGGGGGAGGGAGGGGGTCTGAGAATTGTGACTAAGTGTGACATGGGGGGGGGGGTGAACTCATGTGTTACGTCACGATCTTTTAAATTCAAAGATAATAAGAAATTATATGTGACAATGTCACTTTTTCTAAATAAAACAAGTTAAAAATGGTTTGAACTATTTAATATCTATTATGTATCTGTTTAACATCTATTGGCATATTATTTATAATATGATAAATAATATCCCGTGTAGAAAAATCCCTATTATGGACAAATTAGGGAATGAAACACACGGCCCGACCTGGGCCAGATCGGGGCGACGATCAAATGTGGATTTCCTGATCAGGGCCATATCGGGCCGTGTGTTTCATTCCCTAATATGGAAGGCCCGATCAGTCCCTGATCCGGACCATAGCGAAATTTCTACACGGGATATTCTCTTAATTTGAATCAGTTAAAAATCATGGTTTTAACTGTCAATCAGCAGTGACTGACTTTTTGCTTCTGAATCAGTTAAAAATAAATGAAAAATTATCCACAAAACACCGAAATTTTTCTAAATATTGTATATTAAAGATTTGCTTGCATAAGTCAAAAAATTTACTTGCAAAGTTTATTTTAAAATTGTGTAAAGATTTAAATTTCTCACTCCAATAAATGTCTATCGTCAAATTTTCTTAAAAATATAGCTTGAAACTTTCCTGAACATTTGAATTGCATTTTCGACTATACTTTCGTGAAAATCTTCCTGAAAATTTAACTTAAATTTTCGGAAAAGTTTCCCGCTAAACATTTATTGAAGTGGGATATTTAAATCTTTACACAATTTTAACTAAACTTTGCATTTAAATATTTCGAAGCTTGCGAGTAAATCTTTAGTAAATTTTTAGGAAAGTTTCGGTGCTATGTAGGTAGTTAAACGTGACTAATTGAATCAATCAAAAACAATTGTATTGAAACATCAGTTATTTTCAACTAATTGTCAGAAAAAAATATTACTATTTGAATTAGTGACTGATTTTTTGCTTCTAAATCAGATATTCTTAACTGATTCAATAATTTAGAGTGTAAGATATAATATACATATATATTGTCCAATGTATAAAATTTACAGTGAAATTTACGTGTGTAACGTGACGTAGGCGGGAGGGGGGGTTCAAGATTTGTGACGAAGTGTGACATAGGGGGAGGGAGGGGTTAAAAATGGTCAAAAATCGCGTGACGTATTATGTGTATGGCCCCTTTTATAAACTTTGATTCAACTATCATAAAATAATTACTTTCAAATTATTTAGCGAATAATTTTACTTAAAAATTCCAAAAATAACATAATTTTAAATACTACAATTATTATTAGTAGTATAATTAGTAGAATTAGTAGAATTACAATTTTTCTAAATAATTAACTTTTAAAAGGTTTTAAATTGAAGTTTTAGAAAATTTGAATTTGAATTTAATAATTTTAATAATTTTACTTAAAAATTCCAATCACAATTTAATTTTAGAAGAATCGCCTTTCAAAACTTTTTAAATAATTGAACTTTAAAAGTTTGAAATTGAAGATTTAGAAAATTTGAATTTGAGATTAATAATTTTAGGTACTTGCAAATTCAAAAAATAATTTAATTTTAGTAGAATTACAGTCTTTATAAATAATTCAATTTCAAAAGGTTTCAAATTTAAATTTCAGAAAATTTAAATTTTCAATTAATAATTTTATTAATTTGACTTTAAGAATTTCAAAAATAATTAAATTTTAGTAGAGATCTGATTAAAATTTGTGTAAATTATTCAATTTTAAAAGATTTTAAATTGAACTTTTATAGAATTTAAATTTAAAATGAACAATTTTAATAATTTTACTTAAAAATTCAAAAATAATTAAATTTTAGTAGAGATCTGATTAAAATTTTTATAAATTATTCAATTTTAAAAGATTTTAAATTGAACTATTATAGAATTTAAATTTAAAATTAACAATTTTACTTAAAAATTTAAAAATTAATTTAATTTTAATAAAGTTGTGTTTAAAATTGTTATAAATAATGGAATTTTAAATAGTTTCAAATTGAAGTTTTAAAAAAATTGAATTTTAATTTAATAATTTTAGCAGAGTTGCGTTTAAAATTTTGTATAAATAATTAAATTTTAAAAAGTTTCAAATTTGAATTTAATAAAATTTTAAATACAAATTCTGAAAAAATTAGTTTTTTGAAAGATTTTTATTCACATTTTTTTAAATTGGTCAAAAATGATTAAAAATGTCTGGGAAAAACAAAATCAAATTTTTATGGCAATCCAAATTTTTACCTCTACGGATTTGGGAAAATTTTCGTTTTTTTGCAAATTAAAAATCTTTTTTTATTATTTTCTCAGATATTTTAAACTTAGAGACATTCTTTTGCACTAGGTAACGAATTCATGAAATTTTCTTTGATCGTCGTACAATTCTTTATTGAAAATTGTGGTTTAAAGAGTAAATTTTACTACTTCAGAAGTAAATATTTCTAATTTTTATAAAAAAAAATTTTTTCTTTAGAAATAATAAAAATTATTCTGTAAATAATGATTTTTAATAGCTTATTTTACTATTTTTGGGTGAAAATTTTATTATGTCCGAAGTAATTATTGATCATTTTTACGATTATTTACTTCGGGTACAGTATTCATAAGATTTAAAAAATAGTTTTTTTGGGGGAATGGTTAGTAAGTCCGATGTTAATTTTACTGTAACTCACTTACAATATAGTAAAATTAATCGAATTTTAAAATAAAGTAGCGTTGTAATAAAAATTTTTATTCCAATTTTAGAAAAATTACAGACTAAAAAAAATATTGATAAAGAAAAATAATATTTGACAGAAAAAATTATATAAAAGAATCTGATTTAAGAAAGCTGGAATTAAAAGATGATCCTAAAGTTCTGAACGTTCAAGTGAGCGAAATTTATTTATTTCTTCTTCAAATTAAGTTTTTATTACAATAATTTTTCGTCACGCATAAAAAAAATTAATTATAGTTTCTAAATGTAGAATATAAGTTCTTAACTTTTGTTACAATCAAAAATTTTAATACAAAATATTTCGTTCATTTGAACGTTCAAAACTTGTGGATTATATTTAAAAAAATCTTTTTAAACATTAAAATCTTTTTTACCTAAAATTAGGTATAGGAAAAAATTACTGTGATCCCTGAAACACTATTTTTTATTTTAATCTAAAATCAGTTAAAATAAGGTGACTTTTCTTTTAGACGAAACTTATCAATATGATTCACAACATGGGGGGAAGTATTCGAAAAGAAATGGGCGCAAAAGTTACCCACCTTATCGCAAATTGTTGTGGAGGTGAAAAATATAGGTACGCCGTTACGTTTCGGGTTCCTATTATGTCATCGAACTGGGTAACTGCCCTTTGGGATATGAAAGATGAAGTTACCTGTTATGGTACCAATGAAGAATTAGTAAGTCGATTTTATTTAAAAAAATATATATATAGAAACAAGATTCATTTATTGATATTAAATTAAATTTTTTTCTAGATTTCAGCGTGTAAATTGAAGCCATTTTACGGGGCGAAGGTTTGCTTTTTCGGTTTTCCTGAGGAAGAGAAGAAGCACATGTGTGAAGTTCTCCAACAACAAGGTGGAGAACCCACAGAAATTGACGATCCAAACTGCACTCACGTGGTATGTTAATTTAAAAATCCTTTAAATTTTTTGTGCTTTATTTTTCAAAACAAAAAAAGAACTCACTACTGTTTTGCTTGTGACACGCTTTGTTTTTTTTTAAAGTAACATTCTTAGTTTCTCGCATTATTAGGTGAACGACTTAGGCAAGAATCAGTGCAGCATAACCGACAGTGCGAACAACACGCTACCATACTTTAAGAATTCTTGCTATTCTCTTCAGACTCCTCTTCGTAAATCGAAAAACGAGCCCCACTCCTTTATTTATTACGATCCATCCTCAAGTATCAATTATTCAGATAACGAACTGACTGACATTGATTTCAATTCAGATCCAGATAATCGTGATATTTTATTCTCAAGTTCATTTGCAAGTAATTTCGAATATTCACACGATTCAATTTCATTAAATAACGATTCGGCAATCTGTATGAATTTCAAAGCGAGTCATTTGAATATTTCCGAGAAATCATTTCTCATTTTTGAATGTCTTCGCGCTAAAATTGAATCCAAACTCGATGTATCGTCATTGTCAAATATTTCACAAAGTATCAAAGATTCTGGTTTTTCTTCACTTTGTGAAATATCATTGAGACCAATGTCAACAAATTCATACGATATGGAAATTGATGAGTCGAGTTTCTACGAGAAAATGAGTATCGAAAATGAAAATGTCGATGATTTTGATTTTATTACTTATCGTTCACAAACGGATTTCACTAATTGCGTTGATAACAATAATAATAAAACCGATTTATCGCGACGTTACATGAAATGGAGAAAATCAAGATCGTCATTCACAATTACAAAAACAGTAAAATCGCGTAAATTTGCAAAAACAAAATTTCAATCCAAACCGAAAGTTAATAAAAATCGTAAACGTTATTTAAAGGAGAAAAATAATTCGGCTATTTTAACACAGGGGAATAAGAAATTACAGAATTCTTTGAGATTAAATAATTCATTGTTCGCGAAAATATGTAATGTCGTTATACCCGCAACTTTTAAACAATACATGCCAGTCAGTCCATTACATCAGGCGTTAGATAAAAATTTATCAAAACAGAAATATACTCCTCTACCTGTTCCTGAAAAAATTGCTGTTATCAAATCGAATGCAAATTTTAATCGTGATAGAAAGATCGCGAGTCAATATTCATCATCTACTCCCTTTAATCGACGCTCTGCTAAAGCTGAACGATCCAGGAAGGATACGCAGCCATTTCTTGTGGTACTTTTTTTTTTACTTTTTATGTTTTTTAACGTTAGAAAATGCAGGGTTGCTACGGTTCTAGAAAATTGGGAATTGTCACGGAATTTTCTTTTAGTCACAAAAAAACCCTTTTTTTAGACTTTTTAAACTTCACAGCAAAAAATGTTTATGTGGAATAGCTACAAATTTCACTATATTTGCAAAATTTTTAGTTATTTCAGTTAAAACTTTTGCTGTTTTAGAGCAACTTATCAATGTTGGAGTTGAAGTTTTTTTCCCGTATTAAAAATTTTTGTATAAAAGGTAATAAATATAAAATAACGATTTTTAATAGAAAATATTAATATTTAGGAAGTAATTTTTGTATAAAAATTATTTAAATCTTCTTCGAAAGTAGTACAGTTGGTTATTGAAAATTATTATTTCAAGAATAAATTTTACTGCTTCATCTGAAGTGAAGATTTTTAATTTTTTCTATAAAGAAAGAAAATTTTTTTTGGAAATTGTTAGTAATTTATTCCGGAAGTAATAAATTTTAATAGCAAATTTTACTATTTTTAAAAAAAATTTTACTAATTTTTACTGAAATTAACTTTAGATTTGGTCAAATTCATGCGCGGAATTTTATAAATAAAGAAGCGTTGTAAAGAAAAATTTCATTCAAGATTCAGAAAAATTGCCGACTATGGAAAGAGATAATAAAAGTATCAATAATTTATTACCAAAAATAAATAAATATTAAGTGTACAATTATTTTTATGGTAATTTTTTGTTTGAATTTTTATTTTTCTTAAAAATTGATAGATTTTGAAATTTAAGGGTAATTTTGTGGACAATATTTTTTTTAACTACAAAAAAATTGCCGAATAAGGAATTTGATTTTTACTAATTTTTAAGCAATTTTTTAAAAATTGTTTTTCAAATGCTAGAAAATACTATTTGATCTTTAAAATTAATATAAATTGGAAATCATTCAATTCTTGCGAAGTATTTAACAAAAAATTTGAAAATTATTGAATTATTTCTAGAAATGTTATTATAATTCTATTGAAAAAAATTGAATTCTTCCAAATAATTTTATTTTTAAATAATTGAATTCTTCCAAAGAATGTTAAAAAAATAGATTAAAATAATTTAATTCTTGTCAAGAATTTTATTAAAATTTTTGAAAATAGGTAATTAAAAATATTTTTTTTTTAAATTGATAGATTTTGAATTTCATGAGTAATTTTGTAGAAAATGAATTTTAAAATTATTGTATTGGAAGTAATTGAATCTTTCGAGAAATTTTATTAAAATTGTATTAAAAATAATTTAATTGTCCCAAATAAATTTTATTACTTATGTAAATAATCGAATTCTTTCAAAGAATGTTAAAATAATTTTTTGAAATAATTTAGTTATTTGTGACAAGAATTTTATTAAAATATTTTGAAAAAAATTGAATTGTTTTGAAGAATTTATTTGAATTTTTGGAAAATAAAAATTATTTTTAATAATTTTAATTAAAATTTTAAAAGTAGGTATGTAATTGAATTTTATGAAGAATTTCTTTTAAGTTTTAAAAATAATCGTGTTTATTAATAATTGTAATTAATAATTTTATTATTTTATTAAAATATTTTTGATAGAAAATTAAATTCTTAAAAATTTTATCAGACTTTTTGGAAATAATTAAAGTCTTTTGAAGAATTTCTTTAAATTTCTTAAAAATAATGTAGTTTTTAATAATACTAATTCGAAGTTTTGAAAATATTGAAATTTACAAAGAATTTTATAAAGACTTTTAATAATTTAATTTTTTAGAAAAGTTTAATTAAAATTGTATTAAAAATAATTGAATTCCATAGAAGAATTTTATTATTTATAAAAATAATTTAATTCTATCGAAGAATTTTACAATTTATAGAAATAATTGAATTGTTTTGAAGAATTTTATCAAAATTTCAGAAATTAATTGAATTCTTTCGAAAAGTTTTATTCAAAATTTTCAAAAATAATTGAATCCTTTTGTGAAATTTTATTAAAATTGTTTTGTATTAATTGAATATCTGCGAACAATTTTACTATTTATGAAAATAATTGATTTTATTTTCTGACCATTGAATTCCTCACAAGAAAATTAATTTAAAAATAATTCTACGGATTATTTAGAATATTTTCTTGGTGTAGTTAAAAAACGATGTATCCTCTTCTTATTAAGACGGAATAATAAAATTAGTTGATTTAACAAGACTTTCAGTAAAATTACCTGAATTTTGTAAAATTTACATAGGAAAACCTTTTTTTCTACATTATTTATCGCAGTCTACCTTGTAAAATGAATATTATTTTCTTTTGTCTCCGAAAACAAAATAGATACTTCGCATTAATGTAATTTCCTCTATTTGCTCTTGTCTATAATTAGAAATGACTAATAATTAATTTGTTAAACTGATTATAATTAATTAAATTGAATTTATCATTTTTTTAAGTAACAGGATAACAAATTCATTTCGACATATATTATAATTTTTTTATATTATATTTGGTCATGAAATTTGAAAAAATAATGTTCTGAAAAATCTTTAAAATTTATGGAATTTTGAAATTTTCAGAACCGTAGCAACCCTGAAAATCGAATCTTTTTTTTGTGAATTTTAAGGAATAAGGTTTTATATTATGTTTATTTTTTCTATATTTATTTCACGTTTCTTTTTTTTTCTGTTTATTTCACGTGGTGAATATTGTCATTTTTGTTCGAATGCTGTACTGTGAATTGTTGTGTCACACGTTGAGGTCGAATTTGTCACTATTATTCCTAATAAATCATGTCCCATTCTAATCGGTATTGATTTCAGTTTTTTCGTCGTCATTTCAAAAATCGTGTAGTATTTTCTGTCTCGTAGTTTATTCTCCCTGCGTACATTATTTTTAAATGTTTCATTTTTTAATGCATGCTAATTCAAATTTTTCTGTTGGTTGCTGTAATTGAATTTTTTTATTAGCAACTAATAACAAAACATGGAAACTATTTTTTGACTCATTTATTTACAGAAATAAGATTCTTTTTTTCTCTTTAACTCAGTTTTTTTTATATATTTCTAAAGTTTCAAACGTTCAAACGAACGACGATGTCTTTTTTACGTCTAATTTGTATTTTTTTATAAAGAAAAATATTTGGAATATTAAAAAAATTCTTAAGGTTGATTAATTAAATTCTTAACTAAATGTTCAAATTTAATTATTTTTTTCTCTTTTACTCAGTTTTTTGATATTTCTAAACTATCGAACGTTTAAACGAATGACGATATTTTTTTTATACTTGCACTTTATATTGTTTCATAAACAAAATTATTTGGAATATTAAAAAAATTCTGAAGGTTAATTAATTTTTCTTTCCTTCTAATTCGTATTTTTCCCTAAAAAAAATAATTTGGAATATTAAAAAAGTTCTTAGTGTTAATTAAATTCTTATCTAACTAAATGTTTTAATTTTAATTTTTTAGTAATTTTTTTTAGTAATTTTGTAAAAATATTTGAATAAGAAAAAAATTTCGTTTATTTAAGAGTTCAAAACTTTGGAAAATCGTTTTTTTTTTCGTAAATATTTTGTACGTCTCACGTAAATTGTTTCATTGTTAACTGTTTTTCTTTTTTAGAAAAAGATAAGAATAAAAAAAATTGTTTTGTTTCGTTATCAACAGGTTGTAGACGAATCCAACGTTAACGCGTTACCTGATCTGGCATCAGTTAGAGCTCACATAGTTAAGGCCGAGTGGTTTTGGACGTCTGTACAAAATGAAGGCGCAGCTGATGAAAGAGAATACCTCTTTGAGGACGTGAGTTAATTATTTTAGACAAATCATTATTTTACTATTTTAATTTATTTTATTTTAACTTATTATTTTATTTTAATTCATTATTTTACTATTTTAATTTACTATTATATGTTTTTTTTACTTTAAAAGTTATTATTTTAGTATTTTAGTTTTCTCTTTTAGAATTTTAATTTTTTCTTTACCAAAAACAACAAAAAGCATCTTTACTAAAATTAGAAAAAATCCAAAAACATTTTTCATCTTTACTTAATGTTATCAATTTTTCTTCTCAGTACTTGGAGTCTGTTATGTCGCCTTCAGTTTCGGCGCGAAGGGACAGTCAACAGGCAGCAACGCCGAGCACTGCATCAACAAGAAGAAAACGCAAAAGACTTGCGGAAACAATATCTAGTCTTGTACAAAATGGTACAGATTCGCCAGCAGTACATAAAAGGCGATCGAGTATCAGTGATGCTGGACATTTAAGTGTCAGTGGGAGTTTTCTCGATTGTACGACAAGTCCTGAAAAACAACTCTTAGATGGTAAAAAAAACAAAAGAATTAAATTTTTTTTCATACCTCATTTTCTTCTTTTTATTACACGTTTGTAATGTACAGATATTCCAGAAGTTGAAGCTGTCAACACTGAAGCAGCAAGAAAGAATCTTTCGCCTAGATATCAAGTGTTTTTGGAACTCGTTCAAACCGAATCGAATTATGTCGGGATCCTCAATACAATTATGAACGTAAGATTCTTGTTTTCAATTTTTCTATATATTTATTTATTTATTTTCTACTAATAAGTAGAAAATAAAACAAGTGAATACTTGTTGAAGTTTAATTTATTCAAGTCGCTTGTAATTTTTGATTTCAGTTATTTAAATCCCCCTTGGAAGTTTTAATAGACACCAGTGGAGAATTGTTAAATAGTACAGAGGTGAAAATTATTTTCGATAATTTCCCACCAATTTATGATGTGCATAAGAAAATATTGGAAATGTTGCGCGAAATCGCAGCGAACTGGACGGAGGAAGTTAGTATAGGAAATATATTTTTAAAATGTGCCCGAGAATTATTGACGGCATATCCTCCGTACGTGAATTTCTTTGAGAATACAAAGGAAATGTTGGACCAGTGCGATCAAAATAAGCCGAGATTTCATGCCTTTCTTAAAGTTTGCCAAACCAAACCCGAATGCGGAAGACAAAGTTTAAAAGAATTATTGATAAAACCAGTGCAGAGATTACCTAGTATTAGTTTATTATTAAATGGTAATTCACAATCTTTTATTTTTGTTATTATTTTATAATTTGTTAGATAAATAAATTAAATTTTGTCTTTCTTTTCAGATATTCTTAAGCACACGAATAAAAATAATCCGGATCACGGTGCCTTGGAACATGCGATTAGCAGTATTAAGGAAGTGATGACCTATATAAATGAGGATAAACGAAAAACGGAAGGCCAGTTAGTTATGTTTGATATATTCAACGAAATCGATAATTGCCCCCCTCATTTAGTGTCTTCGCATAGATCATTCATTGGTAAATGCGAGGTAATGGAATTAAGTGAGGGCTTAAGTGGTCGTGGTGATCATTTAGTTCTTTTCTTATTCACCGACACTTTGGAAATTTGTAAAAAGAGATCGAAAGCTTTCAATTCTTTAAAAAGTCCAAATACAGTGAACGGTCTTCATTCTGCAAAATTAAGTCAAGGAAAACCGTACAAACATATCAGGATGCTTTCTCTTAGTACAATAAAGAAAGTCGTCGACATTCGAGAAACTGATGGTAAATTTCAAATTTTTACTTTATAAAATTTCTATTTCTTGTTTCTCTTATTCGCTTCTTGTTCGATTTTCTTTTAGATTTTTTTTTCTTGTCCGATTTTCTTCTCGTGTTCGATTAGTTTTCTTTTCTTACTCGTCACTTCTTATTTAATCAAAAGATTTTCTTTTCTCGACCGATATTCTTCTCTTTTTCTCCTTCTTTATTTTCTTATTCGTTAATTCTAATTTAATTGAAAAAAATTTTAGATAATTTTTTCGAATGTTTTTTCATGTTTCTCGTTTAGAAAATCGAAAGGAAATGAAACAAATTTATTTTACAGAGTGCCATAAAGTATTTGCGTTGATGGTTCGAAGTAATCAAGAATTAAAGGAGAAATTATTTTCCTTTACAATTACAGACGAAGAAGTGAACAAAACAAATTATTTACGAACTCTTTGTCGACAAATGGCGAATACAGTTTGTAAACCAGATGCGGTATGTCTAAAAATAGTACTTTTTGCAATTTTTTTTGGTAATTTTTACCTATTCAAGATTTAAAATTGTAATATTTTCTTCTCCAGGATACATTTCTAATCAGTCTTGATTCGCATCAGTTGGAAATCGATACTAGTGACGTTGCATTAGGAACATTAAGTAAAGCATTTAAGTAAGTTATGGAAATTTAAATACTATTTCAACTAATTAAAATTAATTACATTAAAATAAAAATAAATAACTAGGAAATATTTCTCTTAAAAATATTACGATTATTTCGTATAATTTATGTATATTTCTTCTTTTTTTTCTATCAAGTCTTTATCTTTTTTTTCTTTTCTTTTAGAATGTTTTCTTTTTCTAAAAATTCTTATTCTAAATGTAGAAATAATGTAGAATAGAAATAAATATTTTTATTTCTAATTAGGAAGTTTTTAAAAGATTTTTTTTAAAAGAATTTTTTAAATTTGCAATTTTTGTAATTTTTCAGATTTCTAATAACTTTTTTTAATATTAGAACTATCAATTTTTGATGTATGTAACTTATTTAAAAAAAAATTGTTGCATGTATTTAGAAGAATAATGCGTCGACAAACCATTTGGTTACAGGAGTCTATTTCATAATTTTTACCTGGAGTATATGGACCCGTATGTGTTCCTACTCAATAGCATGTGTGAAACCACATTTAATGTTCCACTGCCGTCAGTTTTTGCACCAGGCTAATTCTAATTTTCTTTTTTTAATTAGCTTCATTATTCCTTCTTGTGCTTTTTCTTATTAAAAAAACATCTTAATATTTCATTTTACGTCACTTAAATTCTATTTTAAGTAAAATAACAATTTTTTTCTATTTATAATTTTTATAGTCTCATATTTTCCTCTTTTTTCTTTGGTTTCTTCAAAAATGTCTGTTTCTGTGTTCCCGAATGTGTCTGTATATGAAATTTTTCAAATTTGCCGCAAAATCCTTATTTGTGAATAACTTTCCTTCTTGTATTAATTATAATTTCAATTTTTATTAACTTTTTTTTGAGATTTAATATTCTGATTGAGACTTTTAGGTGTGATTTTAATCTCTGGGTAAAATTTGTTTTTAATTTCTTTGTTTTCGTTCTTTTTTTTCAGGGTTGCCACAGATTAGGGAATTTAGGGAAAAGTCAGGGAAAGAAAAATTGATTAGGAGAATTAGGGAAAAGTCTGTGAATTTTAATTAAATTTATTTAAAATAAATTTAATTTTTAAAGGACTTTCACATTCTTATTATTTTTAAATTAATTTTACGAAAATTGGATTATTCGAAAATTTTTCAAAGTAAACTTTCTTTTTTTTATACTGAAAATAATTTAAGAGTAATAATAGAAATTTCTAGAAATAATCCAAGAAGATTTCAAATTGAACTTAATTTTTGAAAATTAGAATTTTGAATAGTTTTAATTTAAAATTCTGAAGGTTTTTTTGGAATTTTGTAGTTGGAAAATTTTATATCTTAATTCTTCTGAAATTATTTGAATTTTTAAATATATACATATGTATTTAATTGAGAATTTTTTGAAAGATTGGAATTTCGTAAAATTTAGTTACAAACAAGTGAATTTCATAAATATTTTAGAACTTTTTTTTTCTTTCAATTATTAAATTCTTAAGGAACTTTCTCAAAAATAGTTAAAAATAATTGATTTACAGACAAATTTTAGTTGAAAAATAATTATTAAAAATTAATTAGCGAATAATTTTACTTGAAAAGTCCAAAATTAATTGAATTTTAGAAAATTTACGTTTAAAATTTTTATAAATAACTAAATTTTAAAAAGGATTCAAATTTAAATTTTAACTAATTTTAATTAAAAATTCCGAAGAAGTTAGTTTTTTGACAAATTTTTGAAATTAATTAAATTATAAAAAAAAAGTTTAAAATTCAATTCGGTTTCATTCAATTTTACAAAAATTCGATTATTCGACAATTTTTCAATTAAGTGAACTTTTTTCTGTATTATAATAATTGAATAATTGAATTTTTAAAGAAATTTATCAAAAGTATTGTAAATATGCAATTCACTTAGCAAAGAATTTTAGTTAAAAATTCGAGAATAATTAAAATTTCGTAAAATTTAATTGCAAACAAGTGGATTTCATAAATATTTTAGTTGTACTTTTTTTTGAGTTAATTGAATTCTCTCTCAGACATTATTTAAAATGATAATTGATTTAGAGATGAATCTTAGTTGGAATTTGAAAGTTTAGAAAATTTGAATTTTAAAGAAATTTATTAAAATTTTTTTAAAAATTTAGGTTTTTTTAAATTTAGCAAAAAAAGTCTTTTTTCCGGGAAAAATTCATAATTCTCTCTGGAAATTAAAAAAAAGTCAAGGAAAAATAAAATCAAATTTTTGTGGCAATCCTGTAATTATATTTTTATTCTGATTAACATTTTTCAGTTTTTTTATCTCTGTTTTTAATCTCTGGGTAAAATTTCTCCTAACTTTTTTTTATTCCAATTGTTTTTCAATTTTTTTTCTTTTACTTTTTTATTATTCTATTTTTCTTTAGGGATAAGAAAAGGGTTTATTTTTTATTTATAAATTAAAAACCGAAAAGGAAGAAAAGTTTTGTTGTCGCATTTGTTCGTTATTGTTTTGTTTTTGTTGGGTTTTTAATATTATGATGTAAATAATAATTCTTTTTTTCTGTTCTGCTTAGGTTTGCATCGCGTACGAGAATGAAAGTTGGTCGTGCTTTTAGTTTTAACAAAACCCCAAGTAAATTGAAGAGGGCAATGTCGACAATGATGTCGCCATTTGGATCAACACACAGCCTTACACCAGCAAGTCAGCAACTTGCTCAAATGAGACTGGCGAGTTGCAATAATATTAACGTTAGTTCCAATTTTTTCGAATAATCTATTTTTGATAGTTGTTAAATTTTCGAATCTTAAATTTCGACTTTTAACTATGTATATGCAAAGTGCTTTAAACTTTTTGATATCATATTTATTAATCTGTGATTACAGTGTCTTGCTTTTTTAAAAAAGAATAGATGATAGTAACTTGGTAATTTAATAATAAAATAATTGATAGTAATTGATAAATTAATAATGAATTGATAATAAATTGATAATTAATTGATAATGAATTGATAATTAGTTAATTAATTGATACAATAATAATTAAAAAACAAAAAATTGTGCAAGCTCCTAGGACTTTATCTGTAGACGTAAGTATGTCTGAAATATTGCGTTTAGATTTTTCCTCTGTTCTCCCTTAAGTTTTAGTTTGTAAACTATTTTTTAATTTTAATTTAACATGCAAATAATAAAGAAAAATTTTTTTCAGGAACTTGGCAATGGCGGTCCGGGTTCGCAAAGTAGAGATGAAGTTTTAGTGGCACCAATGTCGGTACAACCGACACGAAAGGCAAAGTGCAGCACACTCAGTATGGCTTCACTTCGAAGGTTGTAATAATGTATTTTCAGAAACTACGCTCCTTCCTTTCGCTTCCATTGCTCAAGCATTTCCTATAATTTCCGCTTTCCCCCTCGCCTGCTACCAATTTTTTTTTTCACATCCTCCTCCGCATATAAACTTGATTAAAAATAATATCCCACATTCGCAAGATTCAATTCTCTTTTCAATATTTACCTGATGGATCGAAGAATCTCAAAAACTAGTCTTACCTATTCTTACGAAAAAAAAGAAAAAACGAAAACTTCATCGGTCAGAAGTTAATTTATTTAAAAAGAAATTTTTTTGTTTTTTTTTGTCTTTTGTTTCCTTTTTTTTGCAAAGGGTAAAAGTTATAATTATATATTTGAGGGAAATTAATATTTCCTCGTGAATTTTTAAATAATTTACCAAAAAAGAAAATAATGGTAAAAATGAATCTTGCTGAAAGTGGAATAAGGATTTTTTTTTTTTTTGAACTGAGAGAGAGAGAGAGAGAAATTATGTATATGAGAGAAAATACTCAAAGTTTGATTTACGAATGAGGAGCATCGACTATAAAAGAGAGAGAAACAAAAAAAATATGTAAATCTATATGTGATTTTTCATGAATGAGTATTATATTTTTAGAGAGTCGTTTTTTGGTGCTTCTTTTTGCACTCCTTATTCATTATTTCCGTTTCCAGAAAAATTTATTTATTGAAATCGATTTTCTCCTTTTTTTTGTGTTGTCCGTTTCTTCATTTTGCTTTCGGAAAATTTCATTTTCAACTATTTCTAGTTTTTTTCAACACTTGGAGAAAATTTTCTTCTTTCTTTCCGAAAGTTTCCTAATTTTTAAATAACCATTTTTCATAAATAACATTATTTATTTTTAGAATATTATCACATTCGCAGTTTTTTCAATCAGCATAATTAATTTATAAGTATTGCTTTCGTTTTTCTGCTTTACTACCATTTTTTTTGGTTGTATATTTAACATTGTGACTGACGGCAACTTTTGGTTGTCTATGTAACTTATGTTCGCTGGCGACGCTCGACTGTTAATTGTATATCTCTGAGAAAGAATAAGCCTATAGTACACGAACGTACGTTAAACAAATTTGTATTATAGTTCTATATACAATTATATTGCTCACAATATATTGTCGATTGAAAAATTTATTTAAAAAAAGAGAAAATGAAAAAAAAATGTTTGCTTAGTTTCGATAACAACGAACTTTTTTGATTATAATTGTTTAAAAAAAATGTGAACTACATAGTAACAATTTGGAAATCAATTCAAATTGAATATTAATTTCAATCTTTTTAATTTAAATTTTTAAAATCTAATTTCAACATATTTGAATTAAATTGTTTGAAATTTTTATTCCTTCATGAGCCTTCATTTTAAAAAATTAATTGTGGCTTTAAAAAGTTGATTGTTTCAAAATTCTAAATATAATTGAAATTGAAACTAAATTTTATGTTTTCTTTTCCTTGATTAATGAACTTGTTCTTCTGCTTCTATCTCTACTTCTTTTTTTTATATTTTCTCTCCTTCTTTCTTTTCTTTTTTCCTTTTTCTTATTTTTCTTCTTCTCAATTTCATCAATTTCGTTGTGTTTATTGTCCCTTGTCATAATTAATCAAAATATTGACGAGCTTTGCTGTGACTAATTTTAATTCAATTAGTACTTTTATACTTTAATTTTCTCTTTGTCCCCAATAGAAACTGTTCCGAAGAAATAATTCCAGACGATTCTGATCTTTAAGAGGAAAAAAATGACAAAGCATAATTCAACGTAAAATACAAATTATTGTCAATATTATTGTCAAGAAATGGAAAATTGCATTTCTTTTCTACTCTTGAGGAAGAAAAGTTTCAGTGCCAGAAACAAGATTAAAAAAAAAAAAAATTGGAATTGTGAATAAGAAACTTGCCTGTTAAAATTTTTTCTTGCGATTATTATCCATTAAGTCATTAATCTGTATTTACTACAATTAGTTTTTGGGAGAATTTTTTGTACAGAAAAAAGATTCTTTATTGTGCGATGATGAAAGTTGATAATTTTAGTCTCAGGGAGAGTCCAAGAGAAAAAAAAGCGAGAAAAAGAGAGAGAGTGCAGTTAATTTATTATAGTTCTCACTTAATAAAAATTGCTCCAAAAATAAAAATTCGAACAAAAAAGAATAAAAAAATAAATAAATTTCCAGTGGCTCAAATTTTGTATAGATGTATTTTGACAAAAAGTGATATTTTATATATAAAGGAAAATTTTTGATGTTTCTAAATTATGTTTACAAAAATTAAAACAAATATTTAACTCAAAAATTTTGTAAGAGAATTTTACAAGAACAGCGAAAAAAAATCTAATTTTAAAAGTATTTGGAATAACTTTGAATGAAATTTGAATTAAATAATTTTTTGTGGAAAATAATAATGTTTATGGAATATTATGTTAACAAAATTATTATTGAAAATAATATATGAAATATCTTAATAATAGTAACTATTATTATTAATAATTATATACTTGTAATTTTAGTAAGTTTATATTGTACATTAAAATTTTTAGAATTTAGCAAATAAAATTAAGAAATGTAAATAATTTATTGATATGTAGACTGAAGTTTATAGTACATATGCAAATTATTATGTAAACTTGGTATTTTTTATTGTGTTAACGAATCCTTAGTTTTTAATTTTCTTTGAAATTACTGTAAAAATCTGATATTTAATTCTAATTTAATTTAATAAAATTTTTGCTCTAATTATAATTTACAAAAAAAATATTATTTTCTTTTCACTTCTTTTTTTGAAATTTCGAAACTTTCCCGCGGTATTTTTATCGAAACATCGATTTTGCTGCGATATACAAAATGGCGACACACTAGGAATGACTTTGTGATTTCTCGTGATTGTCAAAAGTTGTTTCATTAAAATGGTAAGTTACTCTTGTAATAAAAATATTTATAATCTTTTTCTTTAGGGGAATAATTTCTGCTTTTACAGTATTATTGTTTCAATTGATAAAATTTATCTCGTTTGTGTATTTTTCTACCTTTCGTTTATAACAGTAAACTAACCTCAAATTTTGTGACAAGATTTTTTATTTTAATAAAAGAGAAATGTTAATAAAGTTTGGGGGTATTTAATAAAATGGTCTTCTGGTGGAGCTTTCTTTGAGTTTGTTCATATTTTGTTTATAAATAGAAAAATGGTTGAAAATATTTTTGCTTGTCACTGTCAAAACAAAAGGTTATTTAAATTACTTTCCGAAGTTTCTTGTTTTTAATTTTTTGTATAATATATTGAAGAATTTCGATTATTTTGTGATTAAATATTTTTTGGAGTATTTAGTATTTAGTTTTAATATTATAATATTATTTTGTTTTAATATTATTATTTTTTTATTAGTATTATAATCTTTAGACAGACGGAAAACCTAAATATAGGCTCTACGTGTCATTGAAATTTTGTATATAATATGGTAAATTGAAGATTAAAAATTATTTAGGTATTGAAAATTATTTTCGGATTTTATTAAAGAGATAATTTATAGGTAGGTGGTCACTTTTTCTAAAAATATTTTCTATTCCTTGTTGTCTAAAAAAGCGATTTCTAATGAAATCTGTTTTCAGAAAAAAAGTTATGATTTCTAGGATTATTTATTTTCCTAAAATTTGTAAAGTTCCATAAACTTGATAAAAGTTAGAAAATTGTTAAAAAATTAAGATCAAGAAATAGAAACTATTTTGTATATTTTCTGTTTCTCAATTACAATTTTGTTTACAAAAGTATAAGTTTCTCTTTGAAAACAAAGAAAATTTTTTATAAAATTCCAATTTCTTATTACAACTTTTTTAAAAAATTCTGTTCTTCTTTGAAGAAAAAATAATTTGCATTATTTTTATACCAAAATTAATATATTCATAAAACGTTTTCTTAGAAAAGTTTATAGGTAGTTTGTATTTGTTAATTACGATTTAAACTAGATTATTTTAAAATTTTGTTAAAAAATTTGCATAATTTCAATTTTTCTGTTGTAATTTTTTAACAAAATCTCAAGTATTTTTTTTAAGAATTAAAAAATTTTTATAAAAATTTTATTTTTTTAATCAAAATACCTATTGATTGTCATTACAAAAATTGAATATTATTTAAAAAAAAAAGATTTTGAAAATTACCTTTGATAGAAAAGAAATTTTTAGAAAATGCCTTTTATTTGAAGAAAGAAAAATAGAAAATCACCTTCATCAGAAAAAAGTTTTTTCAGAAATTCACCTTTATTAAAAAAAAAGTTTAGAAAATATATTTTAGAAAAACTGTACCCCAACCAATTTGTAGAACCCCGAAAGGCCAAAAGTTGATCTACTAATATATTTTTTTTTATTTTTAATCTTGTTTTTTTCCTATTTCAAGGGACAAAACCATTCGGGGCCTGGAGGAACTGGCGGCGATAAGAAGGATGATAAAGATAAAAAGAAGAAGTACGAGCCTCCAATTCCTACGAGAGTTGGAAAAAAGAAGCGACGCACCAAGGGACCTGATGCTGCTCTCAAGTTGCCTCAAGTCACTCCCCATACTCGTTGTAGACTGAAGCTTTTAAAGCTGGAACGTATTAAAGATTATCTCCTCATGGAGGAGGAATTCATCAGAAATCAAGAGCGTTTGAAACCCCAGGAAGAGAAGAACGAGGAGGAAAGATCGAAGGTCGATGATCTTCGAGGAACGCCAATGTCCGTTGGAACATTGGAGGAAATAATTGACGATAATCATGCCATTGTTTCCACTTCCGTTGGCTCAGAGCACTACGTGTCAATTCTTTCCTTCGTCGATAAAGATCAATTGGAACCTGGATGTTCCGTTCTTCTAAATCATAAAGTTCACGCGGTTGTTGGCGTTTTAGGTGACGATACAGATCCGATGGTGACTGTCATGAAACTTGAAAAAGCACCGCAGGAAACGTACGCTGATATTGGAGGTAAATTTCAAAAATTATTTATTTTTTAGTTTTTTCTCGATTTTGATTGAAAAAGATTTCTTCAAAATCGAAGAAAATGAATAGAATTAACGATTTTTTGTATTTTAGGTCTCGACACTCAGATTCAGGAGATTAAGGAGTCTGTTGAACTTCCATTAACTCATCCCGAGTATTACGAAGAAATGGGAATAAAACCACCGAAAGGAGTCATTCTTTATGGACCGCCAGGAACGGGAAAAACACTTTTAGCAAAAGCCGTTGCGAATCAAACGTCGGCGACATTTTTGCGAGTCGTTGGATCCGAGCTCATCCAAAAATACCTCGGCGATGGTCCAAAACTCGTTAGAGAATTGTTTAGGGTTGCTGAAGAGCATGCACCTTCCATTGTTTTCATTGATGAAATCGACGCAGTGGGAACGAAACGTTACGACAGCAACAGTGGCGGTGAAAGAGAAATTCAACGAACCATGTTGGAACTTCTTAATCAGCTTGACGGTATTTCTTTTTATTTTATTTCCTATTAAATACAAAATAAATTTATTTATTTAAATGAATTTAATTTTCTAAAATAATTGTTAAAATTAAAGTTAAACTATTAAAATCATAAAGTAAATTGATTTAATTCATTTAAATCTTATTTATTTTATAAACGGCGAAAGCCCTTTCGTACCTATTATTGTAGTGGAATTTATTAAATAAATTTTTATTTTTTAAGGTTTCGACAGTCGAGGAGATGTGAAAGTTGTCATGGCGACAAATAGAATTGAAACTCTCGATCCTGCTTTAATTAGACCCGGTAGAATCGATAGAAAAATCGAATTCCCCTTGCCAGATGAAAAAACAAAGAGAAGAATCTTTAGTATACACACAAGTAGAATGACACTAGCTCCTGATGTTAATCTCGCCGAACTCATTATGGCGAAGGACGATTTATCAGGCGCTGATATTAAGGTAACAAAACTTTAAGAATTTTCCAAATGATCAATATTTCTTTACAAAAATTTACATAAGTAACTTAATGTACATGCTCCAGTTATCGTCACTGTTTTATTTACCGTTAATTTGCCCATTAACAACATTTTTAACATTTTTATCGTTTTCAATTGGTAAAAATAAAATAAAAAAATAATTGTTCAAAAAACTGTTGAAAAATATTTTTATTGATAGTATTTTTAATTATAAACAATTATTTTACTTAAATAATTAAATAATATATTTAAATAATAATTATTGAACCACAATTTAAATTATTAAAATTATGTGTTGAACATTGGTCTTTAGTTTAGTTATTTTCAAATGAATAAAGTAATAAATTTTCCAAATTAGAAAAAAGTCTTGGAATAATTTAAATTAATAAATTTAGTTATTTAATAAAATGTTCTACGCACAAATACTAAAAATAATTTTTCTTTCTAGGCAATTTGTACTGAAGCTGGTCTAATGGCGTTACGTGAACGTCGAATGAAAGTGACAAGCGATGATTTCAAGAAATCAAAAGAAAGTGTTCTATATCGGAAAAAAGAAGGTTCTCCCGAAGGATTATATTTATAGACTTGTTTCATTCAATTTTTTATTTCCCTTTTTGCTGAACTTAACTCAATAATTATAAAAAAATAAAAAATTGTACCGAAATTAACTACTTGTAATAATTTATACGAACTAATTAACTTTATATATCCATCAAAATAATAGGCGATTAAAAAATAAATTTCTTAAAGTTTCAAATAATAATATTTGTTAATTACTCTTAGTTTTCTTATTTTCTCATTTTATAACTTTTGTTTATTAATTTTTCTTATTTTAAAAAAATGTTGTCCTTTATTAATAAAATAAATTGAATTGAGGTAATATTAACTTTCTCAATTTTAATATTTTAAAGAAATTAAAATAAAAAATATTAAGAAAGTAAGTAGAGGAGAACGGGGCGAAGCAGCCAAGATGGCACATTTTGGTTTGCGAGGCAGTTATTTAAATAGGTTTTTTCAATTTTAATATCGCGTTAGAAAGCTTGTCTTACTGGCTAAAAAATCGCCATAGAACATTTTGACGTAGGTTGCACTTAAAAATTTCTACAACCTTTTTCCCAAAGGACCACATTTTGGCATATTTGAAAAAACGTGAGGTGAGGCGGCCAACTATTTTAATAGTTAAAAAAACTTAAAGTTACAATTAGTGAAACATAACAAGGTAGTTGTCCTTAACTTACTTTTATTTTGTTAGTAAAATTCAAAAATTTACATATAAATAATATTATAATAATAACATTAATTAAATTCAATTTAACATTTTAAGGAAATATAAATTTGTTATTCTTAAAAAATGGTTTATAAAATTCAATGTTAAGTTTAAAATGTATTGGAGTAGGAAAAAAAGAGAAAACATTTAGAAGAACCAATAAAATCAACTCAAAAACGAGTACTTTTTACCACGAGTACTTTTTTAAGAAAACATCCACAAAACCCGTAATATTAAAAATATCGCAATTCCATTAACACCATCGTCTTCAGCACTAAATTCTGCATTAAAAATCACTTTACAAGAATTTTATTCGTGTAACTCTATTAACTAAAATCACCAAAATAACTCTTAGAAAAGTTACATCCAAAAATTCTGTTTTCATAAATGATACTGTCATTGCTAAACTGCTGCAGCAATAATGCCCATCTATTAGCAACTAAAGTAAACTACCATAAGCAGTCTACATTATCAATAGCGCACGATTTGAAAAAATTATGCAGAAATAAGAAGCAATTGGCACCCAATTGGCTGCCTCGCCCCGTTCTCCTCTAAGACACCCTAAAAAGAGTAATGAAAAAAAAGATTAAAAATAGAAAGAAATTATTTTTGAAGAATAGAAATATTAAATTAGTGAATAAATAAATAAATTTCTCCTCATGATTCATTAATTAATTAAATAATTATAATAACAATTTTGTTAGTTTTCACAGACTTTTATAAAAATTGTCTTTAAAAATAAATTCCTCAATTTTAATTTTAAAAAAAGTAAAGCAATTTAAATAAAAATATTAAAATAGAATAAAACAATATTTAAAAAAAAGATTACAAACAGAAATTATTTTTGAATAATTAATATATTAATTTATGGTAAAAAACTAAATTAATTTCTTTTCCTAATTGAGGCCTTGGATCCAATAACTCGCCCGACGCTCAGAGGAACGCGCAACTGTCAGTCAGTGAGCAGTGAGCGCCTTTGGGCCACTCACTGCTACCCGACTGGTATTAGCGCGTGCCTTCGAGCGTCGGGCGAGTTATTGGATCCAAGGCCTCAATTGATTAAATAATTACAATATTAATTACTTAGTTATTTTCTTAATCTTATTTACTTACTTTGTTCACTTTAATTTTTATTATAATAAATATAATATTTTATAATCGTTTATTTTAATTTCATTAATCATTAATAATAAATTATAATTTATTAATAAATATTAAAATTTTTGTTATAATTTTTTCAAGAATTTTAATTGAAAATAAGTCATTTTTTCAAGTATTTTATTACAATTTTAAAAAATTAACTTTTAAAAAATTTTAATTAAAAATTTTGGAAATAATTGAATTCTCAAAGATTTTAATTGATACTCTTCAAGTGTAAGTTCAATAAACATGAAAATTATTGAAAATTAGGTTCTAAAAATAATATTAAAATAGATTTTTGAAAAAAGTAAATCTGGGAATTATTTTGTTCGATTTTTTAAAATTCAATTACCTATTTTCAATATTTTCAATTTTCCAAAAATTCAAATACATACACAAAATAATAACATTAAAATTTTTTAGAATTATTTTTAATATTTTAAAATTCTTCAAAAAATTATTTTTTTTTAAATTATACAAAAAGTTTTCAATTATTTTCGAAAAATTACATAGCAATATTAATAAAAAACTAATTCTTAGAATTGCTTTATCATAATTTTTTAAGATTCAATTACCTTCGATCAAAGTAAGAGAAAAGTTTTAAAAATATACTATTTTAGAATTTTTGAGAAATCATTTATAATTAAAATTCGTCAAAAATTTGATTTTTTTAAAATATTTTTTTATAACTCAATTATTTTTAAAAGATTTTACCAAATTTCAATTTTTTGGACATTTAAATACTGGTTTCATTAATATTCATTGAATTATTATTATTATAGTATTATTAATAAATAATATTAAATGATAATTAATAAATAATAAATCATGTGAAAGCTTTTTCGTTTTCGACATTTAAATTGAATTTGCCGCCATTATACCAAAGTATGTTGCCGTTTCCGGTTTGGTATTTTCCTCGTACTTTGTCTTTTCTTGCGATAAAATATGAGAATTTGGTAAAATAATCATCACCAGTGATTTTAGAATAAGGAAAATAGAATAAAAGTAAATTTTAAATAAATATTTTTAATGATAAAAAACAACTAAAACAAGTTAGTTTGATTTCCGTAGTGGCGCTGTTCGTCACATGCGCCGCCATTTTCCCCAAGTTTTTCATCACGTGACCAGGACCACGAGTGCGTACTGCCGTTGTGTTTAGGCATGAAATTTCCATTTTAAAAGTGTTCAATCTTTTATACTAATTCTATTTTAGTTTTATTTCTTTGAGTAATACACTGAGCAAAGTTATATATAAATTAAATGAAAGAAATTCGAGAAAAATTGAAAAGTACAACAAAGTAAAAAAGTACAGTCCCTGCAAGTAGAACTTTTTGTCCGGATCGTTCGGATTCTTTCTTCCCGTTTGTTTATTATTGCTTTCTCATTATTTAACATTTTGAGTGTAAATTTCGTGAAAATTTGTATAATTTATCCATACTGCGTAAGGGGAATTGAATAGTTAACATGTTTACGTTGCGCGTATTTGCATTTCAAAGTGAAGAACAGTACACTATGAGCACGTTGACTTTGATCAAAAGTTACAAAACATCAACACAGACGATCTTGAGAATTGGTGAGAAAAATAATTGCAGGCTACTTAAAAATCAATTTTTAATCTCAAGACATGTATTAACGAAGGAAGTTGTTTTAATCACAGGTTATGTGTACATATAAGGAGCAAGCAAAAAACAAGGAAAAGGAAAATAAAACGAATTCGCTGAGAGTCAACAATTGTCAATAATAAAGGAACCGTTTCTGTAGAAATCGGTGAGTCAAGAACGTCAAAAATAATTGCACTTTAAGGTAATTTCTCTCTTTCTATAAATATTTTTTTATATATAAACGTATTCGCCTGACGATTTTGAGATATTATATCAACGACTTAAAAATTTTAGTGGATTTCAACAAATTTAAGTGAACGTTAACAATTTAAGTGCGAACAAGTTTAACATAACCTCAAAACTGATAAAAAATACGCTGTGTCTATTTCGCCCGCAAACGGGCGAAATAAGAGTGATGAATTATTTCGCCCGTCACTAAAAATACGTAGGTGGGGGACAACGGGCGAAATAAGAGCAATGAATTATTTCGCCCGTTATATAGTTATTCCTATAATACCATTGAAAAATTTTTAATTTTTAAGGTGAATGACAGAAATGAAAAGAAGTGTGTTCAAGTCAGGTTAGTAACCTTCACACCAAATTCAAATAATTATGTGTAGCTCATTTTTAAAAAAAGTACAGTTTCTTTATTTAAGTTTTAAAATGAATTTCACACTTTCACACTTTCTTTAAAAAAAATGTTTTTGTCAATCAAAATAAAAAAAAATAAAATTATTTCTAAATTTTTCTTTCAAAAATAGTATCATAAAACTTATTTTCCAAATCTGAGTTAATATACTTTTGAACTGATTTGAACAAAAATAATAAGAATTTTCTAAAAATTAATGTTTTTAGTCTACATAGATAGGTAGAAAAAATATTAAAATACATAATCTAGTTTATTTTATAAAATATTATGTAGAAAATTACTAATGAGCACCAAAAATATTGATAAATAAAGAAAGTTTGTGAATTATTATAAAAATTCACAACTTTTTAAGTTTTTAATTCAATCTTCACAAAAATATACAAGTGACAAGCTAACCTTTTTCCCATTAAAATTAATTAAAAAACCAAAAACGGGCGAAGCAATGTGTAATTGCTACTTCGCCCGTTTGACATATTTTTTTTACTTATTTTTCATGATGGGCGAAATAATTTACTATTTTTATTTCGCCCGTTTCCCCCTACTCACTAATTTTTCATGACGGGCGAAATAATTCATCTCTCTTATTTCGCCAGTTGTCCCCCACCTACGTATTTTTAGTGACGGGCGAAATAATTCATCACTCTTATTTCGCCCGCAAACGGGCGAAATAGACACAGCGTAAAAAATAACGAAAATAAATTTCTAAATTATCTGAATTCTATGACTTTTAGATAAATAATTTTAAAAAAGTAGGGGAGAGTCTCCAGTTGTGAGACGGGTTTCATTTTTGACCCGTAAATTGTAAACGGGTAAACGAAATTGTAAATAAAATACACCGTTCGAAAGGTAACAGAAATACGCAACTTTTATTAAAAGAAAGTATAGTGTTTCGATGAACTCAAAAAATTTTACGATACATTTTCCGAGCACATCGCTTTTTTCAAAAAAAAAAATGTCTCCAGTTGTGAGACACTCATTAAAAATTGCTAAAATTTAATAAGTTTGACATAA